ATGGTAAAAACGAGGCGGCATAATAGACCGTATAGATAGTTACTTGCTTTTTCCTTCTCCCCGCTCTTTCCAGGGCGATCTAATGAGAAATGCATCCCGCCACAGTAGTAAACTAAACCCCCCTCTTTTCCCGCGATCATCACGATTGTCGGTCGCGGACTCCATTTTCCCTCACCTTGGCCTCCCCTGAGTGGTCATTGAGATATTGAGAACGGCCAGCGATAGGGGGGAAGCGGTCTGGTGAAGCTCTGACCTCAGCTCGAGCACGCGAGATTATCATTATCATTGCGGTCTGGGGACGCCTAAGGGAAGTATGTTTTACGGGTAGTTAGGGAACCCCCCCTGCTTGGAGCTTCTGGTTTGACTGGTCGACGGATTTGGAAAGTGCCATTCAAAGGCATGACGACGATGTCATGATGCTTCCCTGATAACGTGGCGTTGGACTGCATAAGCTGTCAATTTATTATTATCTTCTGATCTTATCGACGAGCCGAGGTGGTGCAAGCCGCCACAACCGCTCGACAATAATCATGATAGCGCGCACGGATATCGGTGAGAAACCCAAGCAATAGGATGACTGGATAGAAGGTTTTCTCTTCTGCCAACTGTCTATGCCAAGGTGAGTCAGGGCCACGTGAATGACCGGGAGAGATTATCAAAGAAAAACATGTTGAACACGTTTCTAGCTTAATTGGATACGTGATCCCGGGTCGCGTCGTTATCCGAGGACCGCGTAGCTCGGGCGGTTCCCGGGTTGTGTCATGTCAACGTGTGCCGGGGTGAGGAAGATCGATTGGCACAGGGTTACCTGCTGCCTGGTCGCGCTAAGTTGTTTCGCCCTGCAACGGAGGATGCGATGAGGGACATGCAGCGAGGATCAGATCAATGAGGGGTCGTGAAGAGGACACTACGATGCGATGACCTTCTCACCCGGGCATAGCGGGATGCGAGTCAACCCGAGAGAACAAAGAGAAGAAGAGACGAAAATTAAATGTCAAAAAAAAAACTATTTTCAAAAAAAGAAACCCAAGACATCAAGAATCAAGAATCAAGGAAAAATCCAGCTGTCATTTTTTTGTTTTCGCCAACGCATCAAGTTTAACGCGGGGGGTTGGCCCCCGCAGTGTACTTGACACTATCAAAAAGTGCATAGCGCGCGGCTTGTCGCATTTCCGAATGGTGCCTAGGCTGTATCACCTTGGGACAGGAAGAAACGGCATGGAAAGCTGACGAGGCTATACGGTCTACCCCTCATGTGGACTAGTATAACCAGAATGAGGGGGAGCGATTCAGTGGTCAAGCTAGGTTTGTGATATTGAAACCCTACAGACCGCTCATTTGGTGTTAGATGCGGTCAAGAAGCTCAAGCGAGAAAGGGAGAAGACAATCTCCACAATTAGAAGGGAAGCACAAAAAGAAAAGAAAAAAAAAAGATCGAAAAATGGAGAAAAGTCAGAATTGAAAAAAAGAAAAGAAAAAAAACTTTCGAAATACCATTCCACTAAGACGGTTCGTCAAAGAACGGGCTCTCAAACCTGTCGACGATCTTAAACCGGTGCCAATTGCGGGGATCCACTGAGCTCCATCTGCGCACTGCCACTGCCACTCTCCAGCCTCACAGGCTTTGTAGGAACAATCTGGTTGGTGTCTTTTCTTTTGGCTTTTTTTGGGTCTTCTAATTTCCTTCTTTTTTGTTTCTTGCTTTCGGCCCTGAGGAAATGACGGTGTGCCGTTTCTTTCCCTATCACTTTTTTCTTTGTCCCCAATCTCTCTCTGCAGAAGGACTTGTCATAGCCACCCCTTCTCTGTTTACCCCACTTTACTAGTAAGTCTTGGTCGAATAGGAGGGAATGATGATGTGCATCGTGATCGACCGTTTGTGGCACACACCCTCGCGAATCTTTTGTCTTCTACGTTCTAGTGTCCGTGGTACCCTGTTGGGCAGAGATAGGGGCCTGACTTGTTGAACAGAAACATAACCTATCGTCATGATAAGGATACCTTAGCTCCTGGAAGGGATGACAAGGTTTAATCAAGTTATGAAGGTCGACGCGATCAAAACGCAGGAGAGAAACAACGTAGGCATCCGAGGGCTCCGCATCTTCAATTTCCCCCGGGACCAGCGTGTCGGTGTTGAGATGGATACATGACATAAAGGTACTAGTATGACGGCGAAGTGGGGATTTGAAAAGGTAAACTAGATGATTTGAAAGGGAAATTAGCTACCGGGAGCACACATGTGCAAAGTGTACGCTCAAAAACATGGCTAATGTGGGGGAGAAAACAAATCCAGTATGGAGTGACTTGTAGTATTCAGACTATGGAAGTCTGAATGGAATAGGTTGTAGATTTGCCCCAGTTGTGGGCTCCACTTGAGAAATCCTCCGACATCGTCTATCCCTTTTCCTCTTCCGAATGGGGCCCTGGCTCCTTCGGAATTCGTCATTATTCTTGTACTCTGATTAATTGTAGTAATGATTTTTCTCATTTTTGTCATTTTTGTCATTTTCTCGATTTTCTCGATTCGAATTCTTTTTTATTTTTCACTTTACACGCATCTGAAACACTGATCGGCCCCCCGTTTGGCCGATAGCATTCCCCAGGATGCTTAGGGATCGGCCAATGACACCCGTGTATCGAGATCTACCGGGTTGATGGTTATGGTTGGTGTGCCAGTCATTCCACCTCGTCATCCCATCTCCTACCCAAGCTGGCCTGACACGATGATAGGATAATTCAAGGATCTTGCCGTTAGAGTCACACGGATTTGTACCTGAATACCTAACTGAAAGGAAATTGCTTTCTGTTCACCATCCAACCTTAGGCCGTTGCTATGCGTTGTCCTTGTTTCCTCTAGTCAATTTATTTATAATTAAGAACGTGCCCTTGTACGATTCTCCAGTTTAATTTTTCTTTTCTTTTTCCTACGTCCCAATTGAATTCTGCGAGGGAAAAAAAAACCACCCAAAGAAGAATCAAGTACTTTTTAGGTATTTTATTCAATTTGTGTCGGTCTTTGTCCAATTTTCAAATGCAACTATTAAGCCTCATCCTGGCTATAGATAGATCCAACCCCAATCCTCCACAAGACACGCATTATTGTCTTGCCGCCTCCTTTTTTTCGATTTCTACAATACTACATTGTGAAACTATCTGGAGGTATATCAAAACACAAATACAGTTTCCCTCGACAACCCCATATTTTTATTCCAAACGAGGGATCAAATCAACTTGACGATTGAAACCGGAAACAGCAACCCCAAAGTCAAAATTACGGGGAGTTTCCACCTGTAATACCCACGACCCACCGTTACGCAATACCACACCATACCACGGACATACGGGTACAAGATACAGCATAGTACGGAGAGAGCAAGGTGTAAGTACCAGTACCCACTCCAGCTTCAATTCCACGACCGGGATTGATTCATTTGCATTTATTTTTCCTTTCCCCCTTCTTTCCCTCCCTTCAACTTTCATCTCTCTTATTTCTTTCAGCTTCAAGAACCAAAATTTCAACAAGGACAACGCCGGTCTTGTCCTATTCACTGTCGATTTCTTTGTGTCTTTGAGTCTTCAACGTTATTACCGATACCGCAATCCTCAACCGCGCATACCGAACCCGAAGTGGCTAACACGTAACCGTGCAGCAACTGCAATCAGCTCACTACTACCAAAAAAGAAAAAAAGAAAAAATTCGCCCCAAAATAATATTCTTTTTTTTTATCAATTAAAAAAAAAAAGAATATTAAAATCAACCGACACTAGGAAACCAAAATCCTAAAAATCCAACATCAGCAACCCTCTCCAGGCCTTTTCGCCGATAAACCTGGGTTTCCTCTTTGGACGGCTTGCATCCACTGCGTTGGCAGTGTCGCAATTCCCGTTTTTTTCCTCATCGCATTCGCCGCCCTGAACTTTGCGCCGCAAGAAAGCTCCTTAACACCCTGGCACGGGTACTCCCATAGCCCGTTGCATCCTTAGTTCCCAATCGTCAGCCAATCGAAGGGTCGGGGCGCGTGGATCTAGTCATAATCCCTGATCACTTTTTTTTTTCTTGACACAGCTTGCTTCGCGCCGCCTTCCGAACACGCGACTGCAACTTTTTTGGGGCTCTTCTTGATCGCCGGCATTGAACCCGCATATGCGCGCATCGTCCGGCCTCTGACCTGCCTAGTCGACATTTCGTCTTTTTTTCCCCTCCACCGAAAAAGCACACGGCGCATTGCCCCTCCCTGGTTCGCCCAGTCGCTCCGCCATCAATTGGCCCATATCGCAACCGTTCCAAAGCCCCCCCCCCCCCCCCCTCTCGCGTGCAGTACAGCTTTCCCCACGCAATCGGCAGATCGACAGACGAAAAGAGGGGTCATAGTTGTGGTTATTATTGGCACAAGGAGTTTCAGCTGAGCTCCCGAAAGAAGAAGGCTACATATCTGCGGACCGGAACCTTGGACTTGGAGATCATCCCCCCTCTCTCTCACCCTGGTCTGATCCCCCTCTTGCCCAGGGTGACGTCTATTGTGGTTAGCATCGGGCAACCTGTCTTTTGAGAGATCGGCCATTGCAACGGGGCCAGTGCCCTTTGCAATTGTTATCTGGGACTGTGTCCTGATCCTGATTTCTCTTATCCCCTTCTCTGGTCATCTCGGCTTTTCTCCGTAAGGTGCTCTCCGGCAGGGCTCTTCCGCATTAAATCCCAATCAGGCCAAGATGCAGAGTTCAAGAACGAGTCATCTCTGCTGAGGAACGTGGCTGAACCATCATCTCTGCTTTTCTGACTGTGTCAGGCTATTCCCTTTTCTTTCCTGGTCTCGGATCTTCTTCCAACCCTAGCTTCTATCAAACCTTGAACGGGCGGCCGGTTTCCTGCCCTGTTACCCATTTGCCATTTATAAAGAGTCCAGGTGACTCGGACATTGGCACAGTTTTTACCACTCGTCAACAAAAGATTTACACATTGTCGACAGCTGAGCTGTCGTTCTGATAACACAACAGTCGCCATGGCTTACACCACAGCGACCTCACCACCGGCTCTGGATGCCGACACCCACCCTAGTTTAACACTAGCCACCTCTCTCAACCGATCAAAATCTCTCCACCAAGTCATCACTACTCTGCCCGCTGGGCAAAATCCTTCATTAACGCCCTCTTCTACCTCCCCTACATCTTCTACTCCCGCCTCTGCATATTTCGCACCCCCCACACCGAACAGCTTCACTCCCGCCGGCACTCCTCTACAACCGCCGAGTGAGGGGCCTCGAGGCCGCAATTTCGAGTATGCTCTTCAAATACCTGCTCCACTTGAGCTTGGCGAATCCATGATCGCCATTCCTAGTAACACTGGCTCCGCCAATTCAGCCGACTGGATGGCTCCGAGCTCCAAGGGACCAGGATTGATGCGGAGGATATCTCGAGGTGCGGCCAACAAACTCACTCGGAGGAGACAGTCTGCTACTCAGAATGATAAACGAGACCGAAGCTCCGGTCCCGTTATCATGCGCCGGCGTAGTGACAGCAAGACTGGTCCCCAGCCCGTTCGAGAGTCCGCATTGGACTCGAGCAACGAGGATGAGGCGAGCGAAGCATTGGATGGCCTGGGTGCGTGGGCTGGCTCCGAGCCCTCTAGCCTCCGCAGTGAAAGCCGGATGGCATCTGCACGTGAGGTTGGTGCCGCTGCGGCTGCCGTTGCTGCGGCCTCCGTCGTTGCTCCCAAGGTAGATTCTGCGCTCCAGCGTGGAACTATTTTGACAAAACTCACCAAGAAACGTCGCAAGCAAGTGCGCTTCTTCTTGGATTTGGATGCTGGAAAGGTATTCTGGGATCTTTCAAACCCCGCGAAGCGTTTTTATATCGATGATATCAAAGAGATTCGAGTGGGTGCTGACGCCCGCAATTACCGCGAGGAACATCAAATCCCCGAGGATGCGGAGCGTCGGTGGTTTACAATTGTGATCGCGGACTCTGGGAGCTTCAAGGGCCGGACAGTGAAGACCCTTCATCTGATTGCTCCCTCTGACCACGATTTTGAATTGTGGACTACCACTTTGGAACACATTGCTCGGTATCGAATTGGTTTGATGGCTGGCCTTGCTGGCTCAGGCCAAAGCGAGACTGTCATCCATGCTCATTGGCAGCGTGAGATGTCACGATTGTTCCCGTTGGGGCCACGTCCAGGCGAAGAACAGGGCCTTGACTTCTCTGCCGTCGAGAGTGTTTGCCGCGGTCTCCATATCAATTGCTCAAAGAACATGCTTCGGGCACAATTTACTAAAGCCGACGTCTCTCGCAGCAGCAAATTGAACTATTCTGAGTTCAAAGACTTTCTCACGCGCCTAAAGGAACGAAAGGATGTCAAGGAGGTTTACAAGAGCCGTGCTCAGGAACCAAAGAGTGGAATGACTCTCGATGAGTTCTTGGGATTCCTTCGCGACGTCCAGAAAGAAGATGTCGATTCCGATCGCGCCTACTGGGTTGCGTTGTTCGAAAAATTTGTTCGCCGATCCAAACCTCGTGGTCCTGATGTTCCCGAATCAACGCCCCCTCCGACCGAAATGAACCTTCTTACTTTCTCCTCTTATTTGTCTTCCTCCAACAACGGCATTTACGCATCACGTGCTCCTCAGTCACGATTCGACCGTCCATTGAATGAGTACTTCATCTCAAGCTCTCACAATACTTACCTCCTCGGTCGTCAAGTTGCTGGAGCTTCGAGTACGGAAGCGTATATCAGTGCTTTGCAGCAAGGTTGCCGATGTGTGGAGATTGATTGCTGGGATGGCGCCGATGGCCGTCCAATTGTATCCCATGGACGGACCATGACCACCAGTGTGTTGTTTGCGGACTGCATTACCGTCATCAACCGATACGCCTTCATCTCGTCGGAATTTCCCCTCATCCTTTCCTTGGAGGTCCACTGCAATCCGGAGCAACAGTTGGCTATGGTCAAGATTATGAAAGAGACCTTCAAGGAACAATTGATCCTGGAGCCTATCATGACCAACTATTTCATTCTTCCATCTCCGGAAGAGCTCAAGGGACGTATTTTGGTCAAGGTCAAGACTTGTGACGAGACTCAAAATGATCCCCGCATCGACACTACCAGCACTGTTGGCACCCATGGCCGGAAGCGCAGCTCTAGTTCCCCCTTCGTCCGACCGACCCCTCCAGCCGAGTCTCTCAATGGACCTATCCATTCCCTCTCAAGCCCCCCTACAATCATTGGAGGCACCATGGATGGCATTGGTCCTCTGATTTCTCAAGACAGACGCTCACTCACAGCAACCAGTATCAGCAGTGCTACTGAGGATAGTGATGGGGGGTTGATCTCTGCCCACAGTGAGAAGAAAAAGCGACGACGTCAAAAGAGCAAGATCAGCAAGCCTCTCTCGGATCTTGGTGTCTATACTCGTGGCTACAAGTGGCACAGCTTCTCTTCCCCAGAAAGCCGGAAATACAACCACATCTACTCCTTCGCTGAAAGATCGTTTGAAAGCATTTGCCAGTCCCACGATAACAAGGTTGCACTGGAATCGCATAACCGGAAATTCCTCACTCGAGTCTATCCTTCAGGATTCCGACTTCGCTCGTCTAACTTTGACCCCAACAAGTTCTGGCGTCGTGGCGTTCAAATGGCGGCAATGAATTGGCAGACCTACGATATCGGGATGCAGATGAACCAAGCCATGTTCGCCGCTGGAACTGACCGTACTGGCTATATCCTCAAACCGGAGAGCCTGCGACTGCCAGTTCTTCGGGATAACGAGAACCAGAAGCGCAAGATGGAAAGACGATTGGTTCGATTCTCCGTTGATGTGATCTCGGCTCAGCAGCTTCCTCGACCTCGTACTATCGGGCCAGAAGACAACATCAACCCTTATGTTGAAATTGAGATTTTCAGCGCTGATGATCGTGGTCAAAGCTTGGCCTTTGGCGAAGGTGGCATGGATGCCTCTGCGCGCAGTGGGATGTCCGGCATTGGATACCCGCATCGTCGCCGCACAAAGATTGAGCAGAGCAACGGCTACAGCCCGGTCTTCAATGATCGGTTCAAGCTGTCCCTCGAGACTAAATATCCCGACCTGGTGTTCGTGCGTTGGACCGTCTGGAGTTCCTTAGACGGTCGCAGCGCTGGAAACAACAACAGCGTGCAACTAGCCACATTCACTGCCAAACTCACCAGCCTGTCTCAAGGTTATCGCTATCTGCCTTTGTACGATGTCAAGGGTGATCAATACTTGTTCTCAACGCTGTTTTGCCGGATTTCTAAGGAGGATCCTGTACCTGTCCAACGACTGGACTTGGAAGTGCTCCGCGCCGAACGTATGGGGATCTTGCGACAAATTGGACAGACAGTGTTCAAGCGTTCTTCCTCTACTGACCGTGAGAAGGACCAATCTCAAGATCGGAGTGAATCAGTGAGCCCCGAAGAAAAGGACAGCTCTCCAAGCCTCACACCAACCATTTCCACCACATCTACCTCATCATTCGTGCCTTGAACAGGCCGTCTCCCCGCTCTTCTCAACAAATCACCTACCTCACCCACCCAAGCTTGAAATGAATATCTCAAGCCAACACCTCTCCCTCCCCCACCAATCACATCTCCTCTCGGCTCAAAGCCCAGACACTCTTTGCATCTGATGACATTCATTCCATCTCTGCCTGTCAACATTATCACGGAATTTTTGTTACTTTGCTATACCCTGCCGCATCGATACCCCTTGTTTTATCTGTTGTGTATCATTGTCATTTTCTTTGTACTAGCTCTCGGAAAGCCATTCTTGTACTGGCAGGGTATTTTCCTTTTATATTTTTGCTTCATCTCGTTTTTTTGCGTCTCATTTTACGGGCATGGGAATCATATTTGGAATTCAATTCGGTTTCGGCGGAATAGCAATAGCCACCCCCCAACCATCGCATCTGCGGGAGTCACACACACACGCACACACTGGATACTGGGAAATACATCGTGGCTGGTTCACCGGCGCATCATCACATTTTCATTTTCATTCATATTCGGGCATTCTCATCTTGCAGCATTCAAATTCTAGCGGGACGGACATCGGGATTCCTTTCCCCATTTGCATTTCGGTTGGATCCAGGAGGCGCCGATCTTATTGTGGCCTTTGCTTTTTTGGCTTTTTTTTCTTCCTTATATATCTTTTATCTTTAGCTTCCATATCCTATCCATCTTCCTTCTTCAAGGACAGAAATTGGACTTTGCCTTTCTTTTCTCATTCTTTCGGGATTGATACCAGATGCTTAAGGTAGTCGGTGGGCGTTGGATTTTATCTTATCGCCTGCTGTCATTCTTTCGATCTGTTTTGTCTTGAAAGTTACTTGGTTGTTTTATTAGATGACGCGCTGGGACGCGCGGATACTTTGGCTTCATACATTTCTTTCCACATATGCATTCTAGGGTCGTTCCAAGGTTTTGTTCATAGATCAATCTCCACATTCAATCAATTAATATACCGAAGTGTTACTTCTACATGATCTGTACAGTAGATGCCGATCCCATGCCGTTGCCTGTCAGTTGACTTTGAGAATCACGAATCAACTCCTCGTATGTAATGTTGAATCCAGGGCTCAAATGCTCAATTTCCAACCCATCAACTTCATGAACGCAACATTACTGCGTCATATGGCTGTTAACACTGCACCGCCAGTAGCCGTCTGCAACTATTGACATGATGAAACCTAGTACTAAGTAACATGAACCTCATGCATCCGAGCGTTATCGAAGAGAGAGAACAACATGCTATCGTGTAGCAATCTTTCCAAACTGGGGTTTCAATTTTGGAGACGTTGAATACTCAAATATGATATGCTACCTTACATTTATTTGCCTTTAAATTTCCCATTATAATATGAATGGAATCAGAATATAGTGAAAAATGCCAGATGAAGGACCCACTATTGGCGTAGCGCTAGTCTATTTATGCACCGATGTGGGGCTGAAAAGTCTGCATGCTTCTGTAGCCAAACCTGCCCAACCTTTTCATCCGATTACGGCCGGCTGGCCCAATGGCAAGGCGCTTGACTACGAATCAAGAGATTGCAGGTTCGATCCCTGCGTCGGTCAATTTTTTGGACTTTTTTGCATCCTCGTGCATGGAGTTTTTGTGAGAATATGGACTTCTTTTTTAAAAAGGCAAATTCACGGTTAGTTTCAAAAGCCCGGTGACTTCCAACATTTGAATCAACCACACCGAGATCCTGGCTTGAAACCATGTGGAACCCGCGGATAATAGATCTAGTAGAACTAGCACTTGAGTGCTTGGAACAGGCATTGACATCTGGATAGTATATGTATACATGACTACGCACGTGCGGGGAATTTTGAGCAATGGCTTGGCTTCATTCCCACATACATGTGGAAGTGCTTGCATGGATGAACGGAATTCATGTATTACTAGTAGATTTTCAACCTCCACCTGTATATCATACTACATAACATTGAAAGTTCTATATGTATTGATACTACCCATAATTCCCCAAGGCCATGGTTTTCTAGAACTAACGGACATTTCTATAAACATTTGAAGAGCAAGCTTGGTGGAAGGTTCAAACTCTTGAATGGATAAATTGAAATACTCCGTTAACTTATTCTTGGAACCTTTAGCAGACCTCCTACTTACATGTAACATGGTAAGATCTGGCGAGGATTCAGCCCTGGAGGGCTCCATGCACATGTAACGTGTATTCTTCTCTTCTTCGAGATGCATGGATAGACTGTAAGACCTCGGAATCTCTCAGCAGTTCCAAGGTTTGGTCTGTGGATGCCAACTCATACATATATCAGTATCAGCATGTGCAAGTTTTGACGTGGAATTTCTGGGTTCAAGGCCTTCTATTAATCCTGAGATCAAAGTCTGGAAAACGAAATCTCGCTATTCTATTCTCCAGAAAAGGCTGCAAGTAGAAGAGATAGGATGGAAGGCTTTTCATCCTTGTGCATAGATGATATTAACTTTCGGGAATGAGTTGGATAGTGATAGTACACGTGCAGAAGCGATGTCTGTGTTGCATTTGAAATCGCCGAAGCTATAGATTGTCCCATTGGATATAGCACTTGAGGCAATTAATCAGCCTTCACACCAACACGTCCAATTTCTTTTATCTTCCACGTCGCGCGTCAAGGTGAGAGAGACACGTTCAAGTTTCACTTCACGTGTTTCTCCTTTTATAATTCTTCTCTTCTCCTCTTCTCATCAACTCGAGAAACGGCGTCTTTGGGCCTCATCCCCATCACCACACTCTTTTACCTCGCTCGTTTCATCAGATCTGGACTTCAAGATGCACCTCTCATTCCTTTTGGGTGTCTTGACTACCCTGATCGTGCTTCTTGGTACGACTTTCGCTGAGGTGGAGGCCTGCGGTGTTCTCCCCGTCACAACTGTCACCAAGATTGTCTACCCTACCACTGAGACTACAGCTTCGCAGACTGAATCCACTGGTACGGCTACGGTTTCTCAGGTCTCGACTTCGGTTGTGGGTGGCTCTTCGACGACTTTTGTCACTCGCGCTTCTTCGCCATTGGTGGTCTCTGCTTCTTCTTCAAGCTTGATTTCGGCTTTGTCTTCAACGTCGTCTTCGGCTTCCGCTTCGGAGTCGTCTTCGGTATCTTCGGCGTTTTCTTCATCGCTGTCTTCATCGCTGTCTTCATCGCTGTCTTCATCGCTGTCTTCATCGTCGTCTTCATCGTCCTCTTCATCGTCGACTTCGACTTCGACTTCCTCCGAATCGAAGACTTCATCTACTATCGAAACAACTACGCCAGTTCTTGTGCCCGCGGGATACCCGTTCAACGGCAACTATCCCGACAAATGCCTTTTCAACCACAATGTCCATCGGAGAAACCACAGTGTGCCTGACCTGAGGTGGAATCAAAACCTGGCAGATGCTGCTCATAACTGGGCAGTTCAATGCCAGTTTGCACACAATACGTGAGTGTACACTCTGCTATACTAGCTTCTTATCCTTTCCATCTTCCATCCCACATCCGGCTAACGTCTCTATTTCGTCTTTTTTTAGTCACTTTCTCCCGAACGGATACGGACAAAACCTAGCCGCAAGTGGTCCCACGGCTAGTCTCTCGGAACACATTTCTGATTTCTGGTACAACGACGAGATAGAATATTTCGAATCTCACTACGGCGAACCTAATCCTGGTGGAAATTTTGATAGTTATGGCCATTTTACACAGGTCATTTGGAAAGGGTCTACAAGTGTGGGATGTGCTACACAGGACTGTACATCCACACCTTTGCAGATGTGGTTTACTGTGTGCAACTATGATCCCCCTGGTAAGTCTCGTTATTTAATTTCTTCCCATTGGCCTCTTGAGCTGTGTTCATGATGCTGATGCTATTTAGGCAACTTTCTTGGTCAGTTTAATAACAATGTGATGAGACCCAAAGGATTGCCAACGGAGAAAGGCAATGGGGATCTGATCAAAGCTAATTCCTGGTACTGAATGATGAGAGGGAAGGCCATGGATCTTCCAGCCATGTTGGGAGATCTTTTTACAAGACTGATATGTATGCTGTATCAGGTGTTGTATCGCTGTCAACTCTTGTTGAATCAATGTATCATTACTATCAGTCTTGGAACGAAGTTCAGTCGAACAATCTTTTTTTCCATTTATTTTTTTTGATGCGGTTCTATGGTAGTGGGAATGATGCTGAGCTACAAGCTTGGCCTTCAAAACTCCCATGACTTATGAGTCATGTAGTGAGGTGAATCATGACATACCAGTACTAATACTGTGCATGCATACATGACCTAATAATTTTAGAGCCTCAGGCCAGTTGAACAATTTGAACAGAGAATTAATATCTACTATAGCATTTCCGAACATTAGTGTCATCCCCTATACTCTTTCATTTTCCCCTGGACCCTGACTGCTAATATGAACTAGGCATTATTGGGCAAAAATACTGAGTATGTAACAACCTTCCGGTTTTTCACCAATATCGTGATATATAGAGTTAAAATTCATCAATCTGTATACTAGCAGATACACGATTTACCAGAACCTTCCAGATTTATCTAAACAATGCAAACAACCCCCAAACCTAGGAGTGTACTCGTCATGATTTCAAACTAGTGCTCATGAATATCTCGACATCATGCTCTCCTCGTCATCCCCTGTCCCTTAAAATCCACCATCTTCTGCCTTACCTATAAATCCATTTCTTCGAATCCTTATTGCCTCTGCCACTTGGACAGCGTCAAATGCCGTGAGACCAAAAGCTGAACTAGCTTCAAATTATTTTGGTGGTTTTAGAGACAATCAATTAAATCATGTCAACGCGGCCAGAAAGTTCAGACTTCCTGCGAGAATTGCTCCTCCAAGGACAATTTTCTGACATGGAAATCATCTGTCAAGACGTCACTTTCAAAGCTCATCGTGCTATTGTTTGTACGCAGTCAAAGTTTTTCAATGCCGCACTTTGTGATGGCTTCAAGGTATAAGTAGAAATGTTTTCCATAGATACCTCGGTTACTTACTTCCCAAGGAATCTCTCGACCGATCCATCGATTTGAAAGATGAGACACCAGAGACAATCGAACGTGTACTCTCGTTTCTCTACTTGGGGGAATACCAGGATGATGGGCATACGGTTCTACTTCGGCCATCCATTGATGATTCAGGCTTAGTCAGTCAAACGGGATCACCCGACAATGTCAAGGCTTTGAAAGCAAGGGCTTTAAACAACATATTGGTGTTCACCGCTGCCGATAAATTCCAAATAGATCCATTGAAGAATCTAGCCTTGGTGACATCAGATTTCAGACTGGATGTCTGAGAATTGGCACTCGTCAATATTTCCCGAGGTAGTTGAAGAAGCTCTAGCGACGACTCCTTCTCATGAAACAGAATTGCAGGAGATTATCGCCGCGATTATTTCAAGTCATATATTCGAGCTTATCAGTAAAGCCACTATTATCCCTGTCTTAAGTTCCTTCGGATGCGTTGGGTCACTGGTAATACTGGATTTAGTCAAAAATGGTCGAGTCAAACAGACCGGCGAACATGACTACTTTCAGGATCTTGCTCAAAAACTCAACATACGTCGTCAATGTCGGCATTGTTCAGCAAAATTGAACGTGAGAATAGACAATGGGGAATACCAGATTGGAACTTTTCGTTGCGCCGCCTGTGGCACACCACATTAGCCACCGCATAGTATTTCCCAGGATATACTGTACTTAATTGCACTTGTTTGATTGGGCTATACTTCAAATGAAGATAGCCGTCTGGCTCAAGTAGTAGAGGGGTCCAATGACGCCGAATGAAGGCTTTTCGCTCCGCCAAAACTTCAATTGGGTTCAAGTCAGGGAGTATGGGGGCAAATATTTGACGTATTTATCAAAGCATGATCAAAACACACATGCAGTTGCTCTATTCTCGTAGAAAGATGGAATCTGTAAATGTTAGCCATGATGAGGGCATAGGTATTTATTTTCCATATTTATGGAGGAATTTTTTGATATATTCTTCAAAGAATCCCGCTAATGGAAGTGCCAACCAAGAAACTCTTGCGAGATCTCGGAGTGGACGCTGGGCACTCAGATCGCCGCTTATCGTCTTATAGATGATAAAAACTCACCCCGCTAATGTGATAGTCCGGTAAATGACAGTACGTTTCTAAAGCACGTGAGGCTGTAGCTTAGTGTATTTTAGAATTTAGGGTTCTGGGGACAAAGAAAGAGAGTGTAGGCTGACACCGATTTCTATCATTTACATGACTCATGAGTCACATAACAAATTATAATCTTGTATCCTGAGATTGAACCCAACCATCAAACAGCAAGTCCACATCACCGATACCACTATGGCACTACCCGATAACACACCAGTCTATTTCTGGAAACCAGAAGAAGAAAACGGCGTCTTCGGACAATGGTATCCATCATCGTTCATCTGGACACAAGGGAATGAAACATTCAATTATGCCAATGCAGAGCAGTAAGTTTCCAGTCCCGGCCATACCACTACTAGGCAACACCCACCCTGAAACCCATCAACACATGAAAACAACATACAATTTTATTTACGCATGCATTATAATTCATTGAGTTAACAAGTGTAATTTCCAGATACATGATGCACCGCAAAGCACTCCTCTTCGCCCCAACCCACCGAATAACCAAACAAATACACGAAGGCTGGAAGGTGCACCCAAGATCGCTCCGCAATCTAGGCCGGCAGATCCCGAATTTCGACGATGATGTGTGGGGAAAAGAGCGATACGCAATAGTTTTGGAAGGATCTTATCTGAAATTCTCGCAGAATGAGAATCTCAAGCAAGTTTTACTGGCGACCGGGGAAAGGGAGTTGGTTGAGGCTAGTCCGCGAGATCGGATCTGGGGGATTGGGTTTGGGAAGGACGCTGCTGATATGCGGAGGGAGGAGTGGGGGTTGAATTTACTAGGGAAAGCTTTGATGGAGGTTAGGGCGCGCTTGAGAGAGGAGAAGGTTTCAAGCTAGATTTGTGGGGGTCAAAAATTGTAATGAACATCCACATAGGATGATTTGAGAACCTTGGAAAGAAGTAAACCTTTGGAAAGAGCCTTAATTTTGATGGTTTCAGAACGCTTAGCCTTCTGAGGAGCTACCGCTCAATCAACTTTCTCCATTAATGCAAGATGAAAGTGAGTTCCAGCTGTTCATTGTCAAGGACAGATGTAAAAAGTAACCTTGTATCCTGAAAATCATAAATTTCAAATATCATCTCATCATAAGAATGTGCAGGCGTGAGCTTTGGCATTGAGCATCCAAACCTAGCTCGGCCGTACACAGTGGGGAATCAACTAAATTAATTACAAAAGTCCAAACTGACCAACGCTCCAATCATCGCAGGGTATTTCATATCAGAGCTTTCTCGAGGCAGAACTTAGCCCTTTCTGGTCATCAGAGGGTAGCGAATCCGAGATAGATCGCCGCTCTTCATAACCAGTTGTGTTTTCTCCATCAATAACCTCCTGTCCGTATGCAAAGGAGACATCTTCATAATCGATGTCGACTTCATTCCACTTATCACTGGTTGCAGGAATAGGGAAGAAATAACAAAGGATCCAATAGGCGCCACCAGAAACAATGAAGCCAGAGAAATAGTTGATGTTGTAGATGTATTGCGCACCAATGGGAACTTTGGGGCCGACTTGGCCAACAAAACCAACGATATTGATGAGGATACCGCAGAAGTATGCGGTATAGGCACGCCAAGAAAAGCCATAGGTGTAGTAGTATGGGTCTGTCGTGCGGGCACTGTAAAGACCTTTAATGTCTAGGTAACCACGTCGGACAACGTAATAATCGCAAATCATAGGTCCGGCGATAGCGGACAGGAAGAGAGAGTAAGCTGAAAGGTAGGTGGTGAACTCGCTAGAGCCGGTGACAAGTTTCCACTAGAAGAACCGTTAGAAATGTTTATGGTGACTTAAGCATTGCTCAGAACATACCGGGCACATTGCCAGACTAATAGCTGCGCAGATATAACTTCCGCGTCGAATGTTCAAATACCGGGGCATCAATGCTGTCAAGTCGGTTCCGGCAGAGACAGAGTTGGCGGAGATATTGGTCCCCAATTGAGCCAGGGTGAAACCGAGGGCAATGATGAAAATTCCGAAGCGCTGTCCCGAGCTCGCTCCATCCAGGAACATGTCTAGCAGAGTGAGAGGGCTCCAAACCTCGGTGCCATAAATAACGGATGCTGAAGAAGAAACGATAATACCGATAAACGATGTGATTCCAAATCCGATCGGAATTGTGAAAAGCTGAGACCAGAGAGCATCTTTTGGCGTACGGGCGAATCTCGAGAAATCCGGATCGTTCATAATCAGGGCTGCAAAGTTACCAATGCAAGTCATGATTCCTGTGACCACCTGCCATGCCAGCGTACTTCCATGGACTGTGTTGGGCTGCTTGATAATAGGTCCGATGCCGTGAGCCCTTGAGATGGCCCATGCAAAGAAAGCGATAGCAGCAATCGGCGAATAGATTGCCTTGACGGTGAACAGATGGCGCACCTTGTGTACGGGGAACCACAAAGCCGGAAGGGAACCAAGCCAAAAGAGGAAGAAGCTGACAAAGTCCTTGGTTGTTACACCAGCCCCGGATGGCATTGTGTTAGGTAGATTTTTGTAGCTGGGCCAGATGGCGGAGATCATCACGGTCACACACTCGCCTATATCGAGCGTTAGAAAAATACCATGGTAGATATCGGGAAGAGAAACGGCGTACCTCCAATGTAACCTTGCACACCATACCAAATAATAGCCATGACAACTCGGTTAATCACCGGCCAAAATGAGCCCCAAATTCCAAAGGATGCTCGAACAGTGACTGGGAAAGATGTATGATAGACGGCGCCAATGCGACCGGTCAAGCAGACGAACATGGCGGCAATAAAATATCCAATCCAGACACAAATCCATGCCTGCCACCACGAAAGTCCCGCAATGATCATTGAGGACGAAATCATCCATGTGTTCTGGATGTTTCGTATTAGAGGTAATTCGATATGTTCGGCCTTGGTTCGAGCGTTCTGGGACTCACAATATTCAGCGAGTCAGCAATCCAAAATGCGACATAGTTCAACCATGTCCATTGGCGACGTTCAGGTTCCACTATAAGGTAAGAACAATTTTTGGTCAGTTGGACTCATTTTGAATAGGTCAAAGACACCCCAAAAAATATTGCACAGCCAAAAGTACTGTACTTGGACGATCTTACCTGGACGCAGATCATCATTCGTTAACATCAACTGGGCATTGGTGAGCCCTGGCTCATGAGCCACAGCCAATTTATCAAGAGCCCATCTAATCCTATCCATAATGCCAAATTGTTCCGCAATGTAAAATGCAAACAGCAAGCGACTTGGGAAAGGATTCAACCCAGGGTATTACCTGGGATAGATGTACAGAAAAAAAATGGCGAGAAAAAAAAAAGTGACGATCTGGATTACATGTGGAAGGAGACGCTATGATATAATGAATTCCAGGGAACCTTGCAACATCATGATTCACGCGATAGAAAGCCTGGCATCCTGGGCACTCTTTTTCCCTGAAGCGATAAGGGTGGACTGGGAGTAATCCTATCCGGGATGATCATCGACGCCTGGACCCGCCATGTGCGATATGATTCCCCGGGTTGGTCTGTGGCAGGGGGTTTGAGCACCTGGGGCGTATATGCCTATCATTTTGCATTACGCCTGCTCATGACGCTCGAATAAGACCAACGTTATCAATGATAAGCGGGTGCGAACGGGGCTCCACTTTCTCCGCAAGCAGCATGACCTGGTTGCTGATTGGTTGGGGGCGTATCTAATCATGGGGAATGAAAGATTAGTTAAATGTGGATTTTCGTCTTTGACTCGATGGCATCGAGTAATGGGTTTGGTCACGTGTGATATTTGTTGATACCAATCTTTTAAGCCATATACTTCGGAAACTTCGTATCTTCTATCAATTGATATCTTACTATGCTTCCATGACTTATACCATGGCTACAGCTTACGATCCCATTCAAACCTGCCTCTAGCCATTCTCTTGGAACTACGTGCAAGAAAACTTCGGAACTCGGAAAACAGGATCCATTGAACTGACACATATAAAGCTCAAACGGCAAAAGAAAAGAAAGAAAAACGCCTATGCCGAAGCAAAGGACACTGACTGACTGGTCACAATTCTGGATATCGATCTAGGATTTTTGTTTTATCTCTAAAGAAACCCGGCACCGATCTCCCTTCTTCTGTACAGTATCGTACACGATGGAGAAACATACAGCAAATGTTTAGCGGCGCAGAGCATCAGTGATGGATGAGCCACCGCGGCGGAAGGAAGCTAAATCAGCAGTTAGCTTATCTGAAAGTTCAAGGGCGGTTTTGTAAGCTTCCAAAGCTCCCCCAGGACCGGCACTGCCGTTCACACACGATCAGCAGATTCCATTTGTAGCTTTAACAGCTGGGAATCAACCAAACAACGGCTAGCCTGCTCTTTTTTCTCCCAAAAGAAAAAGCCATCTCCCGCAAGATCCGACAGTCCAGTCCTTGGGTCAACACCCATCGCGAAGCTAAACTCAAAACAATTGTGTAAACATACCATCAGACTCCTCCCAGGCGCGACCGGCACCGAAGCCAAGACCAACCCAAGCGGGCCAAGCTCTCCGCTTGAAAAGGAGCACTGAGAAGACAACACCGAAGGAAAGGCCGAGGGAAGACTTGATGATCATCGAAGAGATGGCACGATCCCACTAAACATTTGCAATTTCACAATTAGCCCACATTTCTCCAGTCCAAGCTTCCAATTGCAAGTTCCTTTCATTATGGGCAAGCAAATGAAATTTCAAGAAAGGTAGCATATCCATAAATTGTATATACCTTCTCGTTAAGCAAAGCCTCGCTGACGGGCTTGGTGGCCCGCGCGACCGGCCGGGACTCGCTGGAATCGGCCATTGTGAAGATTCTGGAGAACCATGGGTTAGTTTCGAGTCATCCTTTTTGTTTAAGCCAAACCAAGTACGTACATAGAAGAGAAAAGGGGAATTGAAGAGGGTAGATGGGGTCGTAAGAGGAGAGTGCAAGGAGTCGGGAGTTCACGAGGAAGATCGGGTCGAAGGCGGTGGGGAATTTCGCCGCGGTTTTTTTTCCGTTTGGATAATCTTTTTTATTTCCTGAGTATACCAACCCCTCCAGTCGACCACCGGTTCGGTTTCACGATGCCTTCACTCGTGGAGGTAAGCTCTTCCTTCTCAAGATATGTATTATCAGTTCATTGATAGCTAATAAAAGATGCATCAGCGCCCGCGATCGTCGCAAGAGGCGCTCCTCCGTCTCGAAAAAGGTAGCGCTTCTCCGAGTACCCAACTACACGAAGCGGCACAGATTCTAGGATTAGACCTTTCGTTGTGTGAAAGTCATCCAGAGACACACCGAGATGGCAAAATTGAAATTAAGCCTACTCCAAAGGAGGAGTGGGTTCTACGATGGTTGCTGAAGAGACTGAGAACGGGGAAGAACTACCGCGTGGATCCTGCATCATTCCTGCTACTGCGACAGCTGATCGACCAAATTTCACCGAAAAATATGGCGACCATCATGAAGGACCAGAAATTTTTATCAATCATTTGCGAGACGATTGCGGACCTGGAGGCCGACATCTATGCGACAGTGGGGAATTTGGATTCTGACTCTAGCCATACTCTGTCTGGCTCTCCCTCTACAGACGAGCAGCATGGAACTCAGGGTATGAAACGGAAGAGAGACAGTGCAGAGAACGATCCAGATGCTATGGATATCGACAGCCCGCCGCAGAACTCCGCCTCATGCTTCCTCACATTCATTCGCGCGCTGGACTGTCTGCATGGAGTCGTGACTCTCGCCCAACGAACGATCAGTACGGATGAGATTGCCAACTCCCACCTCAAACTCGCTTTGCGAGGCGATCCGGACATTATTTCGTTGTTGCTGGGTAGAGCGTTCCAGCTGGCTGCTGTAGCTATCGCCCAATTCACTCGCGCGGGTAAAACGACCGATCTTCAACACTTGCTTTACGTTTTCCCGGCAATTCTCGAGCTTTGGGAATCGAGGTCTCTTCGCCAGGACGATACGGATAATAAAATCAGCAACGATTGCTTTGCGAAACACAGCTTTTCCCACGCTCTCAGGCTTCAACTCTGCCTGCGGAACGTAAAGCTCGATACCGATGAGAGAGCATACTTACTGCATGCGGTTGAAAGAATCATTGCCCTTCATGTGCTTCTCCCAGTACGAGCAGCATTCTTTGAACGAGGTGGGTCTGGCATCGATTACTCGAAGGATGAACCCGACTGGAGTGCCGTTCAGCCAGTGACTGCCGCGCTCAGACCCATTATCCGCGAGCAATCCAGTGTTCAAGATACGGCCGAGAAATTGAAAGATGGATCTTTCCACGCTCTTTGGCAGTCAATTGAGCTTCTTCCTGAGCTGTTCGATAATGCTGTGCGAGCGGTTCCAAGGGATGATTTCAGACGCCAAACCCATGAAGCTCCGTGGCTTGAAACTTTGTTTGTGGCCATAGCAGAGCTGGCATACTCTTCCTCCCAGGAGGATGATCCCGAAAACTTTTCTTCTCGATTTGTCTCCGTACTGGAGCAGCTCCTCAGGGTGGCTCTTGAGCGAAATGTTGGCCTGTCTCTTCACACTGTCCTCACTCACGCGGGCTACACTGGTCTATTAGAGGAAGGACTAGAGAAAGTCCAGTGGACTGTCACTTCTTTGGTGATCAGCCTTGGGGTTGATGTCTTCCTACCCAACTCCGGATTGCGCGATACTCGCAAGTTTCTCGACGCTTTGCTCAGCAAGATCCTTCTCGAATGGCGTAGCGGGGCCACCAGCGGGTCTGAAAACTATGATATTATCAAGAATGAGATTGCGCTTCCTTTGTTGCGTGGTTTCGCAGCGGCAAGAGATTTGTCATCGTTCTTGGAGGTGTGGCATAATCAGCTAGTCATTATCGAGGAAGCCCGATCTCAAGACAAGACTCTACCCATGTTTTCTGTCTGGGAAGACGATGACCTATGCAATGCGTTCAGTGAAGTGATCCGAACAAGTCTGACTGGCTCAACCCTGGCAACCCATATGCAGACTGCTGTGGAGGAAACAAGGGCTGAAGATGGTAAACTTTCTGATACTCCTCAATCATATGCAAAGATTGTCGTGATGGAGGCCAGCTCCCGCGGGAAAGCACTTGAATTTGCCGACTCGGAGAAAATAATGGCCTCTATCTTAGAGACATTAACCTTAACTCTTTCTTCAAAGCAAACCCTACACTGGCGTTGGCGTTTATGGCGGTTCGTGCGCAATATCTTGCAAAACAATATCCAGTCACCCGACAATGCACTGGGTCAAGCGGCTCAATCTCTGATCGTTGCTGCTTCGAAGACTGTGCATCGCAACCATAAGAACTTGGCCAAGGCCCCTCTTGCCCCGCTAGAGTCATGGGAAGCCTGCAGATTTGCCTTAGTTTCCGCCAAAGGAAAGCTCAATGAGGAGCAGCTTGGTGCCTTTAACGCTATCTCTAAGGACATTACCAGCCTCATCGCCTCTGTGTCGCGTGAAGATGCTCAGAAATCGATGGAGGCACCCTGGAATGGCCACATAAACACTCTCGACTCTGCGACAACCCTGGCTTTGGCCTATGTCTTTGTACTTATTCGGGCCCCAGAAGTATGGGAGCGCATCACAGTGGAACACCGGTCACCTCTTTTCGACCAGCTTCTAAGCCTGGCTGCCGCCCAATACCATTCGACGTCTTTACCTCTAGAGGCCGTGGCTGATAATGCTCGGTTCCTACAGGCATGGTCGAGCATCGTGTGTCACGAGTATCTGCTCAGCGTACCATGTCTTGTGCCTGATCTGGTCCTTCTGCTTAACAAACGCATCGAGCAAGACTCTGCTGATCGTCGCATCTATGTGGAAAGTTTGCAAAGGATTCCAACTGCGTTGATTACTCGCGGTTTGAGAACTGCCCTTCTGGACAAGCTGCACGATGTTCTGGTTCAACAGAACAGCATCCCCGAAGTCACTCTTGGAATTTTGACTATGATGGCGAAGCTGGCCGCCATGCCAAAGTGCGATGCCAACGTCGTTAGCGAATGGGAGCCCATTTGGACAGCCGCCCGAGCCATCTCCCTTGCAGGCACCGAGCTCGATCTTCAGATTATGAAGTCATTCCGAAGCCTATACCGTGCAATTCTTGCCAAGTTGCTGCTTTTCGCAAAGGATGATCAGACTGTCACTTTCAAGAAGTTGTTTGCCAAAGTCTCTAAACAAGCGTCTAAAATGCGACAGATCAACCGTGACTCTGTGTCCTGTTTCCTTTTGCGCCTGACATTGTCAGAACTCTGGGTGCATCGTGCGAAGTTGCAAAAGGCTATCTCTGAAGACGAGCTGGTTTCTTGTCGCCAACGTGTCTTCGAATTAGTGCTGGCTGATATGAAATCTGTCAAAGATCAATGCAGGAAGCAAAAGCTGGAAGAAACCATCACTCTCATCAAGACAATTGATGCTCTCGAAGACTTTGAGGACCTTGCAACAAATCACATCGAAGTGGAGAAGTTCTTGACCAAGATCGAACATTATATGGAGATGTCAGTCGACTCAGAACCATCCCGGTTGATCCGCCGCCGTCTTCTTGCTACCAAGGGGCCTGAGAGAAGTATCACTGAGCCAGTCCTGCAGTGCGCTGAGACGATAACTCTCCAGTCGCTCTATGCTGAAGACCAGCAGCTTTTTATCCGGGCTACCACCGAACGATTCCGTTCCATGACCACTGAACAAGTCACGAAATCAATTCGTGAAATTCGCGAGCTCGGATTGACTGGTCACAACGCTAGCCAACGCATTCTGGTGATTTACCTCGCCATCATCTCACTGCCGGCAGTCGAAGAGAAGGATAGTGATGTCGCACGTGAACTGTCTCTCGTTTGCACAGCTCTGGCAAATGCCATGACCCGCAGCACCTCAATTGAACAATTCTCCTTCGCAGTGGAGAGTCTGGCCCTTCTCCTCCGCATGCAAACCCGTGCCCTCGCTCAGTGCAACATTGACGCCATTCTGGCGGCCATCGCCGCTTCCGCCTCCAAGGTCGGTCCGCATATCTCACCAGAGTACGCTCCCACCATCTTTACTCGCCTCTGTCGCCTCATGGGCATTGTCCTGGGTCTGCAGCGTCTCAAGGTCGGTGGCCGCTTCCATTTGGTTGTCCCTGCCATGCAGCGTCTGATGGCCTGCCTATTCGCACGCTCCCGCAAGCGCACCCGCTCTCCCCGCCCCCAGAATTCCCTCTCTCAGCCTTTCTGGCTCGCTCCGCTCCAAGCGTCGCACACATCCTCCTACACCCGTCTTCTTACGACCCTCAGCGACCCCACAGTGTCCGCCGTGCTCCGGTCCCAGTCCGGTGGCTCGCGTGATGCCCTCGTCGATGAGACTAAGAAGGCGAAGCGCATTGCCGGTCAGCACTTGCAGTATGTCATTATGGAGTATGCGCAGTGCTCGCTGCGTGGATCTCTTCTGCCCGAAGTGAAGAGTGCATTGATGCCAGGCTTGTATGCTGCGCTTGATGTGATGTCGAAGGAGTCGCTGCGTGCGCTCAATGCCGGACTTGATGTCTCTGGAAGAGCTATCTTCAAGTCCCTTCATGAGGACTATGTCAGATTTGGCAAGTGGAATAAGGCTTGATTGTATTTTTGGTTTCTTTTGTGGAGCATTATTTGGTGTATCGATTTTCTTACTGAAGGAGGGTTTTCATATTCTCTTCTGTACAATACTTTTTCTACTCAGACTTTATGATATCCCCGAATGCATATGATTGTTCTGAATTCCTAATGCCACCTAAATTACCACCCATTCGGGGTTGTGTTTCACAAACTTTGGGAACTTTCAATCTATGGAACCCAAAGTGGAGGGAGATGACGACCTTGGCAATAATGACCTTACCCTTGCTCGCCTAGCACTTTCTAGACACTCACCTAGACATCACTGCGATTGACTATAGTGAGAGGCCTGTCTCTTTTGTTTTTCGCGCGCAAGTGAGAGTATGCCAGGGTTGTACCTTGCCAAATAACATTGCCTGGGTAGATTTCAAACACACGTTGCAATGACTGGAGTCACGAAAAACTGCGGCGGTTTGTATTCTTCAACTGTCATGGATTTTTATGTGTCTAATCAATTGGAATGTTCTGCGAGTATCACATAATACTTGCAGCCTTGGAATATGTGCAGTACGCGGCTTCCCCGTAGGTGAGAGTTTACTGATGACTGATCGGTAAAAGAAGATTGGTAATGTGATAAATAAAACATGCTATGAATTAATAATTATAGCCATCTTCTCCTCCCCTTCTCCTTCCTCTTCATTCATTCCTTCTAAAAATTCGGGGTATCAATGTTGTTTATCATAAGTCATACAAAACACAAATCAAAACACGAAAAACAAAAACAAAAACACCACATCCCACGATATGAGACCCCTGGTAGATCTTCAGACCACTCCGGTCAATACCATCGTTCACATATCCGTTGGAACTTGGGAGCCCGGCTCGCCCATCTCGAAATTTGATTGAAAATCAATTTCAAAGTTCCACGGTTGACTGCTGCCGATGGTACTAATCGAAAGCTCGTTGAAAAGCTCCTGCGCTTGAGCGTCTTGGAGTTGGGGGTCTGGCATGCTGGGGTCGATGCCATTGTGGCCTCCGTGAGTGAGGCAACCAAAACATTCGCAGCCATCTCCACACCGGCAGATGCCAGTGGTGTTAGAGCAAGCTGGTACATTTACCGCGTACTCCAGGGTGGCATAGTCAGGCTGAATCAATCCCCCTTCGTTGATTCGTCGCTGACTTCCTCGCTGTCCAGCAGCTTGCATGGAAGGTGGCGATGGTAAATCAAAGAGGTTTTGATTCCCCTGCATAGCACCCATGGGCGACGGGGTATCGGTGCTCTGGAAAGCGTGGTGCTGCGGCGGTGCGACATGTGGCACAGGCGACTGTCCAACGCCGTCGCGAGCTAGGAGAATCCCCATTTCCTGAACGACTTGCCTGGTCGAAGAATTGAATGGATGGGACGAACAGCCAACACACTGGCAGCCAGGGCCGCAGTTACAATCGAGGCGCATTCCTTCATCCGGTGTGCTTGCCAGGGTAGGTTGAGAAGGATAAGAGGCAGGGGGGCCCATGGAAACATATCCACTGAAGTATTGAGGCATATGCATGTTTTGTATGTGGAAGTGAGGAGCGTGAAGGATTGCAGAAAGCTGCTGGGGTTGAGGTGGTGAAGAAAGGTACCTTCCATAGAAGGGTCGTGGTGGAGCAGCGTCTTGAGGGTACCAGTCTGCTTCTGCCCGGGTTGGCAGCATGTATTGCATGTCGTGCATACCGGAATCATTCCACGTGGCAGTATGAGACTGGCGTGCATGGGCATCGTTCGATGCCGCGGGTTGGTGCGAAGGCCTGGATGAACAGCAGCTTCTTCCTGGCTGTGAATCGATTGTGGGCTGACTGGATCCGGATGAAGGCGTTCCTGCCAGCGAAGGGTTGGTCGAGAATGGGTGGTTCCGGTATTGAGAATAACGATCTTGGGGCTGATCGTACTGCGCCACACCGTTCAGGTTGTTGGAAGTCCCGTTTTCCACCTTGAAATGCTCCGGTGTGCTTCTCACTGCTTCCGTATGATTCTCGGACATTTTTTGGGTAACGCTCTTCCGCCGATCAGGCTTTGGCATGTTACCGGACGCAGGGAATGCCATCTGGTCTGATGGTGCGGGGGTGGGAGTGCCAGTTTCAGGTGCCGAACGGACTGGCCGACACAGACAGTCGCTTCCTAGAGACCGAGTCAATGCGGTGATTCTATATGAACGGAAGCAATTTGACTTACCCTTCATGATTTTGACCACAAATGCACGGGTTGTCTTGGTGCAATTTCCGTCACAGACGGTCTCATCGTGGGGACATTTAGTCAAGGGCCTGCCAGCCTTGTGAATCTTGACCATGATACGGTCCCAATGCTCACATTTGGTGGACCGATGTCCGCGAACGCAGGATTCGCTATAATTGTCTTATTATTAGCGAGTATAAATTGTACTTTCCAAAAGCATCCCATGCTTACCAGGCCCATTTTCCGCCCTCCTCATCATGAGGCATATTGGCAAGGGATCCGGCCCCGACCTTAATGCACAAAGATGATTGTAGCCTTGGAATTAAACTTTGCCGGGAGTTGTCTTCGAAAATCGGCTTCAAATTTATATGAGATTCGAAGCGGGGTTCTGTGAGGGCAGATCTTTTGAGTCTTGAACCCGATAGCGGAACGGATCGGCCACCGCGGAAGGATGATACAGACTTTCAATGTTTGTATTTCTTGTGGGCAATCGGGAAAATTCGAGTACGAGTCAAAAACTTGAATCGAGATGAGGCTGGGGTATATAAGTATATCCGATGAAAAGAACTTGAGACAAGACAGAGGCTGAATTTACTACTCAAGTGCTCATTTGGGTAACGGGTTATACATCATTTCGGGTTTCCTTTCACTGAAACACCTCTGACCGCCTTCTTCACCGCCCCATTCACCGCCTTTCCCAATGGAGGCAAAATATTCTCTTTTTCATCAATTGATTGCATCCCTGACCGCCTTTCTCACCGCCCCCTTCACCGCCTTTCCAGATGGAGGCAAAATATTCTCTTTTTTATCAAAACACCCCTGACCGCCTTCTTCACCGCCCCTTTCACCGCCTTTCCTGAAGAAGGCAAAATATTCCCAATCTGGGACTGCTAATAATTAGGTTTATGACTCGCACGTGACTTGATCTGGCTACTAGTATCTTAGGCGTTTCATACGTGCGCCCGAATCCCCGACCGCGCTGCTCACCACCCCCTGAATTCTAACAATAAGTCACGTGTGAGATAGTAACTACTGAAGAGGGGAACGCTCATTGGCAAGCACATGTGACATCGGCACGATGTGCGGTTCGATCTCGCTATTCAAACACCACCAAAGCGCAGCGTAACCAGATACTAAGTCATGTAGAACACCCGTATGGGTCAGACAAGAAGTGTGTGTTCTTTCTAAGGTGCTGAGAACCCTATGTACTTATTGACATGAGCGCCGCTTCTCGGCTGCCAGCTGCCACCGCTTCCTTTACTGTAACGTATTACATAAGATGGTAGGGGCACTACACTACATAACAACTGGTAAGTTACTTTCGTAGCGGGAACTTGGCTAGTACCATATTATGATTGGCTTTCAAGCTTAATTAACACCACCACTTCACACCATGCCTGCGATGGCTACTGAAGGCGTACTGCCTGAACATAATGCGCGTTCCTTTTTCACCATCCCTCCTCCTATCAAGCATCTCTTCGACAAGTTTCCTTTAGCAACTTACCCTGCAAATGAGATTCCGCAAAGGTCTCCATCCCGGCGGCACGATAACCAGCTATTCGTTTTCAGTGAGCCAGCTAATGCGCGTCATGGTCGACCCTCGTTCAACCCCCAATGTCTTAAATGGCAGGTTTGTTTCAACCTTCCCGCACAAGTCCTTAGAGCTGTACTTATCCCCAAATCATCTTCTAGGCCTACTTGAAATTCCTCGGTGTGGACTTTGAGATTACTCCATCGAACAACCATGCATCACCGACAGGCGCCTTGCCTTTCCTTCTTCCAGCTCTCCCTACCAATGCCCCAGATGCGATTCCATCACACAAACTCCAAAAATGGGCGATCGAACAGGTCCACTGCGAGGAGGAGCAGCAATTAAACCTCCGCTTCGAAGTCTACGCCTCTCTCCTGGATCACCGGATACGCAATGCCTGGGTAGGTACCTCGACTATCCTTGGTGGTCATTGCTATAATTAGTGTCACTGCTGACGTCGAACACACAACAGTTGTATATGCTGTACCTTGATAGTGATAACTTTAATGCCGTGGCCCGCCGGCTCTACGTCGTCCCCGCAAGCAGAAACACACTTGTCCGCAGCGCCCTAGGACTCCAGCTCCAAACAGCCGCCCGCGATGAGCTCCTCAAGTCATCCTCATATGTTGACGTCGCAGAGTTGGAAGCAGACGCGGCTAACGCATTCCAGGCACTATCTGCCTTGCTCGGCGACGATGATCACTTTTTCGGCCGACCGAACCCAGGTCTCTTCGATGCCAGCGTATTCGCCTACACACATCTGATCTTGGACGAGGGAATGGGATGGAAGCGAAACCATTTGGCACCATCGCTCCGAGAGCACGCCAATCTTGTACAACACCGTGACAGACTTCTAGGCTTCTTCTAGACTTGTTTTATTATTTACTACCCAGAATCTAACGACCCAAAGAAAGGTCTGAAATCATATCCCCTCAGATTATCGACATCCAGTACTTTTGGTTTCTTTCTCCTTGTTTCTGCTATCTTGCGCCGTACTACAACTTCTTAAAGCATACTCCGAACCATACATTGATCCCAACCCACTTCTTCGCCCGCGCACCCAACACCTCTGCCAGCTGCTCATCTACCGCTCTCTCCAAAACCCCGCTTTCTTCGCTTTCCTCAACCAAGCTTATCACTTGGAATCCCGCTGTTTTTGCTGCCGCTAGCACCTCAATGATAGAGTGACAATAGCTCGTCGGCCGAATCTTAACCCCAGTCTGCGGATCCGTAAACCCAGCCTGACTGATCGCTCCCATATCCGCATGCATATTTGTCACGAGGAAATACGCGCCAGATCTCATAATCCCCGACGCCTTCCCAAAGAATTCCTTCAGCGGGATATGTTCCAACACAAGTGTAGAAATCACTCCCAATGCGCCAGATCCTTGTAAAGAGGGCGGCGCCGCCTGATCTGAACCCGAGCTCAAGAGATCAAAAACATCAAGCGAAACATTCACATCGTCATTCTCAATGGCGGCTGATTGAATGGCCGTTCTCGCAACATCTAACATGCCCGGCGAAGCATCAACGCCCACAACTTCAACCTGCGATGCAAAGGCTGGATCCCGCCGCATGGATAGAGCGCGCAATAGCTGAATGGTATTTCTGCCTGTTCCACAACCCAGATCTACTACCTTCAGTTGTTGATCTGTTATGATCCGCTGTGTTTGGAACTCTATGTTGACGCGTTCCAGGAACCGGGGGAGAAGTGCGCGCATCTCAATGGTGTCGAGTTGTTGTAGAAAGTTGCCGTCTGTATCGTAGACCTATTTATTACAATGCATTAGATTCACTCTGTTTCCAAAGTTGAAATATCCATGTCTAAACTGTCCAAGCTCCAATTGCTGGGGAGTGAAGAGATCTGGACCTACCTCTGCCCATTTATCGTATGCTTCTACTGTGCCAATATACTCCACAGTTTGATCATCCCCACGATCCCCACCCAGGCAGCCGAGCTTTGTAGCTAACATTTCTTGGATCGTCTTTGACATTTTATGTCTGTTCCAAGCCTATCGAGTATCTTTTGTCCAAGAATATTGCCGCACGGCTTGGAAAATTCACAATTGGACCGATTCTTATCAAATCCAAATGTTCCCAGGTTCTGGAAATTCAATGGGACAACGGGGATATATATACTAGTTATGTATACTGAGAAGCTCCACCCCGCACCTCGGCCCTCATCAAATCCCGACATTGACACATTGTGAGTCACCAAGCATCGGAGGTGACTGGATAATCAGTCGCAATATTTGAGAAATTTGAACGAAATGACTTTCAATCAATCAATTGATGTTCAAGTTTTGACCCTACTAGGTAGTTTATACTTCCAAGGTTCCCAGGTTGTACTGGCCTCTTCAAACATTGAATGTTTCCAAGGTTGCTTAGCGGAGCGGCGCAGACCACCAGTTGACGGGAAACAAGACCCCATCCCATCGTTCAATTTCAAAGCCCATTGGAGATAGGGATAAAAACACAGAAACTCGTGGTGGCTCAGTTCTTCGAGCCACTGCAAAACCTCTCCCAGGAATCGTGTCACCAGTTCGTCTCGTGCTTGCACAATATTGTGCCGGCTTTTCTCAAGTGCTCCCAATCACCACTGGCAAGGCAGAAGTTCAATCTAGTCCTTTTCAGGGAAGTATGAGCTATACCGCTATGTATATTAAATATTCATTCCACCTATGCCGACTATGAGCATCTTCGGGCATTATCCTTTATGAACGATTCCGTATTACCCTAGTATCTGGATGAGATAGTTGGTGATACATGGAATGTTTAATCTGTGTATATTTGAAGACATACTAAGACTTGTTGTTGACTTTCGAGGTAATAGTATAATAATAAGGAACGGTTGCCCTGGGATCTCGCACAATAAGTTGCTACTATGGCAGATATAATTTCTTGAGTTTTGAGCCGGTGACAGTCACTTAAAATGTTTTAGCTTGGGCTGTTGTTTGTGAATTCTGGCCTGGAACATCCAACCTTCCAAGTTTGGCTCCAACTTGAATGTTCCATCTTTGCTGCGCTTGAGAAAGCGGAGCACTGCCCAGGGGCTAAAACGGGGCCTTGGACCCTGAATTCCTTAGCCGCACGTTTCAAAAATTGGAATGCGGGGTGGCATCTGAAAAAAATTGGCATAAGAGTGCAAGGGATATTGGAAAAGAGATTCTGTTGATTATTCATTCATGATATTTGGTGAAGTTCTACCTAAGTAAATTGTCACAAAAAAAATTCGTACACGATCGTTCCGCCATCAGAGACAGATAAGGAAAACGGAGACACAAAAAGGTCCAGAGGGAGGTCGACACAATTCCAGAATTGGAGGATGAAAAAAACAAGATGAGAGGAAGAGCAAAAAAGGTGTCAAAGGCAAAGAATCAGAGTAAACATCTGTGGGGCAACATCTGTCGAGTTAAATCAATTTTCCAGGGTTCGGGAGAATAACGTCAAGTCTTATCCACATAACCACGCCGTACCGGACGGGACGTAAAAGGCTCGTGAAGAATCAAACATGAAAGCAGGCTGAAGAAGAGAAGAAAAAAAGCGGGCTGAAGAAGAAAAGAAGAAAAGAAGAGAAGAAGAGAAGAAGAGAAGAAGAAAAAAGGTCGAAGAGAGAGAGGAAGAAAGAGTAAGGTAGGAAAAGAAACATAAAAACCGAAACCGTATCAATGCAGCCATAATGTACCACATGGCGGGCGTTAAACCACCGTGAGTGGTCATTCATCAGTAGACCGTCGCTCCAAAGGGCGCCGTCTCCTTCAAGTCCTCAACCAGGTCCTCAACATTATTCAAGTATCGACCCAGCATCGCCTGTTTTTCATCGGTGGTCCTGGTATCCCTGATCATTTTACCCGCTCTGCCCGGAGAGGTAGGTGAGCTTTGTGACATGGGCCGCGAGGAAATTTTGCTCGGGCTGCGCTGCAGACCCGGTGGACTAGAACGACCGCCCATGGCTGGACTCAGAATTGGGGTCTCGGGCATGAGGTAGAAATACAAGAACTCGACCAGCTTGAGCTTGACCTCGCGCGAGGTGGCACGCTGCTTGAACAGAGACGTCACGGTCAGCAGACCGTCTAGGTCCTCAAATGTGCGTGTGTTGGTCGGACAATCAAGCAAGGCTGTGACGAGTGTGAGCAGTGTTGCAGATTGAATGGCGGGACAATTGATGGGATCGAGGAGGTCGAGGAGGAGGTTCATGTATATCTCGCGGGCGAAGAGTGTGCGGGAGGGTGGGTGGAGGAGAAGTGCGCCTTGAATGAGGTCTAAGGTGCAGACGATGAGCATGTCGTTTGTGCCGTTGCTACCGCGGCCGAGAAGGTGTTCGAGGCAAGAGACCAAGCGCATTGCGACTATATATCACAACGGGGGACATTTTGTTAGTTTTGTGTGGATGATATTGTGGGTGGACCACGTTGTTGATATTGGCTTTTTCTGGGGGAGAGTGCCCATCATATGATTGATCGCACATGAGGTTTGGAACGTGCAGGAAAACGAAAACTAGCAAACGCACCATTCCATTGGAAACCATCTTGAATTTTGTAAAATTCTCGGAAAGCCGGGTCGTCACGTAGTTCGGAGAGGGCCTTGGGTACCGGTTGTGATTCCGTGGTCAAGTAGGATCTTCTCCGATCGGATGTGGATTTCGGCTTGGAGAGGCAGATTTGGGCCAGTAGGCCTTCAACCTGGCGCAAGCCCTTTCGGACTTTGCTAGGCTCGTATGAGCAAAGATAATCGAATGAATGAGCCAGTAGATTCTCCATGGGGGGAAAATGGTAAAAATTGATGAATGAAGAAAAGAAGAAAAAAAAAATGAGCACAAGACGGTGAACAAAAAGAGGCTCAGCTCTACATAAACAAAACCAGCTCAGCTGAGGAAAAAAAGCATCTAGAAAATCGGATTTGCACAAAGTGGTCCGTGTATGCCGATGAGGTCAGTTTTGGGCCCAACTGCCAAAAAGGTAAATAAAGGGTTGGTTGCCCCGGACGACCCCACTATATATTGGTTTTTGGATCTTCCTCACCAACAACTTTGAAGGTTATTTTCTTATGACATGAGATGCTAATACCAAAAAACCGGTTTCCGATCTGGGGTTCATCTATTCTTGTTCTTTTACTTGGCCTAACCAGCCTTAGTCTACTTTCTACTTTCTACTTTCTATGTTCTTGTGCTCTAGACCCGTTTATCTCTGAGGCTCTGATATCATACGTACACCTGTGCATATATAAAAGAAGAAGAAAAACCAGATCAAAGAATGAAATGGTTGCCATAGCAGGGGTTTGCCCTTGGAGTCCCTTGGATCCCTTGCAATAACAATATTAACCATAATCTAGGGCTTTAGTATTGTTTGACGCCAGGGCATTTTCGCTTAACTATTGTTCTCCCCCACTTACGGACAATTGCTGCAAGGTGACTGGTAAAGCGCCCGTGACAATCGCTGACAGATGTGACATGTCTCTTTGTTCCCGTGATGCCCCGTGATAAGCAACCCATGGTTCTCTTTCCCGATCAGGCTTAGCTCGATGTACTCCCCGACCCCCGTTCCGGGCGCGTAATTGCACATGTGGTATCGAGCGGGAATAACTTCGAAAATCAAAGAAGCTCTATCTCTCAAAGAACCTCTCTGACCATAAAAAGGACTCACGGCGGCAGCATGGAATTCATGTATTTTTGTCGATGCCTACCGCAGGCTACTTCTTTTCACTAAATCTCACTAATTTCCCCCAGGTCCTTAGTCGCAATCTGCTTCTTTTCTAAATCTTACTCTTAACCCCGCCGTCGTTAACCCCCTCCCCCTCACTACGTCAGCGATAGCCCCGAAAGGTCCTCCTTTCCTCGATATCACCTCTCAACAACATGAACTTCGAAGCGCCAACCTCCATTCCACCGCGGACTAGCTCTGCAAATGCTACAAATGGCCCCGCAAGCCCCCCGCCCAAGTCCAAGCACCGTCGCAACAAGTCCAGTGTCGATGGCACCAAATACAAAGATGGCACTTGGTCTCCCAAGAATGAGGAAATCCTCATGGGCCCCTACGATTATCTCCAGGCCCACCCAGGAAAGGATATCCGCCGCTCAATGATCGAGGCCTTCAACTCCTACCTCCAAGTCCCACCGGACAGCTTGGCCATCATCACCCGCGTCGTAGCTATGCTGCACACGGCCTCATTGCTGTCAGTTTGGCCCCCAAAACCCCAATCCCAATCCACCCTGTCAACTCACCTCCAACATATGACTGACCCTGGCATTTTTAACTTCAGAATCGATGACGTCGAAGACAATTCCGTCCTCCGCCGCGGCATCCCCGTCGCCCACAACATCTTCGGCACGGCCCAGACAATCAACAGCGCAAACTATGTCTACTTCCTCGCGCTCCAGGAGGTCCAAAAACTCAACAATCCAACCGCCATCAATATCTTCGTAGCCGAGCTCCTGAACCTCCACCGCGGCCAGGGCATGGACCTCTTCTGGCGCGACACGCTCAACTGCCCGACGGAGGACGAATACCTCGAGATGGTGGGCAATAAGACGGGTGGACTGTTTCGGCTTGCGGTGAAGTTGATGCAAGCGGAGAGCGCGACGGGTAAGGACTGTGTCAGCCTTGTGAATGTCTTGGGCCTGATCTTTCAGATCTGTGATGATTATTTGAATCTCTCCAACACCACGTATACGCAGAATAAGGGCATGTGCGAAGATTTGACCGAGGGCAAATTTTCCTTCCCGATCATTCACAGTATTCGCTCGAATCCAGGGAGTCACCAGCTTATTAGTATTCTGAAGCAGAAGACCACTGACGAAGAGGTGAAGCGCTATGCCGTGCAGTATATGCAGAGTACGGGGAGCTTTGAACATTGTCGGACGGTTGTTCAGGGATACCGGGATCAGGCGTTGTTGTTGATTGATGCGATTGATGCTACTCCATGTATCAATGGTGCTGGGGATGGAACTTTGGTGCGCGCCGTTTTGAATAAGATTGTGAATACAACTCTGGAGAGTACAGTGTCTTGAGTGGACCTTTTATACTTGATGGTGAGTGTGCTTTTTTATTATTTTTTCTCGCTGTTTTTGTTTTCTTTTCTTTTTGCTATGTGGATACATACTCTTTCCCCTTGGTGGCAATCTGGATCTTTTGAAAACGGCGATTTACGATGTCATGATAATACCAGAATGCCATTTCATGCGCCTTACCTTGAACTTCCAAGACGTACTTACTAAGCTATTTTCATGTACAAAGGGCTCAACCTTATCCAGCATTGCTAACGTTCTGTCTACCTTGGTCAGTTCGCATAGTAATATGTATGCCGACAGATGGAAGCATCAATCTGAGTAGCCTATCTTATAGAACGAATCCAACATTGAAATTTCCCTTGAGATGTCCAGTATCTTCCAATCGACTGATGTTGGATGGTGTACATAGCTAAATGTTGTTGCTGTGGAGAATGGAGGTCTTCCAAGGTTCAATGTTGTCTCTGGCAACATGTGGACAAATTTTGACTTCTCGACTTTGAACCAAATCCATGTTGAAATGGTTCGCGTAGAATGTAGAATATATTAGAAATCTAAACTCATTGTATCATCATATCTTCCAGCACTGAGGCTATATTTGCTTGAAGATAGCAAAATTTGAACAGATGTCTACATAACCACACAGCAAGCCTTCTCCAGCTTCTGCATAATCTTCGGCAACAAAGCATTAACAGCCTGCTCAAGCTCATCGGGCTGCTGTTGTTGCTGTTGCTGTTGCTGCTGGTGCTGCTGTCCAGGGTACTGCTGGTGCTGTTGTGGTTGTTGGTATTGCGACTGCTGTTGCTGGTGTTGCGGGTACTGAGGCATAACAGCCTCGCCACCAGTCAAGTTCACATAGATACGACCAGAATTCTCCTCAGTGGCATGCTGCAGCCCCAACTCCTCGCAGATCCTCTCGACGCGCGGCTTGATCTTTTGAATATGTCCAGCAGAGTGGTTGCCCTTGCCGACGATACTGTGATAGCAGAAAAGGTCCGTCAGCTTGAATATTTTTTTGAGGGGGGGGAAGGCGATTCGATCCAAACATACACGTGCAAATGGGTCTGACCATGCGCCTTCGCATACTTGATGCGCTCCTCCAGAATCTCCTCCGCCTCCTCAACAAATTGACCGTGCAGATCGATCGTGTCGGCGGCTACGCGCCCACTGGCATTGTTCTCGCGGAAAATGAACTCGGAAGCTTGCTTGTTGTATTCCTCCATTTTGCGCCCGTGCGCCTTGCCCTCCTCGGAGTACTGCTTGGCGCCGGCGCCATCACCGCTCGAGTAGGCTTCCTGGGACTGCGGAGCGAGAACAAAGCCCAGTTAGTCGGGCTGGCTCCATCGTCGCGGGCAAATATGTATGATGGAAAGCGGTGTTAATCAGGGAGGAAAGGTACCTGGTGGAAGCAGTTGCCACGCTTGGTGGCTTCCTGGCGAGCCAGGTCGCGGAGGCGGTCGTACTCGGCCTCGGCGTCGCTGCTCTGTTCGTGGTTGAAGGCTGGGGTTTGGGATTGAGTTAGCTGGTGGTTCGGGTCTGTGTTTGCGATTCTGGACTGGATGGATTGGACGTACCCCGAGGGCCGAGGTGGGACATTTCGTGCGACATGTTGGTTTGGGGATAGGGAATGGTGGGACTCGGGAACTGTTGAACTTGGGCAGGGGTCGCATTTAAAGTGGAGAAATTGGCCAGGGACCCGAAAAATCAAATCAGATCGATTTCGATTTGCGATCGAGTTCGTTCCATGGATTCTGCTTTTTGCTTCCGTGAATTCGATTCGTTTTATTTTGTTTTTTTCCTTTTTCCTTTTTCCTTTGACCGTTGATATTGCAATTGATATTGCAATTGGCATTTTTATGTTGGATCAAACCCCCGTGACGTGCATCAACTGTACACTGCAGTTCTTCATATTGCAACCTTTACAGGTCCGTGTACTCTACTCGGTATTTTTGTCGTCCCCGAGCCGCATACGGAGTACTATACGGAGTAATATAAGACCAACATGGAACATTGTAAATATTTTTATTATATTTTTTATTCTCTAGAAAAAACGACTCATCTGACCGATCTGGGATCTGGGATTCACGTACTAATCCCCGGAGTCGACCTGTTCTTCCTCCATCGGCCGATCCGGAGCCGTGGTCCTGGTGCGGCTGTAAATAGTCTCGACGCTATTGCCAGACTTAGGTGGATGGTGGACCCAATGATTCTCAACATCCACTATAGAAGACGCCAGGCTCCTAATCTGGAGCGTTGAAGCGACCACGTGGAAAGTTCGGAGAAATATAATAGATTAAAAAAAGGGTTTCAACAATGGTCATTATGGAAGTACGGAGTATACTACTAGCAGATCTACCCTTTATCCCAAGTGCTTAACAGTGAATTATAGGCAGAGTGTGTTGTCGGTACCTACTAGGTATTTTAGCGCTTGAAGTTGACGCTTGCCTTTGTATGATTCTCATGCAGCCTGTGGAGTTATCCAGGGCCAAGGTCAAAGCCCGCTCCGGATTGAGCGGGTAAATGCGTCGTGGCGGTGGCTACGGATTAGATGTCGGTGGATCTCAGCTTTCAACTTTCGGGTATGGAGAATATGGAGAATATGATAGGTCTAATGATCGCTGGTAGAGGAGGGTTGGAGTTGATATGTATGGTGTACCCATAAGATCAGCGCATCTTCGGTGCAACTAAGCACTGTATGTAGCAAATCCGTGTGTATGGCAAGCCAGCAAGAGAGTTGGAACATGGAGAACCGCGGAGATAACATTGAAGGAGTTTAGGGATAAAATACGAAGCAAGCAAGACCTGGTCTTTGGCTGGGACAATCATGTTTTGGGTATGTACGCCGTATACATGTAAACACCAAACTTGAAAGGTGTTTCTCCCATGCTGGTATCTGGATCCGTCTTTAGATGGTAGATACTAGAGGCTGAGAGTCATGAATGTTAGCAATTGTTCCCAAGGTTTCAGGTATCAATTACCTCGTATGGCCACGGTATGGCAGCAAAAGTTCTGCAAGTGGAGACCCCCTTCAACATTGAACGATTCTATTCCAACCTCTAGTGTTTTCTCTCTGAACAATCAGGGTTTCTCCTTTCTACATAGACTTTAATTCCAGTAGACTATAGCCTTTTCCTTAAATTGATTTCCTCAAGCGGAGTACAAGTGACCTCAATTTCCAGGAACTCTATACACCAGGGATGGTATGCGCGGCAAAAGAACGGCTAGAAGCACTAGCTGGTGGGTCAGGGAACAAATAGCGCGAAACCAAGGCGCGAAATAAATTCCAGAAATTCCATCTCAGGGGCCACTCCATGTGCATGTGGATTAAGCCCGGTTTTTTTCCTTCTTTTGCCATGTGGGAGATTCTCTGATTTTCGTGCTGACCCGCTTCTTTACAAAAATCCCTTTTTTTTTTCTCTCTTTTTTTTTTCTTTTGTCTTCTGATGTTGTCATCGAATTAGGGCTTACCCTTTGCATTAGCATGGTTTATACTACCAACATTCAAGGTTCAAGGTTCAGGGGGCCTATTACTAATGCTGATAATAAGATTCATAAGATTCTCTGCACAGAAGTACAGCGAATACTTTAATACTTTAAGCCAAGATTCCAAGGTTGGGGGCGGTGCGGCCTTCCCGGTCAGATCGACATTGGAGACGAGCTGTACTCCGTAGTTGTAGCGTAGTATGTAGTAGTGCCCTGGACAAGCATCCCATGTATCACTCAGGTTTCAACGTCGCAGCACACTGAAGCAGGTGGCTATTTTAGTGATGGGGCGCTGATGCTGATGATCAACCTATGCATAAAAAAGATTAGGCTTTTTTTTCTCTTGTCTCTTCAGTCCATCTCAACCATGTTGGTGTCACAGTGAGATCTTCCTTTCAGTAATGTTCCAGGTTGAGGCACAGACAACACAAGGCTGGGGGGAAGACGTAACGGTCAGTCAGCAGCTAAACCAGTGTAGGTTGTATGGGTCTCTCCCTGCCTAAGCAGTTGTGCAGAAGATCGGCAAATCTCTCCATGCAGTAAAGTAAAGTACTTGAAAAAAAAAGTAGCCCCCCCTCTCACTCCCTGACGGATCATTGTACATACATAGTGTCATCCAAACTCCGGACCTAGCACTAAGTCATTGTCGGACAATATTAGTTTGGGTCCCCACAGAGGATCTGCATTAGGGATATTGGGCTTGGGGAAATGGGCGTGCTTCCCCCCCTCTCCCCGTCATGTCATTTTAAAAAAAAAGAAGGAAGGAAAAAGAAAGACCTTTTGGGAAGATGTGTTCTTTGTTCCGAAGAAAAGATAATCATGCAGCGTAAATTTCCATTTCTGGCCCCAAAAGGAGATGCAGGACGAATGGCAGCAGGTAACATGAATAAATAGGGGGCAGAAAAGTTGATCGTTGAAGTGATTGGATGGGGCTCGTGCTGATGAAAGTGGGGCTATATGCCCCAATAGCCAATCAGAACCTCGGATTGCTGGTAACCGTCTGGTCAATCTGTGGAAAAGCCGGGCGTCTCTGTATTAGTGTAAAGTACCGTACCGTTTCCCCTTTCCCTGCTGAAACTTCCAATTTCCCCTCCCCCCTTACCTTTAACCTCTCACTCTTCCAGCTGGAATAACTTCGTTCATTCCTTCCATTCACTTGCCAGGGACCTTCGATTCCTTAAGGTACGCACTGCCTCCCCTCCCACTGCAGAGATCTCCTCCCTCCCCCCTTTCCTTATCTACGGCATCCATCTACACTTTTGCTTCGTGGTCAACCATTCTTGTTTCACCCTTGCATTCTCACGATTGCATCCTGAAACGTCGGTCCTCGGCGACTTGTACTACCTTCTCGTCACCCCGTCCATCCTAAAACGCGATCCGAGAATTGAGGACCGCACAAGAAGCAAAGAAGAAGAAAAAAAAGTTTGCTGACAGATTCGTCCCTTGAACAGTCCCCTGTGATTGAGCAACGATCCCTATCGAGTCGATCGCCTCGTACATCTATCGCGATCGTTTAATTCACACATCAAAAACACCGCCAAGATGGGTTGTGGAATGAGCACTGAGGACAAGGAGGGGAAGGCCCGCAATGAGGAGATTGAGAACCAGCTCAAGCGCGACAAGATGATGCAACGGAACGAGATCAAGATGCTCCTTCTCGGTAAGGATTCGACTCCCCAGCGCCGACGTGAAATCGATTCGACGGAGGGCGGAAAAAAGAACAACACTGACTAAAAGGGGTATCTAGGTGCCGGAGAGTCTGGAAAGTCGACAATTCTGAAGCAGATGAAGCTCATCCACGAGGGCGGATACTCGCGCGACGAACGTGAATCTTTCCGGGAAATCATCTACAGCAACACAGTGCAGTCCATGCGCGTTATTTTGGAGGCGATGGAGTCGTTGGAGCTTCCCCTGGAGGACGCCCGCAACGAGTACCACGTTCAGACTATCTTCATGCAACCCGCCCAGATCGAGGGTGACAGCATTCCCCCAGAGGTCGGCAATGCCATTGGTGCGCTCTGGCGCGATACCGGTGTTCAGGAGTGCTTCAAGCGCTCGCGTGAATACCAACTCAACGACTCGGCCAAATAGTGCGTTCATACTGGAATTCAGAACCAAAAACCCCCGGCGAAAAAACTGCAGTTCTTTCTAACTTTTTTATAGCTACTTCGATGCCGTTGACCGCATTGGCCAGCCCGACTACCTTCCTACCGACCAGGATGTCCTGCGCTCCCGTGTCAAGACCACCGGTATTACCGAGACCACTTTCATTATTGGCGATTTGACCTACCGTATGTTCGATGTTGGTGGTCAACGATCAGAGCGAAAGAAGTGGATCCACTGCTTTGAGAACGTCACCACCATTCTCTTCTTGGTCGCCATCTCCGAGTACGATCAACTGCTTTTCGAGGACGAGACCGTGAACCGTATGCAAGAAGCCTTGACATTGTTCGATTCCATCTGCAACTCCCGGTGGTTCGTCAAGACCTCCATCATTCTGTTCCTTAACAAGATCGACCGCTTCAAGGAGAAGCTTCCCGTCAGCCCGATGAAGAACTACTTCCCCGATTACGAGGGTGGTGCCGACTACGCCGCTGCTTGCGACTACATCCTTAACCGCTTCGTGTCTTTGAACCAGGCCGAGCAGAAGCAGATCTACACTCACTTCACATGTGCCACTGACACCACCCAAATCCGATTCGTCATGGCCGCCGTCAACGGTAAGCTTTCATCTTTCCCCATATCTGGATACCCCAAGTTCAAAAGCTAATTTAAACCCCTTTAGATATCATCATCCAAGAAAACCTGCGCCTCTGTGGTTTGATCTAATGAGATTTCCCATTCCCTCGGGTGTCAAACTAGATCGCATGTGTTTTGTTTTCCTTTGGCTTCTCATCAGGTCTCCTGATATATGATCCAAAAGCCTCGTGTCCAAGAAATTCCGGCGTTAAACATGTCCCTTTATCTTTTCCTTATCTCTTTTCTTTTCTTGTGTGTCTTCTAATTGCGCTCCCCTCCTTGACACGATCTTTAGCCGGTTCTTTCCTCCTGCTCTCGAAGACGCGGAGCAGGACCTTTTTCGACCCTCCCCCCATTTTCTATCTTTCTTTTTCTTTTTCACGCTTTTCTTTGTCCCACTTTGTCTTTGAATGCTGGATATCCTCCTTGGTTGCCCCCTCCCATTTTTTTTATCTATTTCTGTTTTTTATTCCATCTTGTGTTGATCTTGTATGTAACCATACCGTCTCACCCCTTCATGTTCCTTGGTCTCGCGTCCGATGGAAGTTTTGAGCTTACCATCCGTGATGAACACGGGGAACTGACAGCGGATTCTCATGTCTCTTCTCATGTGTCATGCCAGGTCGGTCGTTGGGTTATCGTCAGTTAGCAATTGAATCACGGGTTCCCGACCTTCACCTCACTTCCATTACTTCCGTGCAGATGCTGGCTATGGCCATGCTTAAAGTATGCGATTACATTATTTTCCGAAGGATGGCCCATTGATAATAGCTACTAGGTACCTAATGGAGATGAGAGAGGAGAAAAATAGGCTCTATGAATGCAATACATATTCAAATATGGAATCTAATTCCCGGGTATCTCAACTAAGTCCAAAGTAATGCATGCATGTCCAACCCATCATATCCAGTTAAAGAAACCAATACCAACTTTGAAAAAGGTTGATATCAACTCCCTGCTTGAAATCGTCCCGAGCCCCATCTAAAACCTCAACTTGGGCAAAACATAAACAATCAAAATAGCAACAACCCACAACCCAAAGATCCACGCATAAAGCATCATCCGCCCCCACCACCCTTTCCCCTCTGACATCTTCCGCAGCATCCCCATCCTCTTCCCCGCAGCCTCCATCGTCGCGCTCGTCTTATCCATCCCCGTCACCGCACGATCAAGCACAGACTGCTCATTCTCCAACGTTGTCTGGAACGACTGCGAGGATGCCTTAAGCTGGCTAGCTAGCGCGACGAGGGAGCTAGTCAGATCCTCCTGTTCGAGTCGGTGCGTGCTGAGCTCTTGTTCCTTTTTGTTTGCGGGCGTGGAAGTCGAAGCGGAAGTGCTACTTCCAGATGCTTTGGCTTTTGCGGTGGAGTCCGTTAGTGAGGTTTGCGGCTTTTGGTTTGTGGATCTGTTTCGCAGGGTTGGGGGTGCGGTGGATGTAGGAGGTGCGGCTGTTGATGTTGATGTAGATGGGTATGCGGGTGTTGATGTTGGTGTTGTGGTGGAATCAATATCTCGCTGCTCTTTGTCTTTGTTTTCCGTGTATATTTGGGGCTTGCTTGGGCTGTTGGGTGCTGGGAGGATCTTTTCGGCAACCGGTTTCGCGAATAAGTCCGCCCATTCTGTGTCCACTTCGGTCTCGTTATCATTATCGTTGCTGTTGTCGTTGTCGTTGTCGTTGGCGCGGGCATCTTCTTCGTCCAAGACGGCTTGCATGCGCTTTAGAAGTTGTCTGTCACGTGTGACTTCTTCCTGAACCTCGTGTTTACGCTCGAGGGATTTCAATTGAGGGAGAGATCGTTCCAGTTGTGAGAGGAGGGTGCGTGCGTATTCGAGGTTCTATGAGGGCCGGGATTAGATGTGTTCGGGTTATATGATGTTTAGTATACTCCGGTCGAATAGAGCGATGGAGCAGAGTTGAGGCTCTATATAGCTCGGGCCAGGGCATAATTTTATAGAACTGACACCCTGGTCCGATCAGCAGCTTTGCTTACCTTTGTTATGCGCATGCGCTGGAATTCGGACCCACGCAAGGTGCGGAGCTCTGAGCCCGGCGTTAGGAGATTGTGTTCGAGCCGGGTAAAGAGACGGGCTGTGTTGAGGAGGGTGAGGTCCGGGGAAGAGTTCCCGAGAGAGGGGAAAGCGGTTACAGCCATCTTGGGCGAAGGCTTCGTTATCAGTGTTGTATAATGTGGAGTTTAAATTGGGAATTGGAGGTGAGAGAGTCGAAAGAGGCCACTTCCATGGCATGCTGACTCAGTATCATCACGGGACTTGGCATCTACAAACATAAAGAGCCACTAAATAACTATGCACAATGCAGGAACACCAAATAGAATCAAGGGAAAGAAAGTATCAGAACAGAGCAGCAATCGCAGTCCAACCCCCAGAAGAATGAAAAAGAAGAAAAAGAAAGGAAAAGAAAAGCAGACAAACCTCCCGATTTCAATTCCAAATCGCACAAAGCACAGAAACACAAGAAAAACAAAAGAACCTTTTAAAAAAAGGCAGAAGAAAAGAAAAAAAAAACAAACAACCATCGAAGTGCTCAAAGTACTCAAGGTAACTAATTGTACTCAACCACTAACCGGCGAAAGGTTCTCGCCCCCGTCTCGTCCGTCTCATACATAGTCTGCACCATCCCACTCCGCCTTTGCAACTGCAACCCATTCTCGCCCCCATCACTAGCCTGGTGAGGATGAGGGTGAGCCTCCAATTCAGGCATCCCCGGTGAATCGCCCAAGGCCAAGGCCAAGCCCGAGGAAGTCTGCATGTGCATCTGCATTTGTTCACGCGCTCTAGCTGCCACCGCCCCACTACTCGGGAAGGTCCCACAAAGCGACAGTGGCTTCAAGACATGGAGAGCAGAGGCAGGGGGTGGCGATTCAGGGTTCTGGCTGGCGTTGGCTTTTTCCATATCGGAGAGGGCGGACCACACGGCCGGGTTTGCCAGGTCCCGGTTGGGATATCCCTGTCCACGGACGTATGCGATTGCCACCACGAGGCTTAGGCCGATTAAGGCGAGGATGCCGGCCCACGGTGCCCACCACGGGAATGAAATTGGAATTGGGAATTGGAATGAGTGGAATCCGAGGTTGCGCAGTGGGTTTGGCTTTGGCTTTGTAGATGTTGGTACTGTAATCATTTCGTGGTTTTTTTTTTTTTTTCTTTATTTGATTTTGGTGGGTTTTTACCACCCTTTTGTTGGTGGGTTATTCACTATATAGTGATGCTCTTCCAGGTTGTTTTGTGGTTGTAGTTCCAAGGTTGTTGTTGTGGTGGTGCGGGTGATGTATAGATTGTGGTGGTTATTCCCAGTATGGATAGCTTCGAGGCGCAAGGCTGAATAGCTTTGGGTTGGAATGCTGATCATGGGATTCAGAAAAGAAGTTAATTGGAGTATATACTTGAACAGGGTGGGATCTAGGGCCGTAATATAGCAAGTTTTCTCAGTGGGTGGCCTTGGAGAACTGGAGACCAAAAGGAAAGAAAAACCAAGATCTACGGCGTATACAAAGAGAAAGAGTGTAATAGACGATAGCGGGGCTCGATATATTTTTAATTTAATTTAATTTTTAGCTTATTTTCATTTCGCCTCTCATTTTCTCGTTTTCTCGTTTTCTCTGGATCTATAACGGCATGAGTTTCATGAAGCCCAGGTGATACAGTGGTTTGCATAAGGATTTGCATTTCAGTGAACATCTGATCGATCATAAAGTCAAATCCAAGGTATAATGAGAAATGAGTAATGGGCTCAAAAAAAACAATTATATGATCTTCTTTCATGTACAACATAGGGACTTCAAGGTAATACTCGGACCGGCAATCATGTTGTACTCCGCCCCCACTAAGGAACACTGGGAATGGGATATCAAGGATCATAAAAAAAGAGCTCTGGTCTGGATCATGCAGCTCATTCACAGGGGAAAAAAAAAAAACAGAAAAGTGGATAAAGAAAAAAATAAATCCCACACTAAACCACCTGGGTTCCAGCTAAGCAGGAGCCAGCCACGAACATTTGGAGCAGTTATTCAGCTGCCGCCTCCAGGCGCCACTGACAGAGATTGCCATCTAATAATTCCTCTTCTCTCTATATGTCTCTTCACCGTGAATAATTCCCAAGCTCTTTTTCACGATTTTCAAGCCTCAACCCATGGTTCTGGGTTGCGGAGAAAAAAAAGAAAAAAGAAACAGGGTCGATCATATTGCTCTCTACCAATAGATATCCTTGTTTGAGGCAAGTTTTGAGGATCTCCACCGATCGCGATCTTTTTTCAGCTGCTGGATTTAGGGCCTGGCGCTAACTCTTGTCCAGTTGACGAATCAGCAGCGACTTTCCCGCGCTCGGCTATCGTGCTTTTCTTTCAAATGTTCACTTTTGACTTCCCTTATTCCCCGCGAGGGATCGGCATATGCTTAGAACATACAGGGAACTATGTATGTACGAGAATTGGATTTTCTTAATTACAAATTACGAGCTTGTTTCTTGGCGTCATTTGGGAAAACCTTTATGAAAATTGAACATTGAAGCCACATATTAGGGTGCGTCATATGAAATCCATACAAATATTCAATACGATTCCTTCTACACATATATGTACTAGCAAACATTGGAACATTCAAATGTTCAATGTTGGAATATCCAAGTCTAGAGTTTCGCCGTGGCACGTTGCTTCAGCTCCGCCCGCGCTTGCTCGCGTAGTACTGCTCGTAGGATCTTCCCCGATGGATTCTTAGGGATCGCCTCGACGAACTTTACCCCGCCAGTGATCCGCTTCGTGGCAGAGACCTTGCCGTCCATGAACCTGACAATCTCCTCACTCGTCGCGGATTGTCCCGGATTCAATACGACATATGCCCGAGGTCGCTCATCATGGTCACTATAAACACATGCAATGGTTAGCTACATATTCCACATGTACCCATCCCTTATCCCCGCAGAAAAAAGCAGACATGTATTGTCAATATATGTCCACATTAGGTAGTACTCACATAGTCACACCAATCACCGCAACATCGGCAACGGCAGCATGCTCCAAAATGATCGCTTCCAATTCGGCAGGGGCCACTTGGTTGCCCTTGACCTTGATCAATTCCTGCAGAATTGTCAGTGCTTTTTTTTTCTTCAAAGTTGTTTTCTTTTTTCCCTTTTTGCTATTAATCTCCTTTCCCCACTTAGTCTCATCACGTACCTTCATCCGATCCACTACATGGAACTTGCCCTGATCATCTACATACGCGATGTCCCCCGTTCGCAGCCAGCCATCGTCCGTCTTGGTCTCCTTGGTCGCTGTCGGGTTCCGCCAGTACCCCTTCATGATATTCTGTCCACGGACCCACAACTCACCACGCTGATTGCGTGCCGTGATTTCGGTAACGTCATCTGCCATGATCTTAGCCTCGCAGTTGGCATTAGGTTCTCCGACAGATGCGGAGTCGCTCGTCTCTGTCGGGTCCCATCCCAAAATGGAACATGTTGCCCTAACAAACCCACCGTCAGCTGTTAATTCTAAGCCGCAAACCCCCCACCAGTTGCAAGCAACAGGTTCAGGGGAAGGGAAAGAAAACCCAAACAAAGAAAAAACAAAAAAAACAAAACATACTCTGTCATCCCCCAACCCTGCTTAATATTAATCACTCCAGCAGGCCACAACCGCTCCACCTCAGCACAAACCTCCCGCCCCAAAGGCGCCGCACCACTCCCCACCGTATCCACACTACTAAGATCATACTCCTTCACCAAGGGGTGCTTAGCAAGCATAACGACAACAGGCGGCACAAGCGTGAGATCCGTAATGCGAAAAGCCTGCGTATACTCAAGCATCTTCTGAAAATCAAACTTGGGCATGATATAAACCGGCGTCCCATGCACCAAAGCCCCCGCAATAAAGATCGTCTGCGCCATAGCATGATACATAGGCAGGAAGCACAACCAGCGCATAGACGCCTTCCGCACCTCATACCCTTTCCTCAGCGTCGTCAAATGCGTATGCTGCAACACATTCGCCACATAATTCTTATGCGTGATCTCGACGCCCTTCGGCCGCCCCGTCGTCCCACTGGAATAATTCAGCGCAAGCGTCCGATCCGCCAGCCCCGCACTCCCAAGCTCCTCCCAAGCAAACGCCTCGCCCTCTTCAACAGACGCGATCAGCGCCCCCCAGTACGCGCACCCGCTCTGCGGAAAGCTGCTATGGCTGCCGTCGAAGACGTCGCTGTCGAAGACGAAGACGCGCGAGCGCGGGAGCCCGGCTTGCGCTGCGGCTTCCAGGCCTGTTGGGAGGCTTGAGCCGGCGCAGAGCAGGTATGTTGCGCCGCTGTCTTGGAGCTGGTAGGCGAGTTCGCGCGCGACGTAGGTGGGGTTTGCGGCTGTGAAGATGCCGCCGGCCATTATTACGCCCATGAGGATTACGGGGAAGAAGAGGTCGTTTCCTGAGAAGAGGAGGACGCGGTCGCCGGGTTGGAGGCCGGATTTGAGCAGGCCTGCGGCGAAGCGCTGGCTCCAGAGCCGGAAGGCATGCGGGGTTAGGTAGTGGGTTTCTGGGCGGGCGGCTTCGATGAAGGCCTTGTTTGTTTTGGAGAGGGGGGCTGTTGGGGATTTGAGGAGGAGCGTGGCTAGGTGGGTGTTTGGGATGTCGATTTTCCAGCGTGAGGCGTAGGGCATTTTGGCGTTTGGTTTGGCGTGTATGGGTTTAGGGCAAGGTTTTGGTTATGCTTAGTGCGGGTGTGGAGGTATAGGGAATAGTACTATCTACTAGGGGTGGAATGGAGGTTTGGGGGCTTCGGGGTATACAAGTAGGATATGGGGGAGTCCTGGATGTTATGAATCTGCACAAGAGACGACACGTATGGATTATTTCCCCGCAATTCGTTATACCATATAGCCATCTTACCCGCCTCAGCCTATTTGTCCATGATGATTACGATGGGTCCCTTTTTCCCCGCATAAGTCGGTTATGCATGCGGGGAATCCGAGGCATCACTGATTCACGACTAATCAACCGGAGTTCGCCTCGGATGGAAACTCACGCATGATGTCATTGCTGATCTTGCTTAAGTGCTAGCAGTTTCGCTTTATATCTAGTCTCTCATCATGTTGAGATTCAAGCCCTTGAGTCAAGTCTCACCTTGAAATGTGGGGCATGCACCTGTCCTACTTGATCTTAGGTCACACAGCACACGACTTCCAGGCTTCTGAGCCATGCATGCATGCCCACCTGAATTTCGATTTCAGGCCTCCGGACAATTAAATCATATGCAGGATGATGTAGACTGCTTTAGTCTGTTCAATGCCCATATTTTTAATTCGCAAGACCTTCCTACTAGGGATTTTGATGCACTGGAAAATTCGAAGATTGAAAGTTTGGATGTCAACCAGAGCTCAGTTCATGCATACCCGTAGACCGTTCCACTGGACTTGGAAGGTTTCTTAAACTCTACTAGCTACCGAATCAAAGAAAAAAACACCAAGGGCATGCAAGTATATAGAATGATTGCAGAAATGATCTTAGATTCAACCCACTTAGAAATCACATTCCCCCAATCCCCACCCAGAATACGCATCATTGAAAGAAGAGAGGCAAAAGAAACAAAGACGAAAAGGCTAACCAAACAACATGTTATCATGAATCCTCCTCATCTGCTAAACAAGTCACCGCCGCATTCAATTCAGCCAAAACCTTCTCTTCCAATCGGTTGGTGCAGTCAGAATCCGCCGCGATTGGCTTCTGTCGTGACCATTCAACCTCCTTCTCATTCGTAGCGACAATGCGTGTCCGCAGGGCCTGTCGGCGGCTAAGCAGAGACTCGATGTCCTCCTTGACATGCGCGTGATCCCACTTCAGCTTCTGGATTGACTGAGAGTCCAAACCAGCACTGGGGCCTGCCTCGCGGTATTGATTGAGGATGAAGGAGATGAGAGAGAGCGAATAAGCCTCGGATGCCATGCTCAAACTGATCCATTGGGACTGCGGAGTTGAAGAGGTGCCGACATGAGGAGAAGAGAAAACTTCAGCCGCACGGCTAAGCTGTCCATCAAACTGATTGAGGAATGCAGCTACCTCTGGCGCCGCACGGACGACATTGAAGAGGAGATTCAAACACAGAGGGAGGAAGCCAGCAGTCCAGATGGCATACATTCTGGGCACGGGATCAAAGGGTCCAAATCCTTTAGGTTGACGGAGAAGATTGGTGAGACGGCAGGTTGATAATTTCATAAGAACAGCCTCCACGGCCATGTGCTCGGCCAGCGTGGGAATAGTCGACATCTTGACAAGGATGGACAAACTTAACTCTCCGTAGACTGGATCTCCAGCCATGTGGATTTGGTCGGCCCAAGAGAACAGCGTAGTGGCGTGTCGTGCGGTGTCATTGTCTTGAATGTGGTATGTGATATGCTCAAAGATTCGATCGGCATCCTTGACATGCAAAGCACTCTGCAGAATGGCGATGAGAATGGCGAAATCCTTGGGCATACACTTCTCTTGTTCTTCATGCAGATAAGTAGTGAGCGATCTGAAGCCTTGTGCAACGATGGTCTTTACAATCTCAATAACAACAGTGAGGTCGGAAGAGATGGAGGTTTTGTTTTGTGTCACAGGAGCAGAGCGAGAGGAACCTTTCAAATGGAATTGAAGAGCCAGGAATAGCACATTGAGGAGGCATCGGTAGTACTCGATATCGTCGTTGATCAGCGCGTCCTCATATGTGGAGTGCCGAGCAAGCAAAGCCTTCCAGGTCACCTCAAGCAGAGCGAATACCTCGGATCCTCGTGCACCCACTTGTACCAATCGTTGCAGGAGAGCTTGGGCGAAGTCAACCCGTGTTTGTTGAATCCGCTCAAAGATAACTTCTGGCGGGACGCCTTGACTGTTTGCTTCTAGACAATGCTGTGCTACCAAAGCCATCGACTTCTGGATTTCGCGGTCTTGAAGGAAATCCGCGCAATGCTCAATGGCAAAGAACTTCCAGCTGTTGAGGAGGATGACTTGTGCTTCAACGAGCGATAAATTAATGTTGGCTCGCTCGAACTCCCCCGAGAACCCTTGTCCCCGAGTTCCCGCCCAAGAGAAGTCGTAAGCCAGTAATTTTTGCCCCATATCTAAATCGTAATAATAATCACGGCCCAACGAGCGAGTCTCCAGTGAGGTTCGCTTGAAGTCGGTGATCTTGCAGCCGCTGTATCGGGCCTCGAAGTTCTTCTTCAAGTTCGCATGCAAGGAAGAATTGTAAGCATCCACATCCACAGCATCTTTGGCATACCATTGCACTAATGGAATGAGGGTCTTGACAAAACTGCGGTCATTGGCTTCTTTCGCAGAGTGCAAGTACACAGTGCAAATGTCGGCCACGACAGCCGCAATTCGTGTTGCGAATATTTGATCTTTCACGGGCAGGGACGGTATTCTCAATTTCGAAACATGATTCACGATGCTGGTGAGGAATTGAGAGTGGTTTTTTAACTGCGGGGTAGCCCATGGCCAGTGTTCTTGAGCGCGAGAGACAAATTCGAGCAGTTCCAAGGCCACCTCGGGATCTTCCTGGTCAATATGGGCAAGCTTATCGAGGGCCATCTGCAGGAATGGTACGCCCCGCATACTTGGATCTCCAGACTTGTCGGACCTTTTCAAAGTCTGGCGGGGAGACGCGCCAGTGAGAATGAAGACAGCTAGCCACTGCTGACGCTTGCTAACGAAGGTTGACAACAATCGCCAGACTGACAGCAATAGAGTCTTGTCGCCCAGGGGCTTGTCGAGCTGCGAAAGAACATCAAGGAACATGCATGACGATTCTGCTCCCAGGTGACCAACAAGAGATGGAGGTTCACTCTCGGAATTCGACGCTGCACTGGAGATAAGAATGTCAAGAAGCTTTGCTACCGGCAAACGGTACGAATCGTGGGATGCATAAAGTTTAACCAAAACTGGCGCAGCCTTGAAAAGCTGCTCTTCCAAAAGCGACTTGGGTAGATCTGCCAGTCGAGATGCCTGTACAAGTTTCACACAGAGCCCCAAGATAGAGATGACCTGGGTCTCAACAAGTGCGAGGTGGCGGAAATGAAGGGTGGATGGAGTTTGAAGACCTTCCGAAATCAAACGAAGGAGGGGGTTGAAAGGCAGATCAGCGGTAGATCGAGGTCGCAGCATATCCAGCATGTAGGTTGCGGAGGAAGAAAATACACCGGTGATTTTGGATTCCAGCTTGGCGTTGTCGTTGATTCCGTAGGCATAATACAAAATCCGATCAAAAGTGCCAGCAAGGGCTGCATTCAGTTGGAGTCGCTCTTCAGGGAAATTAAAACGCCAGTTCCCATTGCCGTTGAAGATATCCACCATTGTACGTGTGAAATTAAGCAGAATGGTTCTCATCACATGCGATGGAATACTAGCACTCCAGTCAACTGCGATTGTCGACTTGCCTGACACGCTTCCGGGGCTCTTTCTTAGCACGGCCCGAGATCCTGCATCGTCGACAGTGGCCTTGAAAAGATCCACACAGCTAAGGAGGAATGGATACTGGCCAGAAGGAATCTCAGTAGCTGAAACGATGGCGGTCATCATGCCGCCCTTGCCATCGGATCCAACGAGGCTGCTGCGGCTTAAGAACGGCCACACACGGCACGGAAGAACTTTGGCAACCTGTTGGATGAATTGGAGACATGCCATGATCAGTTCCAGTGCGTCTGCCGAACCCTGAGATCCAATGCTCTGCAATTTTCGCTCGAAAATGTCAAAAACAACCGTGATAATATCACCCTGTCGAGAGAGTCCATCGCTGGCCATTTCGAGAATTCTTTTGGCGTTGGTACCTGGAGCATCGTTTGGACGGAGGTCCTTAGCACTAGCCACAAGATCGGCAAGCAGACTGATGATCTCTGTGCTGGAATCCATATCCCAACCAGGAGAGTATCCACCGCTCTCACTCCATTCTTCGAGCCAGCTTCCGAAAAGGCTCAAGCATGAGTATTCGTGGCGCCACATAATGACCGCTGGCTTGCTTTCAGAGATCACTTGACCAACTGTATCTGTTGGGATTTCAGATGATCCTCTCACGATCAAAGCACTACTAGCATCAGCCCCTGGAAGGCGGTTGGGGTTGGCTGCATCAAACATGGGTAGAGCTTGAATGAGCGACACAAGATTGGCGTTTTCATCTTCACGAATTGTTTGATATCCATAAAACTCTTGAGGGACCACCTGGGTGAATGTATCCATACCATCTAGTTCGTCAAATATCAGAGGCAAGCCATCTTCATTTACCGCATGCTCGCCCACCAGAGCGCGACAAAGCTTCAGGAACGGAATAGTCTCGTAGGGGAATCGAGACTTTGCATTGCGAAAAACACGATCCATCAAGGCATCATCTTTGATGAAGAGAGATTTAGGGTCGCTCGTAGCCCCGAGTTGGCCAGCTGATTTTGGCCAAAGCCCATTAGAAGTGTCCGTAAGTATTGCCAATACCGACTCCACAAGTTCCGCAGAATAGTCCCAAAAGACCACGGCAACCTTGAGGAGGTCAAGCAGTGCCAGACGCACCCACTGGTATGTCAAAACATCGTCAATGGCCGATAGTGATCCGGCTTTCTGGGACAATGTCATCATTGTATCCAAGGCCAAGTCTTTGATTTCGTTCGATGTCAAGATATAGATTGTGTCATCGACAGAGTGTTGTGGCGTTCGAGCACATTCAAGGAGTTCTTCGTAAAGCGAGGGTTCGGATCCCCGAGAGACGCGTCTGCTTTGGTTGTTGAACGAGTCTACTGCATTGTCCAATTGCTCCATCTCTCGAGTTTGTTTGTCACTCAAAGCCAGTTCTTGAATAGAATGCAGAATTATGCCCCATGAGAAGGCTGCAGGTCTCACTGTAGCCAAATCATTCTCGCAGGCATGTAGGAAAATCTCGTTAATCCGGGAAACCTTTTCTTTAGAAAGGAAATAAGCAGTTTGGCCCGACGGGAACGTCGGAGGCTGCGCCCTGTTGGTGATTGCGGAAAAGGCAAGAGGAAGTTTCAAGAAGGTCAAGGTTGTCAGAGAAACGAAGGCTTGGATTGGGAATATCACTTCCACAGGGTTTTGACATGGCACAGTCACACCTTCTAGGAAGTTGTACTCGGACATTAGATTGAGCCAGGACAGTAGGAGGTCACCAGACGGAACTTCCGCGGATGCATGAAGTTGATGGAACATGACCTGAAGGATATGGCCAATTTCTTCCGCAAGAAAACTCCTCCATAGGATCTCTGTCTCCTCACTGCTCTGAGCTTCATTCAACCAACCACCACTTCCAGATAAGTCAGTCAGACGACTGCGGATAGCGGCCATACACTCTTCTAGAAATTTACTCAAAGAGCTTCCTGTAGATTTCTCTTTGAATAGGGAAGTCCCCAATTTGCACAAAGCTAGTCTTCTCTCAGTGGCCGGGTTGGCAAGGGCTTTGCTGGGAGCGCTGTTAAGGGACATGGCGAGCAGCTTGCGGGACGTTTTGACCATGTGGCTACGCTCGGAGAGGTATGTTGTTCGCAGCCGCAAGCGTCGATTTGTTTCTGAGTCGAATAGCCCGCCGCTTTTGTCACCTGCCACTTGTCTGAGGATGTTTGCCAAGTTCGGACCGGCCACAGAGGCACTAAGTTTGTCTGCACCCGCTGCACTCTGTACACTGGTTACTTCCTCGCTGGAAAAATTCGCGGTCAGGCGTGTTGCAGGTCGATTTTGCCATTCGAGAACGGTAAGTCGCAGAGCGGTAATCTCGTCGAGTTCGGCATTCTGGCTGAGCCATTGGGCGTCCGCCTTGATTTCGTTCAGATCGAAGGAGCTCTTAGAATTTGTTTCCACATGAATCGCAGCAGTCTTGGATTGGAATTCAGATTTTGATTTGGCGGAAGGGCGGGTGAAAGAGTTCAGGCTTTGCGACAGTTGTTGAATGCTTTCTGGGTGTGAAAGGAAAGCCTGGATATGGCCACCATCGTCGGTGTGGCCTTCTGGGTCATTGGTGTAGAGGAAAGCTCTTCTCCAGGACCTAATTAACAAACAGAGAATCAGTGATCAGTCCAAAGTTGATCGGAGATTGTCAGACATACAAAAGTTGAGCATCCCCGGAGAAGCACTTGTCCAGGGACGGAAAATAGGCCTCCGGGACGGGAGCCATTTGGCCAGGCAATTAGATCATCATAGGATTGCACAACAAAAAAAAGTTCCCCCAGTATTAGAGGATTGAAAAGGATCCAAGATGATCCGGGGGTGTGTTCGGGCAAAAGAGAGCTTTGAAAGTTAGAGCTCGGGAGCTTTTGACGAATTATTCAGACTCAAAAGTCGCGCCTGCGGTCAACAATCCACCATTGCCTATCCTGGACTAGCGTTAGGCGGTGAGCCGCAATTCACTTTTGTGTCACTGCGGTATGACTGATATCTTGTCCAACATCTCCAATCAATAGATTTTGCTCTTAGATTGGGTAAGTATGTGCCAGTGGCTACCTTACTATTGCTTCGCTCATTCTGTTTTGTCTCGCTGCTCACATATTGTTTTCCTCCAGAATCCGAGCCACCATGGCGGACCTTGTTGACCATTCCCCCCACCAACCCACCAGATCGGCCCGCTTAGACACTGCCTCTAATGTGATCTTGATCGACAACTATGACTCATTCACCTGGAACGTCTATCAATACCTGGTGCTTGAAGGCGCTACTGTCACGGTTATTCGCAATGATGAGACTACAGTAGAGGAGCTCGCTGCTAGGAACCCCACGCAACTGGTCATCAGTCCCGGCCCTGGTCATCCCGAAACCGATGCTGGAATCAGCAATGCTGCCATCCAATACTTCAAGGGTAAGATTCCAATCTTTGGTGTCTGCATGGGTCAGCAATGCATCATCAATTCCTTTGGTGGCAAGGTAGATGTCACTGGAGAGATTCTGCATGGAAAGACCTCGGTCTTGAAACACGACGGAAAGGGTGTTTACCAAGGACTACCCACTGTCTTCTCAATTACTCGATACCACTCTCTTGCTGGTACCAATTCTACTGTCCCGGATACCTTGGAGGTGTCCTCGTCGGCAGAACTCGAGGATGGCAGCGGTAGCGTCATCATGGGAATTCGACACAAGGAGTTTACAGTAGAAGGAGTGCAATTCCACCCTGAAAGCATTCTGACCGAGTACGGTCGTGCCATGTTCGGAAACTTCCTCAGGCTCACTGCAGGCACTTGGGATAGCTCTAAGCAAGGAACAGCTCCCTCCACCAAACCTGCTGCTCCCGTCGAGAAGGTGTCAATCTTGGATAAAATTTACGCCCACCGCAGAAATGCTGTTGCTGAGCAGAAGAAGATCCCTGCTCTCCGGCCAGAGGCCCTTCAGGCTGCCTATGATCTGAACATTGCTCCTCCTCAGATCTCATTCCCTGCTCGTCTAAGACAGTCCAACTACCCTCTGTCACTCATGGCAGAGATCAAGCGAGCTTCCCCCTCCAAGGGCATCATCTCGGCCGATGTTTGCGCTCCAGCCCAGGCCCGAGAGTATGCCAAAGCTGGTGCTAGTGTCATCTCGGTTTTGACGGAGCCTGAGTGGTTCAAGGGCACAATTGACGACCTGCGAGCCGTGCGCCAAAGCCTGGAGGGTCTTACCAACAGACCAGCTATCCTGCGCAAGGAATTTGTCTTTGACGAATACCAAATTCTGGAGGCTCGGTTAGCTGGTGCTGATACTGTTCTGCTGATTGTGAAGATGCTTAGCGTAGAGCTTCTCACTAGGCTGTACCGTTACTCTCAAAGTCTTGGGATGGAGCCTCTGGTTGAGGTCAACACCCCCGAGGAGATGAAGATTGCAGTCGATCTGGGATCTGAAGTTATCGGAGTCAACAACAGAGATTTGACAAGCTTCAAGGTTGACCTCGCTACCACTAGCCGTCTCATGGACCAAGTACCAGAGACTACCATTGTATGCGCTTTGAGTGGCATCACCGGCCCCGCAGATGTTGAAGCATACAAGAAGGACGGTGTTAAGGCTATTCTTGTAGGAGAGGCCCTGATGCGGGCCACCGACACCTCTGCCTTTGTGGCACAGCTTTTGGGGGCCTCCTCTGCACAGGCTTCATCATCCAGCGCCCCCCTAGTCAAGATTTGTGGTACTAGGTCCGCAGAAGCTGCACAGGCTGCTATTCAGGCCGGTGCTGATTTGATTGGCATCATTCAAGTTCCAGGTCGATCAAGAACGGTCTCTGACGATGTGGCACTTAGCATCTCTCAGGTGGTAAAATCCACACCCCGACCGGATATTCATCAACCGTCCGACGCTTCGCAACAATTATCAAGCTCAACCGCCTTAGAGTGGTTTGACCACTCAACTGCTGTCCTGCGACACCCCTCCAGGGCATTACTAGTGGGTGTATTCATGAACCAACCTTTGTCATATGTTCTTGCTCAACAACAAAAATTGGAACTTGACGTTGTGCAGCTCCATGGATCTGAACCATTGGAATGGGCCAGTCTAATTCCCGTGCCAGTTATTCGAAAGTTTTCTCCGGGAGAACTTGGCATCGCTCGCCGTGCCTACCATACTCTTCCTTTGCTTGATTCGGGCGCAGGAGGATCCGGACAGCTTTTGGATGAGGCCACCGTTCAGAAGACACTCGATAGTGATGAAGGGTTGCGAGTTGTTCTCGCCGGGGGGTTGACTCCGGATAATGTTGTTGACACTGTCAAGAAGCTTGGAAAGTCCGGATCAAAGGTTGTGGGCTTGGATACCAGTTCTGGAGTGGAGACAAATGGGGCTCAAGATTTGAACAAAATTCGTGCATTCGTGGCAGCTGGAAAAAGTATTCGTCAGTAATCCCCCCCTATATGGGGTTACTACTTGCAATTAGATGTTATGGACTTAAAGGATGACCTTTCTACTCATTGTTTCTTATTTCATCTTGCATGATTTCTTTACGTTACCCACTTTAGCAATATGACCTTGTCTATGAACGCTTTCCTCCATCCCTCTCTTCCAACTCAATCTTATTTTCGATCTCGTCAATACCTCTCTAAACTCTCCTTCTCCACCAAAGTCTCTGAACATCCCCCGATCAACATCTCCGAGTCGCGTTATCGCCGCCATCCCGGATACTCCGAGCTCCCTTAGGTTCGAACACTCCATATTTCTCCAACTTCTCACTCCATATTTCGAGGCACAAATCAAAGCTTTGCCTAAACAAATCTCGCAGTATCGACATCTTTGCCCCCCATTAAACTCTTTTCTCGAACGTACGAGACACAGATTAAAGCTTCATCTCAACCATCCTCGCATCATCGACGCTTTTTCCCTTCCTACACTCTTCTCTCCCAAATTTGCGAGGCACGGATCAAAGCTTTCCCTCCCATGTTCTCTTGGTATCGAATCCTCCCTATCCTTTTGATTCTCTTCAAGTGAAAGTGTGAGGAACGGAAGAAAACCTTGTCTCGAGCATTCCTACATCACCAATACTTTCGCCCGTTTCACACTCTCCCCACTCAAACGCGCAAAGAAAAGATCCAAGTTTCACTTTTCAGGCAGAGCACAGCTCGTTATCTTCCAACCATCACGTCGCTAGTCAAGGTCCCAGTATTCCTTCGATCCGTTACTCAACGTTCAGTCTTCGCTTCATAACCAACACGCTCATACACACACCAGCTAATTTTTCTCAAGATTTGCCACTTCATGAGCATCCAAAATGCCGACTACATTTTCCAAAATCAATGCGTCTGTTGCCGGCAAGCTCGAGGACGTCGACAAAATACCTAAATGGATACGCCACCATGGCGGTGATTTCTCCAAGACAGTCGAATCGAATACTACTCATCTCATTACTACTGAAGAGGCTTACAAGAAAAATGTTGAGCCAGGCAAGTCATAAGCATTTCAACTCCTAATATTTATTTTACTCGTTTGCCCATCGGATTAAAGCTAATCTACTATGTGCAATTTCCAGTTCAAATCGCCAAGAAGCTCGGCACTGTCAACATTGTTCAACCAGCATGGCTATATGACTCGTTTCAACCAAAAATCCCCCGCCCCAGAGATGCCAAGCAATATCTTTGGGAGATGATTTTGGAAGAGACGCGCCCCCGAAAGAGGCCAAAGACGGCGCCTGAAGACCATCGAAAGTCCAAACTCCAAGCCAAGCCTCCAAAAATCAGTAAGGTTGCCTTTCAATCTTCCCTCGATCATATAGTTATTACTAGGTCGCTTACTAAATATTTTGTTCACAGAGGATCCCTTCGTTCATGATAGGGTCTTGAAAAAGAGGGTTGCCCGTAGCTCCAAGCAGGCTCTCCGTATGTATCTATTTTCAGCCCAAAGTTTGATCAAATTGACGTACTGACAGAAATATATAGCGAAAAACCAGATCTTTACCGATAAGAACACAAAGGAGTGTTGGGATGTGAGCATGACACGATTCGGTGCGTCCCTCAAGCGCGAGAAATTTCGATTGGGTGTAAGTATCATATACCTTGCCAGTCAAGGATACCTGTTCACAATTATTAGATCTTCCAATCGACTCAAGACCCATCTATTTACTCGGCATATGCGAAATACACCCGTCTTGGCATGGTAGAGATCTCGATTCTAGCCCCTCCTCCAAGCACACTGGATTTTGCCCAGATGGCTTTCAAAAATTTCTTCCTCTTGCAGACGGGAGTGGAATGGGAGAACAGATTCAACCAAAAAGCATGGGACAACAGATCCAAGCGTGGTTCGCCCTCACAATCACCCACAAAGAAAGATCAAGGGAAGCAAATCCCAGCCCATCAAGGCTGGTATACCTTGCAAACAGGAAGTGTCATGTCCGCATACTTGAAGCAATCTTCTTTGCCACAACCCGCCTCAGAGGTCGCCCATGCTGAAGTCGAACCTGCGGATAAAACGAGATTAGATGAAGGCACGACTGGTCAGAAGGGTGACCCTCCTGTGGAGGATGGTGAGGACAGCGGCGATGATGGTGACAACGAGTCTTCTAGGAGTTGCAGCGCCTCTTCTATGGTTGAGCAAATGTTGGATGAAGGGCTCAATCATGGCAATGATAAATTCCATAAAGATCTACCACCGCCACAATATGGAAACTACACTGACTACAGCTCCCCGCACAACGAATACTGCGATGATACTGTTGAGTTCTACAAATTGAATGCCATGGCTCTGCTCGAGTCAACACCCAGTGAACATTCAGGTGGACCTTGCGATGAATCTTGTGATGCATCTTGTGATGAACCTTCTAAGACAATTCAATTGATACTGAATGCGGAGGTGAATTAGGGGAAGTTGCTCAATATCTTCTAAATGATGAGCTGGGCCAGAGGCGTTGATTTATTGTTACTATGCATACTAGTTAGCACGGGTGCCAAATTTGAGCAAGAGGAGAAGGACGCGAAAATTGTGAGTTTCTTCGGGGTATCTCTACTCTCTACTACTGATATCTTTTGACTTTGTGCTTTGCAGCTTGTTAGATGCGTTTTCGAGGATTTTTTTTTCATCTCATGATCGAGAGCCCATTTAATTTGAAGGGTATTAACATAGCAACAAAAATGATACATGAAATGGCGGAGCATGCCTTTTAGTTGACCGTAAAAACACCAATACGCCCATCGACTAACCAAAGTCTTAGTAAAACGAAGTCCGTATGCCATAAAATCTCCACGCCGGGAACCGACACCATGATGCAAAAGTAACCCATTTAAAGGTAATCCTTCTTCCGGCTGGTTCTTGTGTACTGAGTAAGAGCCCATTCAACATCACCGCCGTTGCCCTTTTCAAGAGTACCGCCCCGAATCTCGAAGCAGCGCATGGTCATTCGTGGACCAACCTCGGCGAGTTCCACGTCCCGGTATCCGGTCTTCACGAAGACGTGATGCCGCACTTCAATGCTGTCCTCCTTGTTGACAAAGGTGACAACGCGGTTTCCAACCTTGCCACCCTCACGGGGTGGGAACATGTGCTTAAGGATCTGGACGACACGGAGACCAAGCTTAGTCTTGAAGCCCTCGAAAATCAGATGAGGGTAGCTCTCTGAGACAGTACCGCGGGCTGAGTTTGGAATATCGGCACGGAGGACAACGTTGTGTAGGGAGAAGCTCGCAGTGGGGCCGTGAGGAAGATGGGAGATGGTGAGGGCGGTGGGGGTACCACGGTGCTCGTGCAGGAGGATCATGTCGGTCAAAGCCGCAGAAGTTGCGCTGGATACCAAATCAGGCAACACAAGGTTACCACGGTTAAGACGGATGGCAGTGGGGAGTAGCAGGCGAATCTCCTTGGCGAAGGCACCAAGACGAGCGGAGGGTGAGCGAGAGGTGGTGACCAGTGGGCGAGGATCGATGACACCGGAGGTTAGAGCATATTCGTCGTCAATATCCACCCCATCTTCTTTTGACTCGTCAAACTTGTAATCCTCGCGAAGAGTCTTATCATTGGCGATTGAGGGGTCTAGGGGCTTTCCAGTGGCCAAAGAGGCCTTGATCTGGGCACGTTTTTCGGCGATAGAAGCATCTCGGAGGAGCAAAGCTCTCCGATAAAGATAATCTCGGCGCTCACGGGCTTGACGGCGCTAGAAAGAAGAGTTAGAATTGCCTGTATGATTCAATTACTTCTCTGTGGGAGACCAACCAGCATTTTGTGTATATGTGGAAGAGACTGGAATGACCTTGAGTTGACAGGAAGAGGGCAACTTTTTTTTTTCTAAACTCCGGGGCTGCGTCTTTGGTGATAATCCGCCACCGTAGTGGGATCCCACTGATAGAGAATCCGGATCGCAGATTGCGGAGAGGCTTTTCGTCCGTTCTCACTTCTTCCACTCTCTTTTTGTCGGTCGTCTTTGTGACAGAGAGAGCTGGGCATGTAAGGATGATCTGTTCCCCCATTTTGAATCTCTCAGCTCACCTTTTACTTCCCTAGACCTTCTCCGACCGTTTGCCCCCCCCGGCACACATTCAGACGGGCGCTCTTGACAAGCCGCCCTGGATGACCGATTGTTTTCTACGCTCTTTTGATTACCGCCCTCAGAACTACTTCCCGCTACTCTCAATTGTCGTGTTATTGTTTCAACTACCTTCAGCATTGTCATCCTCTATTCACTAAGCTCGCCAACCCTTTATCCTCAGCCGCTTTCCGGATCCCGTATTATGGAGAACTACCCCCCGGGACTGGCTGACGATGCTTCGGTGGTGGAACTAGACGATCATGCGACGGATGACCTTGGCAGGGCTCGACCACGCCGACACGATGATGAAGATGAGGGATCTGATATCCTAGAAGATGACGATCTAGAAAGCACAGTCGGTGGCCCTACCAATGGAAACCGAAAGGGCCAGGGACACGCCGAGGAAGAGAAGGAACTTCCTGCCCATGCCTGTGCCTACTGTGGCATTCACAACCCTAGCAGTGTGGTCAAGTGTCTTTCTTGCAACAAATGGTTCTGCAGTGCACGTGGTAACACCTCTTCTTCGCACATTGTTAATCACCTTGTAAGAGCCCGCCACAAGGAGGTCCAACTACACCCTGCCTCTTCTCTTGGTGATACTATCCTTGAGTGCTACAACTGTGGTACAAAGAATGTTTTCCTGCTCGGCTTCATCCCAGCGAAATCGGATACCGTCGTGGTGCTTTTGTGCCGACAGCCGTGTGCCGCCATGCCCTCTTCCAAAGACATGAACTGGGATACATCTCGCTGGCAACCACTCATTGAGGATCGTTCTTTCCTACCATGGCTTGTTGGGGCCCCTACCGATCAGGAGCAACTTCGAGCTCGCCATCTAAGCCCTCAGTTGATCGCCAAGCTAGAGGAGATGTGGAAAGAGAACTCCAACGCAACTTTGGAGGATCTGGAAAAATCCACCACGGTGGATGATGAACCTGCCCCCGTCCTTCTGCGCTACGATGATGCATACCAGTACCAGAACATTTTCGGCCCACTTGTGAAAATCGAGGCCGATTACGACCGGAAACTCAAGGAGTCACAGTCACAAGATGGTCTTATCGTGCGCTGGGATCTTGGTCTTAACAACAAACACCTTGCGAGCTTCGTCCTGCCAAAGCTTGAGCTTGGTGATGTGAAGCTAGCCGTTGGTGACGAGATGCGATTGAAATACACTGGTGAACTTCGCTCCAAGTGGGAAGGAGTTGGTTATGTCATTAAGATCCCGAACAACCAGTCTGATGAGGTTATGATTGAATTGCGTTCAAAGGGCGATCATAAATCTGTGCCCACTGAGTGTACCCACAACTTCACTGCAGACTATGTTTGGAAGTCAACCTCTTTTGACCGTATGCAACTCGCCATGAAGACCTTTGCTGTGGACGAAATGAGTGTTTCTGGCTACATTTTCCACCGGCTTCTTGGTCATGAGGTTGCGGCTGCTCCCATGAAAACCCAAATTCCCAAGAAATTCAGTGTCCCTGGACTACCCGACCTGAACGGCAGTCAAATCAATGCTGTTAAGAGTGTGCTTCAACGACCTCTGAGTTTGATCCAAGGTCCACCGGGAACTGGTAAGACTGTAACATCAGCCACAATCATCTACCATCTTGCCAAGCTCAATGGTGGCCAAGTTCTTGTGTGCGCTCCATCTAACGTTGCAGTTGATCAGCTCTGCGAGCGTATCCACCGGACTGGCCTCAAGACCGTCCGAGTGACTGCCAAGTCCCGAGAGGATGTAGAATCTCCCGTTGGGTTCCTTTCTCTGCACGAGCAAGTTCGCATGAACGACAGCAACATCGAGCTGGTCAAACTCAACCAGCTAAAGGCAGAGCTTGGTGAATTGTCAAGCCAGGATGAGAAGCGTCTCAAGCAGCTGACACGTGCGGCTGAGCGCGAGATTCTGGGCAATGCAGATGTCATCTGTTGCACTTGTGTTGGTGCGGGTGATCCGCGTCTCGCTAAGTTCAAGTTTCGAACAGTCCTCATTGACGAGTCCACCCAATCTGCCGAGCCGGAGTGCATGATTCCCTTGGTTCTTGGTTGCAAACAGGTGGTGCTTGTTGGTGATCACCAACAGCTTGGACCTGTCATTATGAACAAGAAGGCTGCCAAGGCTGGTCTGAACCAGTCCCTTTTCGAACGCCTGGTCATCCTGGGCTGTTCGCCAATTCGCCTTAACGTTCAGTACCGTATGCACCCTTGCCTTTCTCAGTTCCCATCGAACATGTTCTACGAAGGATCTTTGCAGAACGGTATCACAATTGCAGACCGCCTTCGCCGCGATGTTGACTTCCCATGGCCCCAGATTGACGACCCCATGATGTTTTGGTCTAACCTCGGTAATGAGGAAATTTCGGCTTCCGGTACCTCATACCTGAACCGCACCGAGGCCACCAACGTTGAAAAGATTGTCACTCGTTTCTTCAAAGCGGGTGTGCAACCCGGTGGTATCGGTATCATCACGCCTTATGAAGGTCAGCGTAGCTACATTGTTAGCTCCATGCAGGCCAATGGAACCTTCAAGAAGGAACACTATAAGGAAATCGAGGTGGCATCAGTGGACGCATTCCAGGGTCGTGAGAAGGATTACATCATTCTCTCCTGCGTTCGTTCCAATGACCATCAAGGTATCGGTTTCCTGAGTGACCCACGTCGTCTCAACGTCGCCCTTACCCGAGCTCGATACGGTCTTGTAGTTCTTGGTAACCCCAAGGTACTTTCTAAGCACCCTCTGTGGAACTGCCTTCTGCAGCATTTCAAAGAAAAGCACTGTCTGGTGGAGGGGCCTTTGTCCAACTTGCAGGAGTCCCTAATCCAGTTTAGTCGGCCCAAGCAGGCTTACCGCGGCCCCCAGCGTTTCCAGATGTCGTTCAACCAAGCAGCCAATACCAACAATGGCTCTGTCAACGGCGGCGGTCGCAATGGTCACCGCAATGACTTCGACTCGGGTTCTGTCGTAGGGTACATTCCTGATGACGTTTCTTCGGTCCACTCCTCTGCCCTTGGTGGAGGAGTCGGCATTCCATCTGGATACCCACCTATGTTCCAGAACTTCCAGGACTCATGGCCCTCTATCCCCGGAGGTCGCCGTGCTAATGGAGCTCGAGCCAAGGGTGCACCGAGTGTCGCCGGAGAGTCTGTCGCCGCTACCGAGTCCGATGTCACCGGAAGCATCATTGATGGCCGAAGTGTCGATCAAGGTGGCGTGAGTCTCACTGGTCTGAGCATCAATGATATGAGCAAGCAGGCTAGTCTTAGCCAGTCTGATCGCTTGAAGCGCTACGTGGAGTCTGGTGGACGTGAGCCCTACCGCACTGGTGTTCCCGACAACGGCAGTATCTTTGGTGGAAGCTCCGCCAGCATTCGCGTGACCCGTGGTGTTCCAGGCCAGCACATCCAGGATGATGACGACGCCCGTAGTGTTTCTACTGCTTTTGCTAGCCAGGTTGGCGGCAATTACGATTGATCGGATGACATGACAGTCACTGCATATTAGAGCTAGCCTCCAACAGGCCTGCTCTCTTTATCTCTTGTAACCCTCTTCAGGGAAGCATACTTTCACACGAAATGTCAGGGGTTCTACCACCAGAGTCTTGCCCGTCCGTTTCTTACAGGCCAATCGGGACATCTAATTGCCGAGGCTAAAACCAGTCCGCTACTTATCGGGCAATTCGGTTTCTCTGAGCCCGCCCATTACTGTCGACATCTCCCTCGTTCGGTCTTGATGGACCGGTTCCCCTTGGGCCCAGATATGATATCTGTCACCGGCGACGTTCTTATCACTGCGCAGTTACCACTGGATTGAGGCACCTCAGTGATGCTCCAGACGCCTCTATTCGCACAGGCCCCCAGCCTGAAGAGGCAATTGCCGGTTGTTATCTTATTTCTCGCTCAGCTGAGCCGGTAGAAAGTTCTCGGGCAGCTTGTAGCTCTTGTTTTATTGCTTTGAGCAATTGAGATACATGCTTTTATATTCATATTTCCACTCTAATCGTAGCTTCCCTATCGGCATTTTATACTTATGTGTCTAGGTAGGCATTAAACAATTGTGATTTCCAACAAACGATATCTGGAACTGTCTTCAGTAAATATGACATGTAGAAAGATCCAGATACAGCCAAAAGATTTGGACGTCCCAAGGTCATTTTTGGATCTCGCCCCTTACATATCGGACCTGTCCGATCGCCATCGATCTCATTCAACTCCAGGCGGCAGGTGCCCCCTGCCCAACAATTCAAGTGACCGCTCACCGCAGGTCCAGCAAATCACGTATAATGACGAACGGAGTAGGTACATGAAGTCAAATGACGTCGCTGGCTGTTACATAAGCTTTTTTTTCCAGATCCCGCAAGATCTAAGATCCACTTTTAATCTCGGCTTGATGAACACCCGTTCGCGGATAAAGAGCAAGAAACTTTAGACTTTCTCCTGACGACAGACCAACTTTTACTTAATCGTTGTTGAATAATTGGCGGAAATGAGACTCATCACATTCATTGGACTAGTCACTGCTGTGGCCGGCCAGTTTACATGCATCAAGCCTGTCAACCCGATCCCCGCAGGCCCCCCAGGTCTATGCTGCCAAACGCTGAATGAGTACCCTATTTTATCATTCGTCTACGTCGGAAATGATTGTATGATCTCCCAATTGAGTCCTTCTTGACTGTCCTTATTTTGTTACTGTCGCGCCGTTAACAATTGACAAATAGGTACACATGCGGACCTGCTGAGCACCGCCGAAGATGGAGAAACGACGTATAGCTCATGCGATGCTGGTCAACATGCCGCATGCTGCGACCCGGTAGGTGAAAGCTCCAGTTTGAATGAGAGAAAACCTCATGCTAAGATAGTATTTTAGGTTTTGACAGAGCTTGAGAAAACAAGCAACATTGCCTGCGTTCTGCCAGAGTAATATAAACCCCAATCCACGGGCTACATGTGACTAATTGCCTACATAGGAATTCCTAGAGTTATTGTTGATGTGTATACTAGAATGATTGAAGTAGGGCTAAATGGGTCTCGTGACTAGGTTCTTATTCCAGCACTTAGAAGCACGGGAAGGGTCCAGGGGAGACAGCAGATCGCCAGTGTTAGATACCTATGGACCTAAAAACCTTAGTGAGGTTATATCATTGACTCGCGTAGCTTTCAAATGTAGATCAAAATGTACAGAGATATCCTGTATATGTGAGCGATGACCATTGTTGTCATTGATAGTTATATGCGCTTTATAATTCTTCAAGTTGCATTCAAATGGTTTTTATCTGCTTTGATCTTCGGGGATCATTTGACTCAAGAATTATCAACCGCAGCTTTGGATGGTACAGACACGAGGACGCTTGGATAAGTGAAAACTCTGCCACGATGTCTTTTTATTACAGATAGCTTCTGGTGTGGATTTTTATTTTAAGTGAATTGTGAGGTGAGCCTCCACGAGGTCCAGATTCCGGGTGCCCCCAGGACCCAAAATTGTAGATGGAAGGGACTGGTCGGAATTACGGTGAGTTGTGATCAGCGTGCAAGATGCGTGTATCTGTATATTGCAGGTACATAGACATGGCAACCTCGAGAGAAGTTTTGAAACCAAAGAAGCAAGAGTTACAATATTGAAAGAATAAAAGTTGAAAGCTGAGAGTATTTGCGAACTACGTGGGCGAGTAATCAGGAGTCAGTCTGGCATAATAACTCTCATTTGGTACCAGTTTGCACCGAGAACGTCTAGTCAAACCTTATAGGTCGATGCCAGGATTTTCAAGCAAGACGGAATCGGGTTTTTTTGCCATCTATAAACTCTTTGAACACTGGAGCGAAAAAAGGCCACGCAAGCCTGGGGACGCAATCCTGGAGAGCCGGCGCTAGTTCGGGACTACAGGGATGTAGAACAGCGAATCGGAGCTTTGAACTTCGGTTTCTGGATTCTAGAACTTGGAAGTCCATGTGAATAGCAAAACATTTCAATATTTGCGAATTGCTAACCAAAATGACGTAAAAGAGGACCTAGACACGAAAGTTCAACGGCGAAGAGGGTTAAGCTTGGCTGCTTGGGTGTCCTGGTGGGTCTCATGTTCTCAACAAATAGACACCAATCGGAGCTCTAAGGTTTGTCAAGCCTTGCCGGTCAAAACTGTTGATTCTTTTGTCTGGGCCCTGGACTCAACAGTTATTGCAGGTCGTAGAAGAAGAGCTTTTTTCAACTTTGGACGGTTTAAGTGATGTATCCGTTCAAAATGCTCAAGATTCAATGTCAGGTACCTACTACTAGTAGTGAAGAGTAGAACGCTCGATGACAGTAAACTATCGAGGTCGTATTAACAACGAAAATCCAGCTCACCAGTAATCCCTGGATACGGTCGGGTAAATAGAGGATGGCATGAGAGTGGTGTAGGGTAAGAGTGTGGAAGACGCGTCGTGCTATCTAATTGCAAGTTGTAACTTTCTTGTACTTGCATCACGTAATCAAGACCTGTACCGGTAAATAACACGTTACAACATTTGAAAACGGTATTACTCCCCAGAAAACATACCAGTACACAAATTAACCCTAGTCATAGTTCTGGAATTTGAACTTCAAGTGACATCTACTAATAGAAGCAGATTCCAAAAATATTCGTATGAAAATCTTATGATTGGACATTTGGATTCTCGACCCTCAAGTATTTGCCGTCACGTCAATTCAACATCCATGGATTGATGCTGATCGATGCCAAGTATTTTTTGAGGTGAAGAGTATCCAGTATAGTACATGTTTTCCAACCTTCATTCCATGTTCAAACTCTCCAAGGCTAAGCACTGCTATGCTCCGTCCACGGGTAGGGCTATGTGTGACAAGAGATTTCACGATTCAAGGTTTCAAATGCGCCAATTTATGGGCAAGAGATACCTGCCTATCTGCTAGGTCTCCCAATGATTACATAACCAATTGTCATATATATGATTTAAAATGGGGAGGAGCGGTGCTTTCTGAATCGACCCGAGTGGAAGGGGCCTTGGTTACGCCCTTGGGAAGCACCCTGATTACCATTGTTATAATTGAGATCAAATGCCGAAACAGCCTGGAAGCAGTGCGTATCAACCTGAGACTTCTGGTTGCTGGCCTGGGTATTGTACGCGCTGGTCTCTGGGAAAAGACCGATGACGTTGTAGAAGTAGGCCTTGCGAGAGGTCAGCATATCAGCACTGTCGGATATAGTTCTTCAAGAAACTTACGTCAACGGCACTTTGCAAGTAGCGAACTTCAGAGGGAACTCTGTCCTTGGTTGCTGAGTCGATCGATTTCAGCTGGGATGCGCTGCTCGACAAAGCGTCCATGAGTTCAAGGAGGGATTGCACAAACTGGCGTTATGAAATTAGCTATCAGAGACTCCGATTGACTTTTTTATGTGACCAACTTACACTTGAGTATCCATTGTAGACCGTCTGTTCTTCCCCCGAATCGGAAATGATCGGCGTGTTGACCACATCCTTTACATCTGATAGAACCGCAGTGACCATCCCGTCTATCTCATTGTAAAAATCCTGAAATTGATTATGAGCTGGCATCCATGGGCTTATCTCAAATGTACTTTCCACATACAGAGATTGGACCAGCGTCCGCAGTGGTATTCATTTTTACCACGAGTGCCTTAGCAGCATATCCTTGCTGTGCTAGGTCATTGAGGGAGTCGGCGATCTGACTTGGAGTCGAAGCAGCAACTGCCCAGCGCGTGGCTAGGCAGAAGGCCAAGACGAATGACAAAAAGAGATTATACATTGGAGAGCGAGAGACTGGTAGATCCACGGCAATATTGGAAGAAAAGAATATAGTAACGAAATGGAATGAAAGAGTGTGAGAGTGTCCTGTTATCTTGAAAGGAGTGGCAAGAATAACAACAACTCGACCTGGCGCGGCTCAATGGACGGTTTTTGCAACTTGCGAAGGTGGTCCACCGTGGTAATTATAGCTTTTACTCATAACTCAGAGGGCTCGAAATTGGAAATTTCCCCTGAGTCTGCAGGCGACTATTAGGAACTCGGACCCTTGAAACGATTATAGTTATTAATTAGGCTATTATCGCTTTAATGCTATTGACTTTGTTCATTTCCCCTGCATACTTTCTATACATATGATATGATCTGCACTAGTCCCGACTAGTGGGGTGTATTGCATACATGTATGCCGATATCCTACATCTGATGTATAAGATTCGCTTTTGACAAAACCCCACTAATTAAATATTTCTAATGATATTATGCGTAAGTGGGTCATGAGAAATTTGCATGCTAGTGAATATTTTTATTATTGTTATTATTGTTATCGTTATCGTACATATGTATGATCAACATGTACCCCTTGATACTCAAGTGCTAAGAAACCTTCCGGTTTGCAAATTGAATTTAATCCGGAACTGGAACATTGGAAGTATTGCTGCTTCCGAATTTATCTAGAACCACATGGACATCAATGGGAAAATAAGTAGATAGATATTAACATTGAAATTTAGACAACTATAGAACGTAAACCGCCAGTCTTTCTATACAGTATATACAAATCCAAAATATGGGGCGACCTTCACACCTCGGCGAACATTGGAGTCTATCGCGCACCAATAAATGCAACCCTTTGTACTATAATTAATCCTTCTATCACAATAACCTATGCCTCAAAATGGTGAATGGGTGTAAAACATAAACAAGAGAAAAGAAAAAAAAACGCTCAAAGTGGGACAAGGGATCAAGGTTTCGCGAGTTGTTCCTTGCGATAGAAAAAGATGCAGAGAACGTTGATGGATATCATGAAAAGTAGGCAAACCCAGAAGTCTGCTTGACCCAACCCGGCTGCGATGCCGGCGGAGAAGTCAGGGAAAACATTGCCAGGGCCTAACTTATCTGGTGCGGTCGCGCGAGCGAGAATAGTCGCCAAAGAGCCGACTACCTGTGCGGCTAGAAGGGTGAAGGTAACATGGAATCGAGTCATTGTATGGAGGAGGATCATTCCAAATCCTGTAGATGCGTGAATTAGTTTGTGTGATTTTTCAATTGTGGAGAGATAAAACTTACCGACACCCTGAAGTGAGTCCAAAACACCCAGCCAGAGCCAAAGTGCTCTACCAAGGATAGCTCCGGCCACAGGACCACCAGCCCAGGGAATGTACATGCCGATGTTGGAGGTGGCCCATAGTATCTGGGCCCAGCGAGGAGCACCAAGACCGACGGCAAAGATCGGGATAAACCAGGCGTGTCTCTTGGAAAAGACGTGGAAGACCCAAAGAGCTACCGCCCAGACAACGATGAAAAAGAAAAGGACGAGGAGCACGATCTGCCACGCGCTTGCATGTTTGCTGGACCAGAGATAGAGCCAATTTCGTCCGTAAGGTGCCGATAGCCAGTAGTTGGAGATGAAAACCATGTAGAAGAACCACTTCGAGATAAAGCGTTAGAATGAAAGTAAGCCCTTGAAAAGGCGAGAATAGACATACCAGAATTATGCGACGGCGGAAGAGCGATAGGTAAAACGTTGGCACCTGACCTGGCGCTTGTCTATAATATGTCGGCAGCCCAAAGAAAACCACAGCTCCTAGACCCCAAAGAAGAGCAGCCAACCCGAGCCCAATCCCAAGCAAAGCATTTGGATTGGTCATGGCAAGACTGAACGTCGTGCTACCTTTCTGATTGAGAGATGCCATCCAGCTACCCCAGTACCAAAGAAAACTGATGAACAGCTGCTGAGTACCCTGGATGACAGTAGCTCGGTAAATCCAAGACTTCATAGGCGCTCCACCTGGACAAGACAGTCAGATAACTTTCATAATTGTTAGAAGAATTGTTGCTTACCTTCGTCTCCAAAGTTGAGAGAGAAGAAAATTGAACCACTCGAAGATGCAAAAGAATACAAGCCGATGCCCACGTTTTGTAGCCATTCCCTATTTGTGCTGTTGCTGATGGGACCTGCTAGGCCGACAAATAGAAAAGCAAACCCATATATCTACAGGCAATTAGTTAGCCTGTAACATCGGTATTTGAATAAAAAGACGTGAACTTACAAAGAAAGGGATCGCCAGAACATAGACTGAGGGGACAAGACGGAAGACCATCCACCATATTATGGAGGAGGCAAGATAGATGGACGCGAGAATGTAGAGCTTTTCAGCCGTTTCTCCAATCTCACCGTTGAGTAGTGTGATCTGGTACGAGTTTAAGGCGAGAATTTGACCCTAAAAGAATACTGTCAGTCTCTGTAATCAAAATTGTTGGCCAGGAGCTCAACTCACGATAGCAAGGAAGATGGAGTACACAGGCCAATCGCCAATCTTTATCAACATAAAACGCTTCAACCCCGTGGGAGTAACATGGTCATTCGGGAGGAGGAATTGCCCAATATTTTGGTTTTCACCGAGTAGAGTAGTTGGCGGGCTCTCTGGGCTGGTTTCACGAACCCTGATGCGGAAGACAGAAGGAGCAGGAGAGGCCAAGGGAGACTTGCCAAGCTTAACGTCGCGGTATCGATTAAACCAGTCCTTCTGGCTCTTCTCGAGAAACTCTTCGATGCAGAGCTGGTCTTCCGAGTTCTTGCCATTCAGGTCTGCAAGCTTCTTCTCAAACTTGGTAGCATACTCTTGATTCGCATCCGTGAAGAATGGATCCACTTTCTGCAGGTTATAGTCTTGTTTCTCCTTTATTATGTCATCGACGCTGACCAGACTCATCATAGACTCTCTGGCGTCTCTTCGGCCCAGACTGCCGTCTTCTGAGGGTACAACAAGAACCGGCGTGCTGGCACCAGACCCAGAAAAATAGACACTAGGTGTATTAAGTGGGGTGCCAAGTGGTGTCCCAAATGGCGATGGACGAAGACTGCCGTCATCTTGGTTGATTGCATAGACGGGCTGGAGATCTGCATCATCACTGACCACAGAGTAAACAATTCGCGGGTCTGCGAGAGAGTCGGAGGGGAAGGGTCTCCGTCTTGGTTCAGTGTCATAATCATGATCGTTATCGGAAATGTTCATGTTAGGCGACAGGTTTGTCGGCGAGAGAGCATGGTCAAATCCTGACCGAGGTACAGCAAGATTCATATCAGACGTGATAGGCCTGCTTGATGGGACAGACGCGGAGGGGCTGCGTGATCGGCTCCGTTCGCGGCTGTTGTTTGAGCTCGACGAGATATTTCGAACGCTGTCTGAGACAGTAGTGCTGCCAGAAGAAATCCTCCACGAGCTGCGATGATCGTGGCGTTTAGCCTGTTTGATGTGCTTTTCGATTGAAGTGGCATGTAAGATTTCCAGATCTTCAACCCACTGTGCTACCGGGAAGCGCTGCTTGCTGGATCGTGCACGCATGAGCGCTCGAGTCTCCTGGGACGATTTCAGAGCGTCATTTATGGCCATCTTAAATTGTTGGATAAGATGTTTTGTTGTCATCGACTCGCTAGAATGGATTAGCCTGAATTGTGAACATATCATGAGAACAGGAAACTCACATTGTGAACCACCATCCGGGCATCTGACCAAGACCACCGACACTAAAGAAAAAAATAATAGGTCAGCACGACTCGTGAATTCAAGCCAGACTAGTCTTACCGTGATCCCACTCCCAACGCTCCTTTCCGTCCAAATTCCACGGCCACCAGACCGAACGGTTCATCGCGCGAAGGAATCAAGGCGAACTCAGCGCCACTGAAAATGAAGGGTGGTAGTGCCGTGAACTCTGGCTTGGAATATACTCGCCCAGGGTAGAGCTGAGTAAGTCGGTTCAATTTCAATGCGGCAAATCTCCCATGGAGATCAATGACTGGGCCAATGCACATCAACTGGACCTTTGGGTGAGCGTCTAGAACAGAGGGGAAGATATCTGCAATCAGATCAACGCCCTTTTGCATAGACCAACGACCGACAAACACAAACAGCTGCGCCTCTGCATCAACTGTAAGCCCGGCCCATTCTTGAGCTTGTTTCTTAAGAGAAGCACGGTTGGCTTCAAACTCTTCGTCGATGACAACGTCTTGGAGATTGGTGCTTGTGTTGTGATCCCACTCAGCGAGGTCAGATGGGTCGGGGTTTGGCAGCGCTTCAATGTTCTTGAGACCCCAGAAAATTGGATATCTAGCGTACGATCTCTTGCCGTATTTCTTGGAGACACCGACCGCGCCGAATCCGTTTTGGTGAATTTTCAGATAATTGGCAGCTCCATGGAGAAGGTTGAAGACTTCGCCGAATTGAACATACTTCTTCACCAGCGCATAGTCAAGATTATACACACTGCAAACCTCTTTGTTTTGCTTTGACGTTTTCATAGGCCACAGACCTTGGAATTCGGCATTGTGCAAAGAAAGGCAGCATGGAATCGTGCGAGGCAAAAGATAAAGAGGCGCAGCTGCACCATGGTAGTCGTTGATGTGATAGAGGTCGATAGCTGGAAATCTTCGAATGGCTTCAGCAATGCATTGATTCCAACTGGAATAGAAGATAGCCGAATTGAGGTCGTCCATGCGGGCAGGGTACGGCTCGGATTTTGTTTGAGCTCGGAACACAGGCGCGTCTAATAGGACGTACGTAATGTTGTTCATCCGATGATACTGCACATCAACTTGGTACTGGTTGCCAAGAACGGTAATCACCATTGGCTCACGGGGATCGTCTCTGGGGTAATCAACGCCTCCAACACAAGGGACCACCCAAATAAGATCCTGATGGGTCAGATGTTTCCCCACCAACTGGGCCATCACACCAAGCCCGCCGATTTTGATCTTGATGGCCCAATCTTCGATATCGTATTCCATCGTTGCAATAAGCACGGTTCGTCGGCGGGTATTTACCATTGCACCGATGACGCCTTCTCTCGCAGGTGGGAAAAGACCTGTATCGGCTAGAGCAAGATCGGGATTTGCTTCCATGTCCTCAGATCGATGGGCGAAGTTTTGGAAGACACTGATCAGTGGAGAAAGGCTTGACCTTTTCTCAGTGACGCCGATTTGGTTGAATTTCACTTGGGAAAATGCCTTCAGGTAAACATACACCGCGCCGCCAGCCGTAGTGACAGGCACAATGGCTAGCACGATGAAAATGGCCAGCTGAACCCACCTGGATCCGGTGGGTGTGGCATAGACCCTGAGATCACCGTCATCAACAGACAGCTTGAAAGCAAGATAAGGCGAAGGGGGTGGGATTGTGACGTTGAATACATTGCTCAGCAAGGTGACTGGAGGAACTTGATCTAGGACGTTGTCTCCATCAATGTCTCCAAATACCTGCGTTTGATCAGGTAGACCATCCGCATTTAATCCCCAGGCATTGAATGCAACCTGCACAGGCCATTCGCCCATGAAGTGGATCTCCCATTTACCAGTGACGTTACTGAGAGCCATTTTGTTGGAGTAGCCAGCATCATATCCGAACTGGTTAAACTCGCCTTCGATGTATAGGTTAGGGAAACGACGTGGAGGACTGTATGTCCATTCAGTGTCTCCATGTTGCCAATGAGCACTACTTCCGGTCAACTTGCTCCAATATTGAGCAAGGATGTGTTCTCCCTCCCAGGCCTGTTTCGCAGGGCCGGTCCAGTTTTTGCCTGCAATCGACGTATTGAAGCCGGTGTATGTCATCCAGTCACTGAATGAAGCTCCGAAATCCAGCGAATATCGCCACAAGTCCGCACCAGGAGCCTGCGGCGTTACTGATAAGGGCTCTGCGTCAGATGACGGATTATCGAATAGTAGCGTTCTGCTGTAGTTGGCTAACTGTGGCCACACCATCGGATTGTTTAGTTGGCCGATGCGGAAAAGAAAGTGGTCGACGGACTGTTTGACTCAATTAGCATTGTGGGTTCCAAGCCTTTGTTACGGGTAATACACTCACACCCGTGGTTTGATTTCCATATGATGTAGTCACGTTGCTCACTGTGACTCTGTGAACGCCTGGATAAACGTTGCCCAGATTTATCTCGTAGCTAAAAATGCTAGTGCTTGCACCCGGCCATGTTGCAACTTCAGTCTCTTGAATTGACTGACAAGTGACCGATGTTGTGTCAAATTGTGGGGTCTCATCGCCAAGTGTCTTGGATGTGATCGTCAATGAGTTGGTGATGTCCCCGCAATCCATCTCCTGAGAGAATTCGAAGCCAATTCTTATCGTCTCACCACTTGTTCCCTGGGACACGAGTCGAGCGTCATGACCTGGAGAGAAGCTGGTTATGTACGGGGAAGGCTGCACGAATTTGGCCTTTGGAACAAAGGCTTTGAAACCCCAGGCCGGCATGGTAAGGTTGGGATGACACCCGTTCGGGAGTTTGGAGCCGTCAAATCTACTGAATGTCAGTAATAGCAAGCAATTAAGAACTAATAATCATACCCGAGTGCAACCGAACTATTTTCCAGGGTCATTTCCTCGAATGGTGGAAAAAGGTTCTTGACCGTTGTTCCCGTGGGAAATGGCGAGATCAAAGCGTCCTTGCTGCTGCAGTTGAATTCGTGTTCTACTGTTTTGTTATCGTTAGAGTACACCAACCAGACACTCTGATTCCCCTGCCCTTGGCCATCGAAGTTCTGCAAATCCGCAAAGCGTGATCTCATCACACTCCACATCCCAGTCTCGGTCGGGGTCCCATTACTGCCTGGAAGGTAGATGTCATACGTCTGATTTGAAAGTTGCTCAAGGTACCAGCCATCGTTAAGGACGGGATAGTTCTCACGCATCTCAAACATCATCTTGATGAGGCCTCGCACAGGGTGAGAAGGATCACGGTGATCGAGACTGACGGAATCATCACCACATCCAGTCAGGGAGCGGTCGAGGGGGAAATCATAGTATTTAGATGACCCTAGCTTGTAGCATCCGTGCAGTTGCCATGCCTGAGCAGATGACATAGGTCCACGTCCGAAGACATAGTTGTCAGCCTGATTGTCCAGTACGTAGAAATCTTGTTCCTCACCCCAGGAGATGATGGGGATTCCAGGCATGAGTAACGAAGCGACGTAAAGACCCAAGTTCTGCAACTGAGTTCCATTCTTGATACCCGGCCACCTGAAAACATCCTGATTCGTGACACCAAACAGGTGACGAGGATCGAACTTCCCCGTGTTCGTGTTGACCATATCATTGGTCTCCACTAGACCATTCCAAGTTTCCACAAAGTTGACAGGTGGGTCACCTTCGGCAGTGTAGCTACCGTCCAGACTGGATAGGGAAATGTTAGCATGTTTACTTTGCGAGGCTAGGGGTGAAGAGACTCACCCTAGAAACCTACTCAAACCACGATATAACGTGTAGTGGAACGCTACCCCGTCCAACCCGGACCTCTCCGAGGGTCTCAGGAACATATCCTCTTCTGACTTTTTCGTTACGTTCGTCGTCAGAAATGCTTCCGTTATGTTGGACTTGGTCTGATTTGTCTGTTGGCCGCGGCCGACATATAGCGAGCCAAACGAGTTTCCCGCTACAACCTCTCCGGGGATGTAGAAGTTTTCTTTCCCAACTTGCTTTGCGCAATCCCGCATAAACTCCGACCATTCTCCAAGGGAGTCAAGGGTAACTTGTAGAGCCTTGTCAACGCGGAATCCATCGATATCAAGCATTGTGATGGTTAGACATGAAAAGTGTTTGATTTTGGCCAGCACATCCGGTCGCCAAGTACGTAGACGATCCTGCACAAATGCGAATTTGGCTATCTGCCCCTCCCATTCGGTGTAGTTTCCAAAGGCAGCAACTTCTCCATACTGAAAAGGTCAGTTATGTTCAAAATCTTGAAAAGAAATAACCTTACCTGATCGAATTCACTGTCACGACATGAAGCACCAAGTGTTGTGGTGGTCAAACCGGTTCCGTCATCGTCCCAGAAACGAGGATACTCCCAAGGGCATTCTTCCTCAACTTCACTTCCGGGCTTAAAGTCCCAGTATTGACGGTCGTATTTCCATACATAGTCGTACTCGTCGGGATCGATCGGCGCGGACTGATTCAAGAAACCTTGGAAACCGATAAGGTCGCCCATTCTATACATTCAAATATCATCAGCAGGAATTAAGAGGGTTCGCAGATAGACCTGACATACGTTGCAAAGGTATTGTCGAAAAGAACATAAAGCCCGCGTTCATGTGCTTCATCTATCATTGTACGCCAGTCCTCAATTGTACCAAAGTGATGATCCAGCAGAGTGAGGTCAAGTGGGGAGTATCCATCGGCAGCCCAGGGGAAGTTGATATACGGTGTTCCGGCGAGATATACGCCCTAGATACAAAAGTGGGTTTCGTCAGTGTACATTCTTTACATCCGTGTAGTCTCTCTGAGCTTTTTAACCTTGGAACGTGTGTACGCACCTTGATTCCCATTCCCTGTAGATAATCAAAGGTATCAACCAACCCAAGAACATCGCCGCCATGGCGAAACTCGTTCGACGTCAAGATATGTTCCCACTGTGTGCCATTTGCATTATCGTTACTCGGATCACCATTTACAAATCTGTCGAGGAATATAGTGTAGAATGGGAATCGCCAATTGTCCGGTGAGGGGTTGTATGCGTGGCCTTCCCACTGGCCGGAGTAGTCGAGTGGGTTTGTCGCTGTCTGATTTTGGTTGAGATTCCAGTCGGCTTCCTCTTCAAGATATGGCAAGGAGTGCACGATGCGTATAGATGTTGCAAAAATGGCAAGGTAATGCGTGATGGAAGTGGGCAACTTCATTCCGAGTAGGAAATGCCACAATAGTGGCACTCACACAACAGGATGTTCAAGCCTCGACTGCAGGACGGCAATCACAATGTTCATGCCAGAAATGAAGAGATAGCTCATAGAAAAAGAGACAATCAACGATTCATAGGGCGCCGATGCACAAGAGAAGCATGTGAAAGATAACGAATACTCCGGAGCTGCCCAGTGTAATGCAATAATTGATTTCAAGAGAGAAAATGCCAATTACCGTTTTGTGAATCAGCAGCATAGACGCAGGAATTAGGCGAACCGCTGGAGGCCATCAGCCAGCCTTGCTTTGCAGCCTCAATGGACTGCACGGCATCTTGATATCCACACTAGGTAAGCGGTTCAGCGGATCTAAATTGGGACAATGGATCGCTAGCTGAGATACACCGGTTCTGCTATACGCATGGTTCGGGCATCCAGACCAGAGTCCAGACCCAAGTCGGATAGTTTCTCATACTAGTTGAGGCAATCTTACCTGCATCGATTGTAGGCACTTCGGATAATCGAAGTGTTTCAAGACGAGTCATGTCGGGACGAAAATAATCGATCACAAAGTATAAAACTATACCGAATCGGGTATTCCGCCTTATAAATGATAGGACACGTCATACCGAATACAGGGCAGACCTATAAGAAAGATTGAGAAGTGGCTTAGTGGAGACGATAAGCATGGTGTGGCTCTCTGTTGCGTGTCGATCCTGTGCCTGTCTCGTATTGGCCTTTTGCTTTTTTGCTCCCGGTGTCTCCGGCCCTTGCTGCTATGGCTTGCGGCATGCCGGAATTGATAGTCGGCAATTAATGCACTTTTGTTACGGACCTAGTCTGGATCATACTCAATGGCTTGTCAAATCCATTAAAGACCAACAGACCTCCCCAAGTTCCCCAACAGATCAAATAATCAGCGGGAAGGCCGAACTCCTTATCTACCCCCCACTGATTGTATCTTGACCCACATGGAACAACAACTAGCCGTCAATGGTCAATGGTCATACTCGGGTTTCCATGTGGACCTGAATCACAAAATAATGATTGATCATGCAAGGATTGCTGCATCTGTCAAAACTACCCGAGGAATCGAATCGGACCAGATTACAATTAAACCATGTGGCTCCTCCACTCCCAAGCTGAAACATTACAGAAATTTTTTTTTCTCATGGACAATGATCGTCGACTAGACTAGCGGATCTCCAAGGTAACTTCCTTAGCGAACCCACTGGTGGCCCGCAAGATCTGCCGTTAGAACCTTGGAAGCCATTAGTGCCCTCCAGGGCTTTGAATCTCGGAATGAAGTGGTTCGAGCGGCCGATCGGGCCGACCAATACAAAACAGATCAATCAAATCCCAAGACATGTAATACAATTACCATACAATACACGTCTGTACTCCTTTGTAAAGTGTTTTCATCCAGGAATCTATGACTTTGTCAATTAATTCAAGTAGTCTTTTCATTCCGACCTTGGAAGGTTGTCTCAGACTCCATTTTTATTCTCCTTTGACCTGTCATACTTCCAAAAGCTTACGCCACTGACAATGTGGTGTTGGAAGATTTTGGCGGTTGCTGCCATTGGCACAGTACATGCAGCTTCCCGAGACGAATGGGTTGGTCGGTCAGTCTACCAAGTGGTCACGGATCGCTTTGCTCGATCCGATAACTCTACCACCGCTCCGTGCGTTGCTGCACTGGGAGAGTACTGTGGGGGCAGCTTCCAAGGCATCATAAATCAGCTGGATTATATTCAGGACCTCGGGTTCGATGCAGTTTGGATCTCTCCGGTGCAAAGCCAGGAGTCAACTCGCACAGCAGATCTCTCAGGTATGATCGATCGAGCCTTGAACTGGCAACGAAAATACAGATCTAGTGGTTGATGAGCTTTGGAATAATAGCATATCATGGCTATTGGCCAAACGACCTGTATTCCATCAACTCGCATTTTGGCAGTTCCGATGACCTTGAGGCGTTATCCGCCGCGTTACACGCGCGTGACATGGTGCGTCGCTTGCTGCAAAGTTGACTACTTCTGAAACTGACATATCAATAGTACTTGATGCTAGACATTGTTGTGGGGGACATGGCTTGGGCTGGAAAACCTTCTACCGTCGACTACAGCACATTCAATCCATTCAATGATCAGAAGTATTTTCACGAATTTGAGCTACTTTCTGATGACCCCACAAATGAGACCTGTGTTCTGGATGTAAGATCGTGTTCTGGATTTTAAAGCAATCGTTGCTGAATCTTCATCAGTGCTGGATGGGAGATACCACGGTGTCGCTTCCAGATCTGCGAAACGAGGATGAGGAAGTCCAGCAGATGTTGGGCACCTGGGTTTCGGAGTTGGTTTCTAACTACTCAAGTAAGTCCTTGCTTTGTTGCCTCTTCAAATAGCTTTAATGACAAGTCTCTTTCATAGTTGATGGCTTGCGAGTTGACAGTGTCTTGAACATTGCCCCTGCCTTCTTCCACAACTTCACCACGTCAGCAGGGATTTTCACCATCGGTGAAGGAGCCACAAAAGATGCATCCGGCTACTGCTCTCTGCAGCCCAACCTGCCTGGACTTCTAGATTATCCGCTGTGAGTGCCGGAGTGAAACCTCGGAAAATTAATAAAGGGTTTGTTGACATTTTTAGGTATTACATACTCACAGATGCCTTCAACACGACCGGTGGGGACTTGAACACCATCGTGCAGTCTATCGATTATATCCGAACACATTGTAAGGACGTACTCGGCTTGGGCACTTTCACATCGAACCAGGATGTCCCTCGCTTTGGCTCGTATACTTCAGACATATCGGTCAGTTAGGCGCGTCGGGTTATTTTGTCCGCTCGTATTAACTTTTGCCTCTCTATTAGCTGGCTCGTAACATTCTCACAACCAGCATGCTGGCTGACGGTATTCCAATCCGTAAGTTACGCCCTCACAAATGGAAACGAAAGCTTAAGAAACTAAAAATAAAAACTATACAGTCTACTATGGGGAAGAGCAGCATCTGTCGGGTGGATTCAACCCTGTCAATAGGGAAGCCCTGTGGTTGACCAAATACTCTATGAGCTCGAGTTCCCTACCTCCGCTGGTCCAATCGCTGAATCGCATTCGATCATACGCGAGTGGGGATGGAGAAAAATCCACGGTCGCTCCGAAGTCAGGAAGCGACTATCTGTCATACCTCTCATTACCAATCTACAAGTCAACAAACATCCTGGCTATGCGAAAGGGATTTACCGGTAACCAGGTGGTGAGCGTCGTATCTAACCTTGGAGCTAAGCCAGCCACCAACGCCACCACCAAAATCACACTTGGCTCCGACGGCACCGGATTTTCGTCGGGACAGAATGTGACCGAACTACTTTCTTGCACAACGTTCTTGGCCGATTCAAGCGGGAATGTGCATGTTGACCTCAGCTCAGATGGAGGGCCTCGGGTGTATTATCCTACTGAAAGCTTGAACCGAAGCACTAATATTTGTGGAAATCATGCCCAAACAACGACAACTTCGGCAACAAGTCCCAAAACTTCCACCAGCGCTGGGACTTTATCATTTGATTTTTCGTGGGAGATGAAAACATTGATAGCCACGGCTGCTTTGACTACTTCCTACATTGCTATCTAATTGTCTAGACTCTCATTTTTTCTGTTCATCCTTTGATTATCTTTTTGATGTTTGATTTTGTCTGTTGAGGTTCTTTGCAATGTTTCCAAAGTTTCTGCAGTGGTTTTACTATAGATGAGATACTCGGTACGTTTAATTTTATGAGTGATTGATTGCTTTTGTCTTACATCTCGTGGATTGCCTCAATATTTGCATGCAAGATACATAGAAGAACCGTTGAGTAAGTAGGAACTTTAAACTGAGACCTCGGGAGCAGAATTCCGACAGTTACCTTCTACTATGAGACAACTGGAAAACAAAGGATGCAGATGAGATACTTCAAGTGGGGGCTTTCATGTGAAAGTCCATGAATGACAACGCAGAATAGAAGAATTGTTGAGTAACTTGAATCTTCAAAATTGGAGCATAATTCCGACACTCAGTTTTCACTATTGGACAAAGCATACCTGGAAGAAAGCAACAAGTCAAAGTATTATTCAAGGCTGAGCTGGCCATGTTCTGACTGTTACCAGTCATGACGGGTATTTACTATTCAGAGCTGTAAGGAACATTTCAATATAACAACTCGATTTCCAATTATGATAACCTCGATTGCCGAGCCTTGCCCAGTCGGTATACCTACTTCGTATTTCCCTGCATTTCTCACCGCTAACCTAGCGCTGACAAGCTGATGGCTATTATTGAGAAGTTTAAACCTTCATCTGCAAGGACTTCAGGCCACAATTCGCTCGGGAAATTTGATTGGAAAGATAAGGTGCGATGCTGATTTTGATGGTTCCAACACAACAGAGCGGGTCGCTGATTCGGATGTCATCTTAGCTGTGCCTGTTCGTTGCTACCCTATTGATACGTGGACATCAGAATGGCCCCTGAATTCTGTTTTTTTTTCTTTCGCTTTGGCGAGGTCCGGAAGAGGCTCAGTTCATGTTAGAGATCATATTCCAGGTGCTTCTATGCAAGGCTGCAACTAGCTCGTATTTTCAATTTTAATTACCCTTGGAAATATTGATTTCTGTATAGAGATCTTCCAATATTCTAGTACTTCTAAGTCTACCACAGCTTGAATTATCTATGTATATAAAGTCATGTCCTTGACAATGGCAGACAAATCCTTTAAGCTCATTCTCTAGTAATCCCATCAATCTTCATCTCGTTCAAGCAAAATGCGTTACTCTTTCACCATCGCGGCTCTGAGTCTCCTCTCTTCAGCCTTTGCCATCACTGTCACCACTCCGTCCTCGGGCACGGTCTGGGATTTCTCCAGTGCCAAAACAATCAAGTTCACTAGCACCGATAGTGATCCTTCGGTGATCAGCATTATCCTTCGAACCCAGGATGGGGACTTCCAGACCAAATTAGCCGATAACGTCAAGACCTCTGACGGCGAATACACCACCCAGCCAAATCCTAGCATTTCAAACGGGTACGTTGGGGAAATACTAGTGGATTGAAGAGATAAGGTCTGGAGAACAACACTAATGTCATCCTTTCATGGTTTAGGGATGACTACGAGATCCAGATAATCGATTCTTCTGGCCAGCTCGCAGTCAGTGACATTTTCACTGTCGAGAAGGGCGCTTCCGTCGACGGTACCACATCCTCTTCTTCTTCCTCCTCTTCTTCTACCTCTTCTTCTTCCACGTCTTCTTCCACCACCACCACTACAGCTACTAGTACAACATCTTCCATCTCCACTTCGTTCGCGACATCCAGCGCAACCACATCCCCAGGTACATCTACATCGGTCACCCCCACCCTGACCTCCTCGGCATCTCCAACTGCCACGCCGTCAACCAGCTCTTCGTCCTCTTCAGGCATGCTGCAATTCCACACATTTTACATGGCAATTTTACTAATGTAAACTTTATCATCACAGGCTCCACCACCACTTCCACCTCCTCTTCTACATCTTCCACGGCCACTTCTTCTACTTCTTCTGACAGTTCATCTACCAGTGAATCTGCCTCGCCTTTAAGCTCATCTGGTGCTGTGGCGTCTCACTTGAGCGCTTCCAGCGGGGCCATGGCTCTTCTCGGTGCTGCTTTCGCAGTGTTCTACGTCTAGTCCAATCCCATCGGACAGTATTGTACCCGAAGCATGAACATACAATCGCCTTTTGAGAATATTAGTTTCAAGGAAAGGCCTCTCACTCATTACTCAATCTTTGGATTCTCTATGCTTAAAAGCTTGTGAGCCATGGGGTGGAACGACATTGTCAAGAGTCAGACTAGAATGAATTTATAATCTTACATATTCCAAACAGAGGATCCACGGCGTGAGAGTGATATCAATCTAGAGTATACGTATCAAGTTGAGACCCGCCTAGTAGTAGATCTTGCGCACCTGGGCACTTCCAAGGTTGGGCAGGCGTTCAATGTTGTTTTAGGTTTATAAACATGATGACCAGTTGCACCCGTGGACCGTTAAGCGGCCGGAGAAATCAATGTGGTCCAAAGCTAGTAGATTACTCAGCGCTGTCCACGGGTGAGCTTATCCCGCTCGTAGCACTTGAGTTCACGCCCGGACCCCGGTTACCGTGCTCCGGGCGGCATACCGAACTTGCCGAGCTCCAGTGAAGGATAACCTTCAATGTTCAATGTTGGAACCTCGAATCAGATGAAATTAGTGCACACATACTCCTGAATAACATTTGAATTTCAAAAATGGTCGGATTGCAGCAAAAAAAAACTCTCGCACGAGATCTCATCTTCCAGGGGCGGGAGAGCTGTGTTTAAACACCGCCTTGCACAGCTGTTCAAATATCGAGGTCAACCATTAATTCCAACCTGAGAAGGTTTCCAAGAATCTACATGGGACCTACATTCAAAGTTAGTCTTGAGTTATGTACATGTCTAGGCAGCATCCAAAGTTATTCCAACGTTGAAGGTTCGGGCTTCAAAGGAAGCATATTGATCGATGGATACACAAGTGTACATATATTTCAGATGTTTGTTTGTTTACACGGGAAAATCTGTTTGAATGTTTGAACCAGCGACCCATTCATTCAAATGTTCCGACCTTCAAGGTTGGAGGGTCAAAGAATTTATCACCCACCCAGTATACATTGCGGATCAAAATATATGAAGGTAAAGTCAAGACTCGGCCATTGATTCTGGGAGTTCATGCCTGAACTACGCACCTGGGCCAGTGCTTGAGATGACCTCGGCCGAGAGTCGCGGCACCGAATCGGGACCTGCATAGGCAGCAGAACCCGCACAAATTGGAACTCCGAATTAACATCGTCAGAAACCCTGGATCTGGATGGACATCATGAACAAAAGTTAGGACTCTCCCGAGGTCTCTATGCGGAAACGCGAGATGATCGATACACCTCCAAAATAAATGGTGGGTCGCTCGCTTATTATATTGCTACTGCTGATTTCTAAAGTTCCCCGCCGATGAGACGTGCAACCTGCTACATTGATCCATTCCAGCCTATATCGACTTTCAAAAAAAGCAAATCATGGAAGAGCCACAACCAGATTGGTCGACATGGACGGGTGATTCGATGGTTCGCATCAACAACCATTGTCTCTTTACCTCGGCCAGCGGACCTCCCCGCACCCCATCAGATCCACTAGTGGTTATCGTCGCGGGCGCCGGCGATGTCACATCATCGTATACAGCCCTCGCCCCTCTTGTAGCCAAATTTGCTCGTATACTTCTATACGATCGTTCGGGATTAGGGCGCAGTGAGCCTGGCCGCCCCGATGGATCACCCATCATCGCAGCCAAAGAACTACACCGTCTACTCCACACAATGCAACTGTCTCCACCTTTATTACTAGCCGGCCACTCCTACGGGGGAATAGTGGCCCGAGAATATCTCCACCTGTACCCCGGCGACGTGGCTGGGATGGTTCTGTTGGACAGTGCCACAGAGCGACAAAGCGACTATTTCCGGGTTCCAGATCTCAGAATCAGCGCCGTGCAGGGAGATCTTAATTTCGCCCAGGTGACAGGGCTTCGCGCTGACACTGTGCTATCTCGAGATGAGTGGCGGGTGCGTGCGATTGATATGGCCCGCGGAGCTGAGGCGGCACAGGCGGAGGCGAACTCATTCGTGTCAGCCTGCCGTTCGTTGGCGGGAAAAAAGCAGTTGGATGGGCAGGCGATGGGATCGAGGCCCGTGAGTGTGATTCGTTGTAATAGCGCCAGGGACTATGAGCGTATCTACCAGCGAGGCGTGGAGGTGGGGAATGGATCAGTCCAGCAACAGAAAGAGTTTCGTGAGTTGCTTGATCGCTGGCCGCGCATTGATCAAGATCTTCAAGAAGACCAGCTGAGACTTTCTTCCTTCACCCGCCTTGTGCATTTACCGGACTGTGGGCATAATGTCCACCTCGTGCGGCCAGACGTGGTGGCTGGAGAAATCCATTGGGTGTTGAAGCAGTTGGGGCCCCATGCTGTGCAGAAGCTCTGACGTTTTTAATTCAAGTTTGTTTCACCGAGTTTTACATGCCAGATTAGGCTAGTGGTCGGTGGATTCTCTTTTTTTTTCTTTCGCTGGCCTTAAAGTTCAGTTTGATTTTTTTTTTCTTGAGGCCCAATATGTCAGCCAGACAGATTCCTGAGATTGCTGGAGCCTGCAATCGATTAAATCCGAATGGACATTGTGTGGACTATATCCACCCATGATCTACACTTGGCTTGACATAGCCATAGCCAGATCTCAATTGTTGATTATCTCTGGCTATGAATAGATCATGTGCATAGCCCATCGAGATTCGTAACCAATATGCTTAAATCCTTGAAGATTCAAATGTTGCTTTTCTTGGAAGAAAAAAAAAAACAAATCGTGCATGTAGAAAATGGTAGCCTAGCGGCCTGAAAATCATGCGCTTAGTGAAACCCTTTTCCCCACGAAAACACCGCCACTTGACGTTCAGGCCGCAACTACTGCCTGAAGTGGTATCGTTGTCGGCTGTTAGTCACGGACTAGGTTAATTAGTAAGGATAGGTATGACTGGGCCTCCAGGCTGTCAGGGTCATTAAAGATTGGTACCTGAAGGTTCTACCGTAAAAACATGATAAATCCCGAGGTCTATGAGTCATTCCAAACAAGTGGATTGCCACACAAGGTTGGCTGCTTTCAGCAGGATTCATATAAACCAGCGATTATCCCCGTACATAAACAGGGGCATGTATATAAAATAAACAGCCCTAGGCGGAAGAGTTTTCATTTCTTGCATTAAAAAATCAAAAATTCAGCTTCGGTGACACCGTTAGTACAGGACAAGCTTGGAAAAGTACAGCAAAGCAAAGTTACCAGCGAATCCGAGAGAAGCGCGCTGCGCCACAAGTGGCGGTTGATTTCCCGGTTAAATCGGGTATCTGTCAGCCTGGGCGTATATATAGTCCCGACCTGCTGGAAGGGGATGCCTGAGTTTTTCAACCTGAAAACCTGAAAGTCCTGGCGTTCACCTTTTGCATCTACTTCATACATCAAGAAACACGCCTTATTCGGACTCCGCAAATTCCAAGTTTTTTTTCCCTCTCTTTATTGTCTGCCAGACTTAACTGTCTGGTCTTCATTTCTCCAACACCTCTCCTCTCCTCCACCCTTTTTCCACTTGTGTGGTTTTGGCTGATCGACGCGTCTTGTCGGTATCTTCATTTCCATCACAATATCCCTCAGCTAGTGTGGGGTCGAAATACGATATGGGCGACGGATCTGACTATCCTAGTCCTCGAAGCGAAGCTCCACACGCAGCTGCTGCCTCGGTGCTTGCCTCTACGGCGGAATCCCTTACAATTGCCAGAATGAATGATCAAGCTCCTCTTCAACCCTACAACATGGAGGGCACGCGCCCACGCCTGTCTGTCCGACGCGCCCGGGATCCTCCCAAGAACCCCGAGGGTCAGATTTACTGTGATCACCCAGATTGTCAAGCTCAACCCCCTACTTTCCGTCGTCCTTGCGAATGGAAGTGAGTACTCCGCAACCAACCCCTCCAATTTGTCATCATATGCGCAGACCCCCGCTAACACTATATTGCCAGCAAACACATGGATAAACATGACCGTCCTTACAAATGCTATGAGCCAGGCTGCGACAAGGTCCAGGGATTCACCTACTCAGGTGGTCTGCTTCGCCACCAACGCGAAGTACACAAGAAGAATACCGACGCTAAGAAGCCGCTCATGTGCCCTTATGCCGATTGCAACCGCAGCACTGGAAACGGGTTTACGCGTCAGGAGAATCTTCGAGAGCATTTGCGCCGTCGCCACATGCACACCGATGACAATGGTACGGGTCTGATGGTCGAGATGCCTTGGGATCGCGCCAATGAGCTGGAGGGCATTCGTGCCAACTCACTTCCCGCCACCGGTATGAAGCGCCGATTCGACTCTCCCAATGAAGAGCAACAGCTGCCTGAAGAGGAGACCGGAGACCTGCATAACGAGGTGAAGCGACTGCGCCGCGAAGTACAGGAGAAGGATCGCCGCCTCGAAGAGCTGGAGCGCATTGTGGCGGGAATTCAACAATCCATCCCCCAAGCCGTCCAGTCCGAGCCTGATACCGTATCCGTTTCGCAGTCTCTTCCTCCGGTCCCGCAGATTGCTGCGCCTCAAGTTTAATAATCTCCACTTCATGTCTACACGCTCCTTATGTTCATTTTCATAATTGGTTTCTTCCGGTTCTTTGGTGCATTACGTGGGCGTTCACCACCTCTTCCAAAAACCCTTGGAAGTTCGCTTGTCATTTTTACTTTTATACTTTTGCATCTGGGATTCGGTTGTGCTTGATCGCCTATGGCAAGGATATTCTTAGCTTACCCGGTACGGCGTTGTTGCTTGATATCGATGGGGTCAGTGGTGTTTTGTTTTCCAGAGGTTGCGAGCTCGTATCTCATATACCCAGGTTTCGAAGATGTCGTGCCATATCTTTTCTCCTCTTCAATCTCACTCTATTGTCTTTTGTTCCGATATCTCATGCAATTTGTATTTGTATTACATTAGTAAGGAATCTATTTGAAAGGTGCAAGCTATTAAAACTTCTTTTTATTTCTATTTTATTCCAAGGTTCTCATGTTCCTTAATGCAAGTCATATAAGCATGGTTTAATCTAGTCCGGTCATATGACAGGTCTACGCCATTAGAGTTCCCAGTATCTTATGATCTTCTCATTCATGATTGGTTCATTTAAATGAGAATAAATACTGTAGTATAGGCACCTGCCCAATACCCTAGGCTACTGTGCCTGAAATCTCGACGGGTGAAGTTAATATTTCCAATTTTGGCAAATATAGACTGTACCCGTGGACAGCCTTGTAATCCATGGATGTTCCCAAGTATCCACAGTGCTAGATCAATTACATTCTACTAATCGTAGTGCTGAGCTTTGTAATGAAACTATTGGTCTTGAGGTCGAGACCATAAGGCTCCAAGGCGGCAGCCTGATGGGCACATGTTAAACGTACGCAAATACGACTTCAAAAGATACGAACCCAAGCGGGGCCTCGTACCTAATATCCGGTACTATAGCTTGATTTGCTAGATTGGAACACTAGATGCGGCGTACTTGGCCAAGGAGGCAGTGGAAGTTCACTATCCAAGGCCACTCAGTCTTGATAACAAGTCGTGTGATGTTCCGGCACGTAAACCAACTCCAAGCCTCACTAGTGTGACACGATCAATACACTTCAAAGACCTGGAGACAAGGCATCATTTCGAGCCTCCCACATTTGTATGACAGTTCACAAGTTCGTGATCCACTGCGTGGCATGCTTCATCAGGCGCTATGTCCGCCTCACCCGGGATCATATCAGTTTCATTGGCCCGAGTCCTATAGGTGAGGCTTTCGCCTATTCCTAAAACGCTCCCCGCTCCCACCGTCTAGCACATCACAGATAACACAGAACGGCTTCGTGGCGGCGTCCCAACAAGGCTGCCGGTAATGCTCGGATAAAGTATACGAAGATGGGGCCTGGTAGCATTGCCCGGGCGTCAGCGGCTAGTTCCTGAATGTTTGCTCTTTCCTGCCAGCAGCCTTAACCCCTTCAGCATACCGCAACGGAGCACTGTCTCGGAGTTAGGCCGTTTCTCCGCTGCCCAGGCTCCAGGGGGCGGTCATCGTCGTTGATCTCATGCGGTCAAGCCCCCAAGATGGAGTCATACTCTCTTCAAGGGAGTCGAGGGGCTAGAACTTGCGAGAATCCAAGGCTGATGGCGCTACCCCGAGCATTGAATAGCCTGTGACTCTGTGAGTATGGATTTGTCAGGGAGTTGGTGTTGGTGTTGGTTTTGGGGTGACTGTGCAACTGTGCTGCTGACAAAACACGTGAAATGACTCATGATTCAGATTGTCCGGTTTTTGATGTTATACTGCTAGGCCGCAGGCGCTAGCTATATGAATCGGGTAACATTTGCGCCGGAGGCCGGACTCCGGAGTTACGCCACCGATGTTGAAAGCCGAGCATAAAAGCAAATATGCAAACATGTGGCGAAAAATCCGATAACTGTCCGGTATGGAGACTTGGTCTAGAACTTTTCATTATCGTCAGTTTATCTGATGAACCAAGATACCTTTGATAAGGAAGCTGCAATCAAAGTCGTAGGCACCGAGGCATCCGAGTCGATGACCGCAATATCATGCTTACCTAATACAATTCCAGCCCCTCCATAGGCAAGTCTGGTTGAAAGAGAGGCATTGACCACAGCTTATTTCATATGCAGGGGTGTGTGAGTGTTGATCCATAAGGACTTCTTCGTATAGCAGATTGAACGTGGTACAAAATTTTGGTAAACTGAGAGTAAGAGATGGCTGGCGGCCATTGACGTGCAATCTCCCGTCACTTCTCTGAGTCTCGTCACTTCTGAACTCCCACGCACTTCCACACACCAACGTGCCCACACACGCACCCGCACACGCGCACCATTACTATTCTTAGTAGTGTGAGCACGCGACCCAGTCTCCTCTGGGCCTCTTTCAACAGTCACGCATATACACAATCTTTGTCGCCTTTTACACCCATCAGCCCTCATTTGCGCAATACCAGAACTGAGAACCCAAAGCTACGTGATCTGTTGGGGACGGGCCATTCTAAACGACGTCATGTCCGGCTTCACAGGCACTCCAACTGAGGTGCCAATGTCTCAACATGAAGATGCTACATACACACGCACACAGGATTATGCCTCAATTCCCAGATACCCGGCAGAGTCAAGCGGAAACGCAACTTTAAGCTACTACTTCAACCGGACTCGGGCTATGGGCGAGGATGATAATGACACTGTCATTGTCGACAACAAGCTCCTCCGGCCCTCTATGCACCATTTTGCAGAAGGTGATTTCATCCCACCGGGATTCTTCAATCTCGCACACCTAGATGGCTTCACCCGTCGCTTCAAATATTCTCAATGGAGCTACGAAATGCGCCGCGAGTCACAGCCAATTCTACCATTTCTCTCATTGGGCCCATCCGTTTGTCTCCGGTCCCGTGAACACCTGAGCAGTCAAGGCTTCACACTCCTACTCGCTATCAGAAATACAGCATCAGCCCAGGCACGCTTGGTATCGGGTGACAAGGCCGCTGCCGAACTCGGCATTTTGGCTGATACGATTGATGTCCTCGATAACCAGGAGCTTATATCTGCATTTCCCCGCGCAATTCGTCGCATTAATGATCATCTTGCTGGCCTGGATTTGCCAGCTTCCGCGGCGGGTGGAAATTCCACGAATTCCTCTGCCGAGGCCGCTATCAATAAAAAAGTTCTTGTCTTCTGCGAAACTGGCAATGAGCGCTCTGCTGGAATGGTCATTGCGTATCTCATGGCTATGCTGAACCATGACGTCATCTCTGCTACACGGATGGTCCAGCAGCACCGATTTTGTGTTTCGATTGAGGATTCCTTGAAGCGGATCTTGGCTGCTTTTGAGTCTATCCTTGCTGCGAAGCGGGATGTCGAATCCGCAAAGCGCAGCGCAGTTCAGACGGGTGCAACACTTCTTGCTCCTCCACCTATTCCTCCTATTCTGTTGGCGAAGAAACGCAGTTTTCATGATTGTCTATATGACGATGCGGCGCCAGATGACAATGATATGGATATGGATGAAGATGATTTCTTACCGGACCGGAAGCCGGTTGCTCCATTTCAAGATCGAGTAGCTTAGACGATAATTTTGCTCTAATGATACAATATGATTGCCGCAGTGTGCCAATGATTTGATGTGGAGATTTAGTTCTTTAATATTTCCAGTGTGTGATCTGCTGGCTACAGATCTGGTAGTAGCTTCTCCTAGATACTCAACAACATTGAAACCACCCACGAAATTCAATTGCCTACCCTTTGTTCATGAGGCTCAGTTCATCTCTGAAGTGAACTTGTAGGTCTAGTAGGTGTGTAAACTGCGCCCTTTGAATGTGCTTGAAAAAATGGAAAGTAGTATGGAGCATTGAGAAAGGGAGTTTAACTCCTAGTGGTGATTTTAGCAAGTTATGAGCACACCATCAATAATCTGCAAGTTCTCTAGCCATATTCTGGCATTCCATATCAAATAACGTTTTCAGTCGACAGATTGTGTTTTCGCCTGGCAGCCTGAGTGTTAGAGACCATCTTTCATTCATCGTCGGTTCCCTTGAGTTCTTCCTCGGATACCTTTGTTCAGTTGACAGATTGTGCCTCTCATCCGAGAGCCCGAGTGTTAGTAGACACCGATCTTCATTCATCGTCGGTTCCTGTGAAATCTTCCCCGCATACCATTTTTCAGTTGACAGATTGTGTTTTCGCCTGACAACCTGAGGGTTAGAGACCATCCTTCATTCATCGTCGTTTCCCTTGAGTTCTTCCCCGCATACCATTTCTCAGTTGACAGATTATGTCTCTCATCCGAGAACACGAGTGTTAGTAGACACCGGTCTTCATTCCTCGTCGGTTCTTTTGAGCTCTTTCCCGCATACATCTAATTTCAGGTCAGTCCTTAAATCTTTCGATCAAAGTCATTCATACATCCCTGACATTCTCGCATCCTTGTTTAGCCCTCAAAGTACCCCCGGGTCTGAGAAACAATCTGATCTCGTGATTTCTTTCCTAGTCGAGTGACCAAGAAAAAAGCCGACCCTCCAAGCCCTAACAGCAAGATGGATTCTTGGGGAGATTCGGGTCCCAGGGCGGATACTCCGATGCGGTATGACGAAGATGCAGGCGATTCTTTTGAAGAAACCGACTCCTATGAAGAAACCGACTCCTATGAAGAGACCGTATCCCGTGAAGAAACCAAGTACTATGAAGAGACCGTCTGCTTTGAAGAGACCGCCTCTTGTGAAGAAACCGACTCCTGCGAAGAAACCGACTCCTGCGAAGAAACCGACTCCTGCGAAGAAACCGACTCCTATGAAGAAACCGACTCCTGCGAAGAAACCGACTCCTATGAGGAGACCGTATCCTGTGAAGAAACCAAGTCCTATGAAGAGACCGTCTGCTTTGAAGAGAACGTCTCTTGCGAAGAAACCGACTCCTGCGAAGAAACCGACTTCTATGTAGAAACCGATACACCCGAAGAGAAGAAATATGCTGAAGGAGAAGCATTATCTGCTACCAAGGTCGAGTCTTCTACCACTGCCATTGATGGTATGGACATTAGCGAAGGCTGGTGCATTTGGCATACCGCAACGCAGCAATGGATTGACTCCATTCGCAAGACCATAGGTCTCTCCCAATCAAAGGCCACCGGCAAGAGAAAACGTCCCAATATTCCACGAGGTTTGAATCTATCCAAGGGGGAGTTGGGAGAAAACAGCAAAGCTAATCTCAACCTTGATGCAGACCCACTCCAAGCCATGTCCCCAGCGATGGGAACGGACCAGCCAATTGAGTCAGCGTTTATCGATATCGAGGATCGCACTGCGTATAACAATGAGTCAAATCCTGTTTACGTGAAGAATATGAAAATCATGGCCGGTCTTCCCGACAAGGATGATGATCTTCATTTTGAGGATAGTGACCTGAGTGATGCATCAGTACGCCTGAAAGAAGAGGTATGTATGATGTCTCTTTGATGTCCTTGTTCAGTATCGAGAGCTTCAAGTCACTTAAATCAGCCCCTCTGACCAATGTCATCAAACAGATTCTCCATCCCACCTGGGCCGATGTTGTGCCCCAAATTCAGGTCGAAATAATCGAAAACATGATCGAAAATGGGTACACCTGGGAGTATGCTTGTGCAAAACTCGGAATGCGGGAAGAAGACCGAATCAGCCTGGCGGAGTTATTAGGATTTCATAACAAGCAACTACGACAAGCCGATGGAGCAATTGTCAGGATGCGAGAGAGGCAGACGGTTGACCTGGCGAGACTTGATCACTCTGCAAGACCACCGGAGGATGAATGGGACCCGCTGGTCTTCTCCAGGGTGTCCGAATGTCCCGTTATAACGATGGTCGCCCCTCGTCTGGATTTGATGATTTGCAGGGGGGATGATATTATGGTCGGTAGAAAATTCCTGGCCCTCCATTCCCTTCCACGGAGCCTAGCAGGTAACTGGGATCGAAACGTCGTCATGGTGCCGCGAGAACCAGGAGACGATGTCAGCTTGGAGCCTGAACAATTCCAATGGAAAGAGGATCTGAGCGTCGACTATGAGAGGTTGAGAAATCAGCACCGAATGAATGGAAGAGTCAAGACCAATCTAGGATTGGTTGAATGTATTGAAGTTGAGGGCACTGTGAACCCCCGCAATCTCGTACGCCAGATCAATGATAACCGACATATCTTGGACTGGGTCGAATTTCTTCAAGACTCGTCATTTGAGGACCGACAGGTCAACTGGAGTGAATATCTTCGAAACTCGTTATTTGGTGTCCCAGAAGATCAGGAGATCCGCCAAGTGGTGCCATCAGCCCATTCGAAAAGGTCAGAGGGTAAGGATAAGACTCCGTTGAAGCGTTTTTTGAGTGGCTCCTGGTCCTACAGTTCGATTCCCAGCAGCCAGCCACCTTCAGTTCCTCCTAGATCACAGCCTGGCAAGCCTCTCAGTGGAGCCTTTAAAGGCACGAGGAATCAATTTCTCAGACCGGTTGAGCCACCGTTCGATGAAACCTACCTCAATTGTTCTGGTATCGGATCCCCTAGTGATAGCTTCTTTCTTGAGGCCTTAGGTGGTAGCCCTGAGAGTCATTCTGACGAGTTGATGAAAGGAATTGTCATACAGAGCATTGAAGACTGAGCAGCGAATATGAACGCGTCTTGATGTGACAATAGTCAACAATATGATGGGAATGGATGACAGGACTTATTGATAATCGAAGGATGAATGAGTGGGTTAGGGTAGTGGTGGACAAGGGCGATGGAATAGAGATGCTGCACGATCCCAAGGTCGAGAATAAGTTGAAGCTGGGATCGGTTGTTTTGATGTTCCCCGCGTCTTCGACCACGTGATCTATGACGACGGATTCATTTATGACGGATTCATTTATGCTACGAGATGCATGTGGTGGAAAGTCGAAGCCAAAGTTAGTTATCCGGGTATTATTGTTTTTAGTATGAAGTACCATGTAGTAGTTACAATTGAACTGCCCTGCATCTTGTGGTATTCTCTTTTCTGGCTACTGCCCTAATAGACTGGTGCAAAGGGAATAATTATAGAGAGTTGCATGGGGTTTCTTGTTCATTTCCCTCACAGAGTATACATAGTAGCTAAAATTCTTTAAAATCATCTTCCATCATAAGTTCTATTAAATTCCCCCATGTGGTAAGGATCGTTGCCATTTAAAGCTGGTCCGTGCACTACTGCCTACTGTAGCCTTAGGAAACGCGAAAAATACGCGTTCACGTGTTACAGTGGCGTTCTTCCACAATCTACAAGTTGAATCTAGACAAGTGCATCTTGTATCATTGATCAATCGTTTTTTCTTGCCTGGTTTTTCTGATGTTCGTGAATAAAGTCTTGATTTAGACTTCCTATCGTTTGACAGCTACGTTGACATCACCGCTTCCATCTGTCTTCCCCCTGGGAATGACGTTCTCCCACCGAAAACTGGATCAAGATTCAAGACCTAGCATTCGTTCGCCAACCCTCCCATTTGTTCATACACACTCTTTTTCAAACCAATCATGTCTGACACGGCATCCCCTATGAATACCTCGGACTCGCAAGTTGGTACAGCGCCTCCAGAGTCAACGGTGCCCTCCTCGGCTGGCAGCGACATTGCGGATGATATCAAGTCTACCAACGGGGTAAATGAAGTGACTGGACAAAATGGAGATGCCGATCCGGCCTCAAATATTGAGGAACTTGATCAAAATACCAAGCAGCTAATGGCTTTGCTGCGCACTAGCTCAGTAAGTTGTAGCAATTGCTTGGCCCCCCTTCACGAAAGGATGGCATTTAACCTCATGTTTCTCTGTAGGTATTTGTCGCGATAATGTCAGAAAAGATGAAGAAACAACAAGAAGAAGCTCGTCAGCAAGCTGCGACGCGAAAGACTGAAGCTCCCGAGGGGCAAATCGAGGAGAAACCCCCCCAGCCTCGCATCGCCACTCGACGCGCCAAAACTCGTAGCAGCACAGTTCAAGACACCTCGCCAGAGGATAACAACTCGGAAGTTGAACAGCCTGCTAAGAAAGCACCAGGTCGCCCTAAAAGAAACGCTGGTAAAGAGAACGGTATTGCCAACTACTTCCAGAAGGCCAATGTCGAGGTCCCCAGCCATAACCCTACGGTCCCTGAGGCATTGCAGCAGGCAGCGGAGGAGTTTGAGGATAAACCTACTGTCCTTGGAGAGCAAGAGCTAGTAGCCACGCAACAGCCTAAGCTCGTTTCGGGTGGCCAAATGCGGACCTATCAGCTGGAGGGCCTTGAATGGCTGAAGACCCTCTGGATGAATGGACTATGTGGTATTCTCGCGGACGAAATGGGCCTCGGCAAAACCGTACAGGCGATTTCCATGATTGCTTTCATGAAAGAGAACGGTGTTTCCGGTCCGTTTTTGGTCGTTGGACCCCTCAGTACTGTCAGCAACTGGGTCGATGAGTTCAAGAGATGGACTCCCGACATTGAAACAGTCATGTACCACAGTAGTGGGGGCAAGGCAGGTCGTGAAGCCATTCGGAAAAAGTGCATGAATCCCAAAAACCAGACAGATATGGATTTCCCTGTCGTTTGCACTTCCTATGAGATGTGTATCAATGACCGCAAGGTTCTTGCACAGTACAATTGGCGATATATTGTTGTAGTAAGTGTCTGTGCTGTGATTTTGACAAGAACCTCGCTGACCAAATCTTTAGGACGAAGGTCATCGCTTGAAGAACATGAATTGTAGGCTGATCAAGGAGCTGTTGACATTCCCTTCTGCAAATCGTCTTTTAATCACTGGAACTCCGCTCCAAAACAACATCTCCGAGCTTTGGTCGCTGCTGCATTTCTTGTTGCCCGATGTTTTCAATGATGTCGACAGTTTTGAAAGCTGGTTTGATTTTTCGTCCGTTCTGGATAAAAACAGTCAGGCGGATCTCATTGAGAAGCGAAAGCGCAACTTAGTCTCCAGCATGCACGCAATTCTTAAGCCGTTCTTGCTTCGACGTATCAAGACTGACGTTGAGCATTCTCTTCCGAAAAAACGGGAGTATATTCTCTATGCGCCATTGAGTTCTGAGCAGAAAGATCTCTACCGAGAGATTCTTAATGGTACTGGTCGCCAATACCTGGAGGCAAAGGCTTTAGAACGTCTGAATGCCAAGAGTGAGACGCCGAATCGAACCCGGGGGAAGAAACGCCGCCGTGAAAGCTCTGTAGAAGGTGCTGCGAACAAAAGTGCGAAAACAAGTGAAAATAAAGCACCATCCAATAACACCCTGTCTGGTCGCCGACGCTCTGTGCGTACTTACAAGGATATCAGTGATGGAGAGTTTGATAAAAAGTTGCGAAATCTGGAAATGGGTGTTGATGAAGAAGAAAGCAAAGAGGAAGTATTAGAAGAAAGCGAATCAGACTTGGCGCAGAAGCAACACACAAAGAATCTGCAGCTTGCAAGTACGTGTTTGTGCGACGTTTATGAATGCGTAACAATACTAACAAATCCACAGAGAAAGAGATCAGCCAAAAGAAAATGCAGAACCCAATTCTGCAAGCGCGCATGGCCTGCAATTCTCCACATAACTTCTATTGGCCTTGGGATGGACCCGTCGACGAGTCTCTCGTTTCTGCCTCGGGCAAAATGCAACTTCTGGATCGTCTCGTCCCTGATCTTCTGAAGAAAGGCCATAAAATTTTGATCTTTTCACAATTCAAAATGCAGCTAGATATCATCGAGGAATGGGCTATCACCCTCCGATCCTGGGAATGTTGCCGCATCGATGGAGCGATTGCCCAAGTCGACCGCCAAGCTCAGATCAAAGCTTTCAACACCGACAAGAATGTCAAGCTTTTCCTCCTGAGTACCCGAGCTGGTGGCCAGGGTATCAATCTTGTCGCAGCTGATACGGTCATCCTCTTCGACTCTGACTGGAACCCCCAACAAGATTTGCAAGCCCAGGATCGTGCCCATCGCATTGGTCAAAAGAAGCCTGTCATTGTTTACCGACTTGCCACCAAAGGCACTGTTGAGCAAACCCTATTGGAGAAAGCAGATGCCAAGCGTCGGCTTGAGCGGCTGGTCATCCAGAAAGGCAAATTCAAGTCTCTGCTGGATACTAATGCCAATTCCCAGGATATTGAGGAACTTCGCAAAGTTCTTGGTGAGGACGAGTTTGAAAGATTTGAGGCGGGGGCTGATCCTGCTTCTATTCTTTCGGACAAAGACCTGAAGATTCTTACTGATCGTAGCGAGGAGGCTTATCTTCGTGCTGAGAAGGGTTTGGATCAAAGTGGCCCAACCTTTGTTGGTGTCGAGACGAAGCGAGATTCGGGAGAAACTCTTTGAAGCTGATTTGTCAATCTACTCAATGATTGTTACACAGGGGCTTTTTTTTCATTTACGGTGTTCTGGGCTCTTTTTGTATCAACATGGCAATGGTGAGCGATGGGTGATGGCTTTTGTGTGTTTTACTTTATGTATGGTAGTTAGGTGTTGTTGTGTGGGTTCTTTTTCTTACTGCCATTCTATGGCATGGAGCCTTGGGAGACAATGTATCTTATGGGATCCTTTCTTGCTTTGTCTAGAAGGGATTCTTAATGGCTTGACTGGAGGTTTCCTCCAGGCTTATTGGCCTGTTGGTTACTCCCTAAAGAACATGGGTGTGAGAAATTACAATTTTACAAAAATTTCATATGTCGAATGAATCCATTGAGCGCCTGCAGCTCCTGGGGTTATGGCTGTACAAAAAATAATCACATAGCAAACAAGGCCAAAGATGCGACGGAAGCGAGGAAAAGGGGAGCAGAGGCCTAAACAAACATTTAGAGGGAGCATGCGCATATGCATCCAGTATGTACTCATCGCCGAGCCCTCTCATCTTGAATCTCGTCTCGCAGATCTGCAAGGACTCCCTTGCGCTGCGCCAAATGGCTCTTCAACCCCTCAACCTGATCGGCAACAGTCTTCACATCCTCCCTTAAGCGCTCCAAATCCTGGCCATCCTTCGACCGCCCAACTCCTTCCCTCAATTCCCTCAACTCGCGCTCCTTATACTCCAAAAGCTGCAGCGCTTCCTTCTTAATAAGAACCCAGTTCGACCTTCCATCATTCCGTGGCTGATCGCGCCGGCTCTCGCTAGCCTGTGTAGCCGCCTTCAACTTCTCCTCAATCTCAAACAGCTCCCGACGCAGCCGCACCTTCTCCCACTCCTCGTCCTGGATCGTCTCGCCAAAGTCCGTGCCCTTGGGCTGATAGGAACCCTTACCGCCAACGCCCAGTCGGCTCAGATAAGTGTCGCCGAATTTGGCCTTGCGGCCGCTTGTCGTCTCGGTGTTTCCCTCGCCAGCCCAGCGTTGCGCAGGCTTCGTGTTGTTGTCGATTTGGTAGTCGATCTGGTTGCTCTCGAAGGAGGCGCGGAGGGATGCGGGGATTGTGCGCGGGATGCGGAAGCCCTCGTGTCGGTAATTTAGAATGTGGAGGAAAGCGAGGGCGGAGTCTTTATTGATTGCCTGGCCAGCGGAAGGGTTGACGAGGTTCCAAGCGGAACGGACGTCAGTGTCGGGGACATCAAGTGAGTCGTATAGGGCGCTTAGTGAATCGACTATGAATAGAGACTAGAGATTAGCTGGACATTGCGACGGACTTTCCCCCCCTTAGGGGTGGTGAGCGAGGGAGGTGGCGGGACTGACAGGTAATCTGGCCGCGTGGGTTCCGGCTGGCATTATAGATGTCCTCGTACTTGGACCGATCGGCCGGTTTCATGTACCAATCGAAGCCATCCTTCAGGCCGAGCGTGTCGTCCTCGTCTTCTATCCGCTCGAATTGTTCCGGTCGGCTGCTTAATGCCTTCGTGGCGTGGACGAGATGTGATTTGGATTCAGGGACGAGCCAGTCGGGTAGCACGGGCGGGACCTCTTGTAGCTCCTATCAGGCAAGCCGCCGTTAGCACAATCGGGTTTCCAGGTGTTTCTTAGCACAGCGCAAGTAGTCGGGGGTTACATACACCGTTGACCAGATCAAAGACCAGGCGCATGGCTACGCAGAATTCTTCAAAGTCCAGCTCGCCGTCGCCATCGACGTCCGCAATGTCCCAGACCTTCTCGAGCTGGTCATCGCGCAGGCGGCTGTTGCGCAGGACTGAGGCAGCCTGGGTGCTGTTGAGGCGGGATTGGCCATTAGAGAGGGAGGCGAAGATCTCCCAATAGCGCTCAATCTCCCATTGCTCGATCTTTTTGGTTGACATGGTGTCTGTTGCTTAGGTGGAGGAATGGGGGAGTTTGGGGCAGGTGGGTTGGTTTAGGGTGGATCCCGCGTTGTCCGCCTTCAGGGGATCTGATCTGAGGTCATCGTGTTTACTCCCAAGTACTTTCTTTCCTCCTACTTACGCCGAGCAAATAAAGGTGAGACTTTGTTTAAATGTTTCAAGGGGCTTTAACCCCTATCTACATACATGGAAGCTATGTCCACAAAGTCATGTATCATAGGTCAAATATATCAATACACAGTTTCGATCAACATACAACCTCGCATTTGCTAGCAATTAGCCTTGTATATGTACCCAATTCCAACATTTTGAACAAAATTGGTTTCTTGTAAACATTGACATTAATTAGTAATCATACATGAAGGTTCTCATTTCCTCGGTGTTAAATAGACCTTCAAAGGACTCTTCTCCCACATGAGGAAATTCTTTTGGTCAATCCAGTCCCGGCTATCATCTGCAATGACCATATCAAATTGGAAAATGACAAGAGCAAGGATCAAACGCATTTCACTATATGCAAGGCTATTTCAACGATCAAATGTTAGTATATAGTCTCCCCGCACAAGCCAGCATAACTACTTGGGATTTTGAACCTACTTTCTCCCAAGACAATTTCTTGGTCCAATATGGAATGGCTGAAAGACATCTCGTCGGTCGTTCACGAACTTGGTATCCCCAAGGAAACGTTCCGGATGGTAAGTATTGGGATCTTTGAAATACTCTTCACGGCGATAGAGTGCCCATTGATGTATAGAGACATTAGTCTGCAGTCATTTTATTAGCACTGATCCCCAATATTATAATTCGAACATGGACCACATACGTTCTCTGGAATATACTCTCCTAGAATATGAGATCCGCCCTTAGGACAAACCCGTGGAAGGCCGTTAGCGATGGGAGGGTACATGCGCATTGCTTCGTCGAGACATGCTAACATGTAGGGAAGATTGTTAACACTAATCAAGTTTATTTCTTCCTCGCTGGCAAACGTTGATCGAACTTCCTCTTTCAAGATTTGATGAGCTTCCGGGTTTTGTAGTAATAGATAGGTCACTCCGCTCAATAATGACGCGGTTGTCTCAGACCCTCCGATGATCAAGATCTCAGCATTTGAAACAAGCTTATCCACACCAAGATTCTAGTCGAGTTAGATCAATATTCCTGGATGTCTACATAGATTCATGTATTAACTTACCAACTCATCTTTCTTCTTCAATAACCCTTCAATAAGATCTGGTCGTTCTTCAGTGATAGCAATCCGACGAAGCATCTTCTCTTTCGTAAGGGTTTTATGCTTCTGGTGAGCCTCTTGCATTGCCTTGGGAACCAGCGACAAAAGTATACCCTTCACTGATGGAACAAAAGACAAAGCCTGCAAGAAAGAGCCCAGGTATGCGGATTCGAAAATACCCTTAATCCAATCATCATAGTTGCAACCCTCCAGACAACCGAAGGGCTCTCCAAATGCGAGATCACCAATAATGTCGAATGTCGTAAAGTTATACCAATCAGAAATGACCACACTGCCCTTTGAACAGTTCTCTTGTAATCTTGTCAGGAGCATATCAACATATTTGCGGATCATAGGTTCCTGGCTCCGCATACTCTTTTCGGAGAATCCATGAGCCATCTGTCGGCGTAATCGCTTATGTTCATCAATATCCTCGTTGACAATATGTAAAGGCTCGTCAATAGGACGATAGAACCAGCTGGCTTTGGCCATCTCTGGCTCTCCGTTCCTATGGCCCATGATATCTTTCCATGCGTCTGGGTGGGAGAACGCAAGCTCATCTGGCGCAATGCGAACAATGTCTCCGTAGCGTTTATGCAGATCGAGCATATCAAAGGGGAGAGTGCCGTTAGTTGCACGCCGAAAGTATGGAATGCGAGAAATCGCATGGGATTTGGGGCCGGGGAAGCGGCTCAGTGGGTGAAAGAATACATTGTAAACGACTTTGGTGAAGAGGTAAATAAGTGCCTATGTCTGTTAGAAGGGAGCCGTTACTTTCTTCCTCAGGTGAGACGGTACCGTGGAAACGACTGTTGCCAAACATGACTTTGCATCGAGGAGCAGGCTCATATCTTGAAGCATTCAAATGTTCTGCTGGTGTTCCAATTTGTCTTAGTAGACACAATCAACGTATACTACTAGCTACAACACATTTGATTCTTGGAAGCAGGGGTTTTATATGACCTTGCAAAAATAACCCAATCTTATTTTAAGTGCTGAGCAGGGGCCGAGGTAAAAAAAGCCACATACGTGGAGGTTTGGATACATTTCAGGAACACAGCCCCGCTTTCCGGGAGGATTTCCTCTGTCAGAAGCTTCTCCGCAAGGAGTACTTATAAGTTATAGCTGCACCAACCAAATGTTAGCAAGCTGAGTACGAACCCGAACCCGAACCCGGTTGGAATTAAAGGGAACCGAACCCGAACCCGAACCCGAGAACCTTAAACGGTTCCACTTTCACCTTGGAAGTCTTCAAAGTAATCAGAGTAGGGGTTTAAGCCAATCTTTAAACCCTGGAAATAAGCTAACTTTGATTCACATGGCGCTTTATAGCTCTTCATATTGGCGGCGTAGATCATTTTCACCGCCCTACTCAAATATTGATGAATAATGATTGCACAATCAAAGAAACAAGAACCAATGAGAAGTACTTGAATCCGAATACGATCTGCTCACTTGGCCTATAGTCCATGGGCGGCACCATCTCTAGTGGAATGATTTGAGGCACTGCGCCGGAGTTGAGTCCGGTCTAGAAACATATCACCTTCGACGCCTTTTTGTTCATAATTCACAAGGGATTCCACCGGAGAGTGGAATTTCCGAGCAGACTACAGACCCTCACACGATGCTATATAACACCTACCAGCTGCCCAGCAACCTTTTGGCTTTCACAAATCATGTCTCTGCACCAAATCACTCTCAATATCCAGGGAAAGCTTCGGAATCATGTCTTCTGACAACACTGCACCAAAGTTGGAGCAGGCGCACTCTCCGCTCGATCCAAAGACCCCGGCCGATAAGGGCGAAGAAGAAAAGGGAAAGATGGAGGCAGCATCGGAGTTTGACGTGTTCTGGAATGAGCCTGTTGATCAAGATCCAGAAAATCCCATGAACTGGAGCTCAGCGCGCAGATGGACTATCGTTGGAGCGGTATCCTTCATTACTTTTTTGACGTAAAGTTCTCATATTACACGCAAAGAAACAATAAAGTTCATTTCTAACATCTGCATGGAATTTAGTCCCCTCGCGTCATCCATGTTTGCACCTGCAGTACCTCAAGTTATGGCCGACTTTAATGTTAGCTCGACAATGCTAGCGACCTTCGTTGTCTCGGTCTACATCCTCGGCTTTGCATTCGGCCCTCTCATAGTCGCTCCACTGAGTGAACATAGTGGCCGTCTCATCGTCTACAACACTTGCAACTTCGTATTCTGTGTTTTCAATATCGGCAGTGCGTTGGCCCCGAATCTGGCGGCCCTTATCATTTTCCGATTTTTGGATGGTGTTGCCGGTGTGACGCCGACAACCATCGGAAGTGGCACGATTGCAGACATCATGCCAAGAGAAAGTCGGGGTAAAGCTATGGCTCTTTGGTCTCTGGGGCCTTTATTCGGTCCTATAATTGGTCCAGTTGTTGGTGGATATCTAGTCGAGGCTACGAGCTGGCGATGGGTGTTCTGGGTTTTGGCAATTGCGGTAAATACTTTGTTCATCTCAATTGGGCACCTAATATTTTCTGACAGTGATATTCTTCTTTTAGGGCGGCGTCGCGTCGACTGCCTTCTTCTTTATCGTCCCTGAAACGCACGGTCCTACAATTCTTGAACGCAAGGCAGCACGGCTACGGAAAGAGACCGGCAGCATGGAATATAGGTCTCGATTGGATGACGGCATTCCCCCTAAACAAAGATTCTTGCAGAGCCTCGTTCGCCCAACGAAGATGTTACTCTTTTCGCCAATTGTGTCATCGATGTGTATCTATATTGCGGTTCTCTACGGCCTCTTATACATTCTTTTCACTACATTTACCGAGGTATTCGAAGGACAATACGGGTTTTCATCTGGCGCAAGCGGCCTGTCCTTTCTGGGCAGTGGAGTTGGCATGCTTCTCGGACTTCTCTATGCTGGCACGCTCAGCGATCGCAAGATCAAACAGAAGATTGCAAGAAAGGAACAACCCCAGCCAGAAGACCGACTCCCTTGGTATATTGCTCTTCCTGGATCGCTGAGTATCCCCGCTGGACTCTTCATCTACGGCTGGGCAACTGATAAACATGTCCCTTGGATTGTTGCTGAGATAGGAAATGCTGTGACGGGATACGGAATGATTCTTACTTTGATGGGCATTCAGACCTACCTGGTTGATGCATTCACGCAGCATGCAGCCAGTGCTATTGCAGCCTGTACCGTTCTGCGGAGCTTGGCTGGTGGGCTTCTTCCTCTTTGCGGATTGAAGTTATACGACAAGCTCGGTTTGGGATGGGGAAATAGCCTGCTGGCATTCATTGCTTTGGCCGCAGCCCCGATTCCCATTCTATTCCAATTGTTTGGAGCGCAGCTGAGGGCTAAATCCAAGCCTCCAAGATAGGGCTAATCTACACACACTATGTCACCAGATCATATGTATAAAGAGAAATTAATAATATTGGCAATGTACATTTATATAGAGTCGGGAGCCCAATTTATCTGGTCTTGAGGCCACCGTAGCCAGCCTCGATATTTCTCATCCATGACAGAATGCAGTTGTGTCATAAGTCGGCCACTCAGTCCTTCCATCCACCACATCCATTCAATTTGGCGCAGTGCGACGCAAAAATATGCAAAAATAATGAGTGCGACCGGCTCCTCTTGCACCAATAGCTCCAAATACTCATCCGAAGCTTCCAACAACCACACGAATACATCTGCTGTCTGAAGCCTTGGTCCATCGCCCGGTTTCATAACCACACCTAGGGTTCTGGTGAGCGCATTGATGGTATCTTCGTAAATGCGACTGCGTCGCAGGTCTTGCACAAACTCATGACCAATCATTTGTTTCAACTCCCACGTATACATCTGCCCCTGTTCAAACGTCTGCGGGTCCTGGGCAGCTGCCGACCGGGCACAACTCCCAAACATGGGACCCAAACTACCTTCCTTGAAATCATGACTACTGTAGTCAATAACAGTCTTTGTGCCGCGGAATAGAAGGACCCAATTGGCAAGACGACCATGCTCAAATAAGACAAGAAAGCTTCCCTCGGAGGGAATGCTGGCGCAAGCAGAGATACAGGTTAATGAAGAGAAGAGAAACAGCCCGACTCCATTTTCGGTAGCTAGAGAGGGTATATTGGGCGTTACCGACTGGACGGCTGTTTGGTGATGAATATGTGCTTGAGCAATACAGCTGGCCCGCCGTGAAGGATCGATCCGTGCCAGGTGTAAAGCGGATACGGCTAGCATGGCATGTAGGACCCCTGGCATGGTGAAACCTACCCTGGGCACTTCGTCACGCCATATTGCCTGGATAGATGGGATTCGATTCAATGTGTAGCAAGTTGAGATCAAATAGTGATGCAAGAGCTCCATGTCAAAGACAGGAAGACCCGTGGCTGAAATAGTGTGCGAGGATCCAATGCTGGGGCTAGCATTTTCTGCCGGTCCGTCAAGCCTGGAACTGGCTGGACTCGCGGCGTCCTGGTCTAATTGAACAGGGTCGGGTGTACCTGCAAAGGAGCATGAAACGCCATGTCTCTCACAGTTGCCGCAGGTGGGCTTGGACTCATCGCACTTTTGAACAATTTAGGTCTTTTTTGTTTGTGACATGATAGATTGTGGTGAGGAGTTTACCTTGACCTTCCTTCTTTTGCAAGAAAAACAGCCTGCTCTGGACTTTCGATGCGAGCGGCGTCCAATAGGAGGGGCAGGTTGCATTCTAGGAATTTCGATTGACCAAGCATGCGCACAAGTTAGGTTGTATACTTGGCTGGTTATTCTGTATCTCGGGCACCGTCATACGCTATAGTTGAAGGGAGCATTTGTCTAAGTGTGGATACAAGACCGAACACTTTGGGGGTAGAAGAGAGATTAGATAAGCACCATCCGGGGTAAATAAATTGGCACCTACTAGTAGTGGTAGTGAACTTGAAAACAGAGAAGTTAGATCGAGTAACGGCTTCCTGTTGTGATGCACTGGTGTAGTATTGGTTTGGTGAAACAGTAGTAAAATATGGTACATTGAGTAGGTTTTTAGACATATCAGGTGAAGTGAAGATTCTATCAACTATCTACGTAATTCCACGACATGCAGTTGTCGGTCCTCATTTAAAGGTTCTTTTTATCCTCCGAGTTGGATTCTCGTGCTTTCGATTTCGCTTCATCTGCACGGGCTTGAAGCTGTGCGGTGACTTGGACGATGGCTCGCTCAGCCTCCAGTGCAAGGTCTGGCGCATCCAAGATGGTTGCGAGCTTCTTGGCATCGGACATCTTCAGGAGAATTCTCTCGTCACTTTTCTCAATGTCCTCAACCATCTCCTCGGCAGGGGTATCGTGTGGGGTATCATCAAGTGCATATGATGCACGTTTGGCATATAGCCGCTCCAGGTCGGGGAGGGAGATGGGATTTAGGAGGTTCTTTTCCACAAGGAACTCAAGGTGCTGGGAACCATTCAATGCTAAAAATAAGTCATTAGTTAGCTTTCCACATAATATCTGAGACCAATGATAAGTAATTACCTCGCCAGTGGGACCAGCCACGGTAAACCAGGTAAAAGAAAGGGATATTTGGAACTCTGGAGGAACAGGTCAACAGTTGGACGATTACAGACAGTAGGACAGGGAAGATCTTACACTGGAATCAGCCCTAGAGGTGCTGTGATTGGCGCGATTCCAAAACTCCATCGCATCTTTTTCCGGTGAAACTCCTGACGTTCCGTGGCTATGGTCCGTAGCAGAGCGGGTATCTTTTCCAAGCGGAGCGAGTTTCCTGGGTATAGTACATCGATTTTTTTCGTTCCATGTGCCTCATCAATCCGCTTTTGAGAATTTAATGAGGGAATACTCTTAAGCCCCCATTCTTCAAATGGAATACGTTGCTGAACTGAATTGCCCCAAGTCACCAGGCGTTTCTTCCAACCCCCTTCAGCTTCTTCCCATTGGGCCCATGTCTGAGCTGCCTTTGTCGTGACGCGATCGAGGATGGACAGCTCTTTTGGAATGTCTTTCCGCAATGGACGAGAGTATATTAAAGCTCGGCGAGTCGAGATGGGAATCAAAAAGAGACGCATGGCTGCGAGAGTGGATTTGTGTAATCTCCAAGAGGGAAAAAAAAAGTAGACGGGTATCTCAAAGGCGGTAGTAAAGGAGAGGGTCGTTTAGTATGGTATGATGAAGGATGGATTTTTCATTTGGAACAATTTATGCGACCACTGTGAAGCTTGGAAGCTTTTTGCAAGTGAGATGTGAAGTGGGACAGGATCTCGCGGCTCGCCGAGGAAATCAGGCAGGGGGGAGACGTCATTACGCGCGCGAACTCGGTGTTGGATCTCGGTCGATTCTTGGCCGATCAACAATCTCCCTTCCAACCTTGTTTTTTTGTTTCTGGCCCACCTCCATCTCTCTTTGTTTTCTGCTTCATTCTTCTTACAAGGGACAATTGGCGAGCGCTTGTTCTCGAGTCACCTATAGGCAGGTAATGCGATCATTGAGCTGATCAACTTCCGCCCATCTCCGAGTGCCAGTGCCCAGCCTCTTGTCGCCTATCATGGATGCGCATGACTCCAAAGCTGAGACCACCGGCCAAATCTTCAATGAGAAGCTGCCCGAGAATGTTCCTGTGGTTACCACTTCATCTACTGCAGATCCAAAGCCTTTGAACATAGATACCCACGCCAGCAATCTCCGCACCAGTACCTCCAATTCCCCAGCCACGGCAACGCATACTCCCAATACCCAGCTATCCGAGGAATTCGCTCGATTTCAGAATAATACTTTGCGTGCTCTGCCTGGTACGAGAATATATGCTGACCTCTAGCATTTTTTATCTCTATTTGATCACTGACAAGGTTTTTCTTTTCTTTCTAGCCTGGATCCGGTCGGTCGAGGAAATCCAAGAAGAAAAAGACGAAGCTGCTGCTACAGATCACCTACTACCATCCCAACCCAACGATGCATTTGTCGCCCAGCACAACCATGCTCCCCACCCTAAATCTAGGTCCGAATACTCCCATGAGGGTCAACTTGAAGACGGCATGTCGATGTCCCCTCGTCGAGAGTCTCGCTGGAAAACATTCTCTCGCACCATCCAGTATCCGCGAGAATATGGCGAGGAGTACAAAGAGGTCACTGCGGAATGGATGAACGATAATATGGGAAATCTATTAGAACCATGGCGAGGCAATTTGTTGGAAGGTGACAGCCCAGAGTTTCCCTTACACAACAGCACCCCCAGACGAGAAATTTGGTTCAAGCGCTTCCATAACTTCTTTTTGAGGAGTCCGATTGCACCACTCATTCTACGGTTGACCGTCTGGTGTTTCTCACTTGCAGCCTTGATCTTGGGTGGGATAATTCAACACTTGTCCGACCAGGTCCATAACCGCCAAGGCGCCTCCGCACTGATGGCGATCATTGTTGATGCTGTGGCTTTGGTGTATCTCATTTATATAACATTTGATGAGTATACTGCGAAGCCATTGGGCCTGCGATCTCCCTCAGCTAAAACACGTCTTATCCTCCTGGATTTGTTTTTCATTGTGTTCGATTCAGCTAATCTCAGTTTGGCGTTCAATTCTCTGTCCGAGGTGACCGGAGCTTGTACCGAAGCTGAGATTAATCAAGCGATCGACCCTCGTAATGATCGAATTTGCGTGCGGCAAAAGGCCCTTGCGTCCGTCTTGCTGGTTGCCCTGGTCGCTTGGTTAATGACATTTGCAATCAGTGTTCTGAGGTACAGTACCACCCACCACATGTAGGAATCTTTGAACTAATTGACTTTGTTTGTGATAGACTTGTTGAGAGGGTGAGACACTGAAACCGCTTTCGCTTGGATCTGAAATCTTTTTACTCGAAACAGGGTGTGGGCACGTTTCAGTCACGCCTTGACGAGCATTGATCTAAGGCGCAGAGAGAACTAGATGTTCACAGCAGAGCCATCGTCTCCGTAAAGCGGATCTCGATCAAACCATGTCAACTTTTGAATGTCATGGACTTTTCCCGTTTCATCAGCTCGCCCATAACACATATCCCACTCTTTGTTGTGTGGATAAGAGCCAACCATTAGAAATGGTTCATCTCCTTCGTCGGTCAACAATCGATGTCCGACTCCTGCGGGCACAATTATCAGATCCCCACTCTGCACTATTGGCTCGAATCTTTCAGGGTTCCCCTCGCCGCCGAAGCACAGTCGTGCTCGTCCGGCAACGATGCCTAGTACCTCATGGGTAGTGGAGTGGAAATGAGTCTGGCTGTACATTGTGTAAATCCAATGTGGCTTCACGACACCTGAAGGCGCCGCTCGAGATCGACGGGTGTGGCGTTGAACGCACCATGGTATATAATCAGTGGTTTATGTTGGATTGATGTATTAGGAATAAAGTGCCATGATGGAATTTGGCGGTAAGTAAACTGAATCTTTGAAGTTGGGTTAAAGGTCATATTGTTCTCAGTTGATGGCATGCTTTGTGATGGTTTAATATGCATTGGGGCAACAAGGTGAGCTTGATGACACGCATGACGTCACGGATCAAGTTGGCCACTCTCAACATTGGCGGAATTCAGGTGGCATTTGAGACAAAACCTTGACTTTGGGCTTTTCCTTTCGAAATCATACGATGGAAAATACCCATGCCTACATCGCTGGTCAAGGGTTCAATTCGATCCTACCGATGGAAATGGATCTATGGCCCACGCTCCCCGCACTGGCAAATCTTTCGGTTTATAACAAATATTATCAAATGTATTCGAATAAATGACAAATTAGAGAAAATTACATGCTCTTTCACGACATGAAAGTTTTAGAGAAATTCGCTTTTCAATATAATTATTAATGGCGTAGTAGCGTGGAAGAAGTCCATCGTCGTCGGTATCGATAGACCAGGCCTCCCACTAACTTCAGTCACCGCCTTCCCCAAACAACCGTGGGGATGCTCTTCCTCTCAGCCTCATCACTCTCTCCGCCACATCTTCTGCCTGACCTTCTTCACCCTGTTGTTCGTCTGCTTGGTTTTTGAATCCTGGGTGGCCTCGTTCTGCACTCCCCCTCCCCAAATCCAACGGGGTCAGTTATCTCGTTGCCACAAAACACACCTATCCTCTGTCTCATAATCTCACCGCGTCAACTCGCCATTTGTGGCGCTATCTCTGGTCTCTGAGGGGTGATCGTCCTGTATGTTTCTTCGTGTATAACTCTGTTGAGTTCAAGTCAGTTTTCTGGAGCTCTTTGCTGATGGTCCAAAATTCGTAAACAAGATCAAGCGCGTTTTATTAGAACTCTCTACTCGCTCCCGCCCCTTGACACCATGCCGCCGATGATGCCACAAACGCCCCATAAGGACGATCTCGAGTCAACGTGAGTTGTGGAACACCTACATATCGCAGGAAAGCTCAAATTTCTCAGCGCTAACGATGGTTCAGTTGGTCGTTCTTAGAGTCGGGTATCAACAATGTGATGCACAAGCTGGAGGAGGGTGTTGATATGAAACATGTAAGTGGGAGTTGAGTTTGTCCTGTGGTTTATATCTCATCGCCGGACCCTCATATGGCCATTTGCTGACGACTCCATAGTACATGGCTCTTTACACGTTTGTTTCTTTCTCTGAACTCTTCGTGTCCTAGCCTGTACTTACCTATCACTTAGAGCCGTCCACAACTTTTGCACATCACAAAAAGCCGTTGCGAGTAACCAAGGTCTTCAAGCTCACCGTGGAGGTTTGTCCCTCTTCCCCACAAGATCGCTGGATGGTCTGGCCCAAGAACGGCTCAACAATACCCCTCGACTTTCGCTAATGCCTTATTGGCTTCGAAAAGCTCATCTACTCGGCGAGGAACTTTACAAGCTACTAGGCGAATACCTCTCACGCCATCTCAGTGATGTGCTCGAAAAATCACTCTCTCACGCCGATGAAGCACTACTAGCATTCTACATCCGCGAATGGACTCGCTACACGACCGCCGCCAAATATGTCAACCATCTCTTCAGCTATCTCAACCGGCACTGGGTGAAGCGTGAAATCGACGAAGGAAAGAAGAATGTTTATGATGTCTACACCTTACATCTTGTCAAATGGAAGGACGATTTCTTCGAGAATCTGCATGCGAAGGTGATGGACGCAGTGCTAAATTTGATCGAGAAGCAGCGAAACGGTGAAACGATCGAACAATCACAGATCAAGAGCATCGTTGATTCTTTTGTATCATTGGGTCTCGACGAAAACGACAGCAAAAAGTCCACACTCGAGGTCTACCGGCATTATTTCCAGCGGCCGTTCATTGACGCGACGAAGAAGTATTACGAGAACGAGTCGCGGCAATTCGTGGCAGAGAACAGCGTTGTGGAATACATGAAGAAGGCTGAGGCTCGGCTTGAGGAGGAGAAAGCTCGAGTGGGTCTCTACTTACACTCGGATGTGACCAAAAGCCTCACCGAAACGTGTCTGGATGTTCTTGTCACTGCTCATTCCAATCTTCTTCGCGATGAATTCCAGATTCTGCTCGATAATGAACGACAGGATGACCTTGCTCGCATGTACCGCCTCCTGTCACGCATCAAGGAGGGGTTGGATCCATTACGTTCCATTTTTGAAAATCACGTGAGGAAAGCTGGAATGGATGCTGTCGAAAAGGTTGCATCGGACGGCGAAAGCTTTGAGCCTAAGCTGTACGTCGATGCTCTGCTCCAAGTTCACACACGATACCACAATCTCGTTGACGAGGCCTTTAACGGTGAATCCGAGTTTGTTCGTTCGCTTGATAACGCCTGTCGGGAGTTTGTCAATCGTAACTGTATTTGCAAGTCAACTTCAACCAAGTCTCCTGAATTGCTGGCCAAGTATACCGACTCATTGCTCAAGAAAGGTACTAAGTCTGCTGAGGAGTCCGAGCTTGAAGAGATGCTCGTTCAGGTCATGACGGTTTTCAAGTACATCGAGGATAAGGACGTGTTCCAAAAGTTCTACTCCAAAATGCTGGCGAAACGTCTGGTGCATGTCAGCTCGGTCTCTGATGATGCAGAAACTAGTATGATCAGCAAGCTAAAGGAGGCTTGTGGATTTGAATACACCAATAAGTTGCAGCGCATGTTCCAGGACATCCAGATTTCCAAAGATCTTAATGCCAATTACAAGGTCTACCAAGAAAAGGTCTTGGATGATGATGACCGCAGGAGAATGGTGGACGCACATTTCCAGGTCTTGGGAACTGGAATGTGGCCTCTGAATCCACCAAGCACTACTTTCTCTGCGCCTCCGGAGGTTACCAAATCCGCTGATCGGTTCCAGAAGTTTTACTTTGATAAGCACAACGGCCGCAAGTTGACATGGCTGTGGCAGTTGTGCAAGGGTGAGGTCAAGGCCAACTATATCAAGAACTCCAAGGTGCCTTACACGTTCCAAGTATCAGCCTTCCAGATGGGTATTCTCCTGTTGTTTAACGAGAGTGACGCTCTCTCGTATTCGCAAATCCAGGAAGCCACTACCCTGGCTCCTGACATCCTTGACCCTAATCTTGCTATTTTCATAAAGGCGAAGGTGCTACTGGCGGGCCCTGATGGCGCCAAACCTGAACCTACAACTACCTACACCTTGAACACCAATTTCAAAAACAAGAAGGTTAAGATCAATCTCAACGTTCAGATTAAGTCCGAACAAAAGGTAGAATCGGAGGACACACACAAGACGATCGAGGAGGATCGGAAGCTGCTGCTCCAAGTATGTCATCCCATTTCCATTTACTTTTTCCCCCACTCTAATCGTCTGAACAGTCTGCCATCGTTCGCGTCATGAAATCTCGCAAGAAGATGAAGCACGTACAACTCGTACAGGAAGTCATCCAGCAGGTCAAATCCCGTTTCCCGCCCAAGATTTCCGACATCAAGAAAAACATCGAGGCTCTCATGGAAAAGGACTACATCGAACGACTAGACGGAGACGAAGTTTCTTACATTGCTTAATCAACTCTTCATACTTCGCCATTCCCCTTCTACACAAATCTCCTCCTCCCATTTACCCTGGCATCTTCTCCTTCCTTCGCCTGTTTAACTCATGAACCTATCTCACCCATTCCCTGTCTTCGGGCTTTGTTTCCGGATTAGGACGTGAATCAGAACAGTGGCTGGAATGGTTTGGGGTTTTGCTTACGATTTTTTGGAAGCTTAGGCCACAAGATCGACGCATTGTCTGTTTTATCTTATTATATGGTTCATCATTCATCATAGCGTTGAGACGAGCAGACCAATGATAATCCTGGTTTTTTTTCAAGTTATGACCGTCGATCTAGATAGATGTCAGTAACTGACAATAGTACGTCAGATATAGAGAATCCGCCCTTTATCTAGTAGGTACCTATTGCCGTATACGTGCAGCAAACAGGTCTCCTAGGCGTACTACGAGTACTGTCAAATTTCCATTTCAAAATATTTACTCCAAACTTAGGTTGACTCCAGAAAATTGGAAGACAAGCATTGGAATCAGTTGCAAGGTTACCGTGACTACATAAGAACCAGTTGACCCAAGAGGAAGACATTCTTCTCAACTTTAGAGCACATAGGTCAGTGATTTGCAATTGCCTGCTTGGGACTGTATATACTACATCTAGTCGGAAATGGAACAGATGCACATGAAGTCCTGGAGATCACAGGCACATACACAGATAGCCATGGAATCTTGTCTGGAATTCGTTACACCAAAACGACAATGCACTGCCAACAAATGCTATTATCCATTTCATATACATATTCTGTTCTAACAGCACACATCATCATCCGAAGTATCAGCCTGGACGGAATCCAAGAAATTCCCAAAGGGGGTATAATTTACAGATTGCGGAAAGAAGAAAGAAGAATTCAAACGAGTATTCACAACAAAGGTAGAACAAAACGGGGTTCGAGCTTTCAAATGAGATGGGTATGCCGCTGGAATATGACGTTTGGGATTGAGAAAAGGGGTGAAATAGAGTATAGACGAGATAAGACAGGACGATTAAGATATGTAGATGAAGCTCTGTCGTCGGAACAGTCATTGAATTTAATCACTTTTCTTCCTTGACAGGCAGAGCAGTAATGTAGTCTTCCTCATTGGTATCATATGTTTTCTGGGCAGTGTTCTCCTTCGGGTTCAGATTGACTCGAAGTCCATCTGAGGGAGTGAGAGGCACAGCGCTGAACCCATCGTCTTCGCCAAGAACTGCCTCGTAAGTTGGCTTCTTGTTTTCATTCTGCGAAAAGAGGACTTCTGAATCATGATGCTGGGATTCGGGCTCATAGGCTGGGAACCCCTGTGACAGGGGGGATTTGGGGTAAGGTTGATCGTTACCATCGGAGCCCTCTTCACGCTTGAATTCTCCGCTCTCGCGGCGTAGGAGGATGTTGCTCCATCTCTTTCGGCGGCTGCCACTGCGGCTGAGGCCTTCCGAGGCATCTTCACTGGCATTGGGGCGCTGCTGCTGCATGGAGCGGCGACGACCACGGTCCGACTCGGGGGTTTCAGTCACGATCTGCAGCTTCGGGGTGGAGGGGCTAGAAGCGATGACTGGGGGAGTTGAAGGTTGGGGTGGGTTCGGACTTGGGGATGAACTGCGTTTGTCTTGCCACTCTTTACGCTTTTCGCTGGCCCAGGAGCCCCACGAACTGAAGTATGCACCAGCTTTTTGACCGGCGACGCTCACTGTAGCTTGTGCTTGGGCGACATCGATAGAAGGTCTTTGGCGGGGAGGGAGCCAACCTCCAGAAGACTCGGCGGGAGACGACTGCGAAGTTGCTGGTGGAGAGAGCGTGGTGTCAATAGAGGAACGCTGCGATTGAGCGGCGGCCTTTTCCTCGTTGCGCTTTCTTTGAGCTTCACGCATGGATTCAATGTCCGACCAAAAGCCATTAAATGCTGCGCTGACTTTCTTTTGCCCTGTGGCAAATTGACGGCCGAGTGCCTCGCGGCCCTCGCGCACTCGCTCATCCAGATGGAGGTCGGCTACCTGCTGAGACAAACGACGTTGGATATCATCCATGGTCAGCCCGCCAGCACTTGGGTGCCGTGGCTCGGTAATTGAGAATAAAAGTGCATCAGAGGTGAGACGCGAGAAAAGGGCGTAATTGGAAGTTTTTTGCCATTGGGCTAAAAACTCTGCGTTGAAGTCAAGGGCAGGGTCGCCTTCAATGTTAAAGTTCTGCAGCTGCGTTCTGCTTCGGTGTGGCGAGTCGCCTGAAGAGTGCGATACGAGCTCCTCGTGGTATTTCATGCTGGATAGCAAGGCAAGAAGATACTCTTCGAACTGGAGGCGAATGAACTCCTCCGATCCCATAAAGCCTAGTGTCTTAGGACGGGATGGGTGGGCATCATCCCAGGTTTCGTTGACAATCTGGGTGAGTACGTCAATCCAACGCCTGTCAGCCACAGACAGAACCAAGGCCCTTTGAAGAGTCGGGGACGAGATATTAATGCTGTCCTCGTCAAGCTGATATTTCCGTAACAAAATTCGGTTAGCGGGGGGTTTTTTTAAAACTCTTTGCCAGATTGGAAATGCTCACGTTGATTAAAATGTCGCTATAGCGATCTTTTTGTTGGAGGAGCAAGGAATTTGTTGATCCTACGACATACGACTTTGTACCATCGTCGGCCAGCAAATCCAGTTGCTGTAGAGGGGTATATGGCCCAAACATACTTCCCTATGAAAAGAGTTAGAAAATCAGATTCGGCAACTAAGAAACAAGGTTCGCATAAGTACCTTTCCGAAAATCTGCAGTGGTAAGCCCATGTAGGCCAATACTGATTTCTTATTAGTTGTGAGTTCAAACAATTGTAAAAATGGCAACGTACAAGAGCCTCGGTCACTTGTCTTGAGCGAGGTCGGCTTCTCAACGCTCTGTGTATAGCTGTCAAATGCTGGATCTGCACAATCTTGCAGACTGTTGATCAAGCCAGGTATTAAAGAAATAAGAGAGAATTGAATCATGCATAGACGTTCACATCGAGTGCCGAAGAATAGCATCTGTGGGGGTCAGCACATTTCTTTGCTTACAAAAGCAATGATCGATTGATCTGCCTACCTTGGGCTGCAATAGTAGTCCCTTGAAGAGCACCAAGGTCTGATATTTGAACTCATGGATCATTTCTCGTAAAGAAAGACCTTAAATTTGGTAAGTAAAGTTTCAGATAGATAGCGATTGGAAATACTCACCTAGGTTCTGGTCCTTGGACGCATCATTGGATAAACTGATGACCAGGCCTTCTCGGAATTTCTAGATCGTCTTTGTAAGCCTTACGTTCAATGTTGCGGGTTTTTTTTTCTGATTCTTACCCTCAAGATATCAACATCTGAAAAGTCTCTGTATATTCAAACGATCATCAGCATTTGTTCGCTTTCCGCAGAACCACCTCTTACTGCGATGTCCAACATACCGTTGCGCAAACCATGCCGAGGTCACCACAGAGAGTTTTTCCCGCAATTGACCCACTCTCTGCGGGCTATCCGTTACCACCACCACAGCCTTCTGCACTGTCGATCGAGTCACTTCAGGAGGGCGATTAATCAAGAGCTTGGCATCGAGCTGGCGCGAGCAGGCAATGCCGAAGAGGGAGGTTGCCGGTGTTTCGGGAGTTTCCTTGCGGCGCAATGTGAAATATGAGAATTCCTCCGTTGATCTAAGATAGGCATTCGATAGAGCATCAGCTTCATCTGTTCAATGACGCAAAAAGGAGTGGTGCGGGGCTGTTGTGGAGGGGTGGAATATGAATGCCAGGGGGAAGCGAGCGCGAGAAGGCTGGAATTTCGGCTCCTATCCAGGAGGTAGCTTTTTATAAGGGTTTCGTACAGATGCGCACCGTCAGAGAGTGCCATGAACGGTAGTAATGACCAGTCGTTGTCGGCAGCTGGGTCTGTCCCCTCATCGCCGATACAGTGTTCGATTTCCGGACCCCTGTAGATCGCGCAGACATAAATTAGTACCCGTTGATCCCTGTTCGAAATGCTTATGCCAAGTCAAAAGAGCTAGGCAGATCGATAGACTGTGGGGACTCACCGTGCATGGTGGAAATCAATCACCAGTACAATTGGGTCTTGTTTATTAGAGATGGCCATCGCAGCTGTCATGCGGGGGGTGTGGCGTGGAGAATCGGGGAGCGGGAAATGCAAGGGTCAAAGATTTTCTCCAGCAGGAATTCCGGGCGTCGCCATTTATTGCGCAAGGAGGAAGCTTTCTGGAAGCGCGCTCTTCAACAGGGGAATTTGGGGTGCGATACGGTTTATCGCTCACGTGTTGATCGTCGGCGGTGTGTGACGTTTTTGTCACTAAACAGGGATCAGATCCAGAAACGTCTTGCCCTTAACAATTTACTAGTTGGGCCTTTGAATCTTCGTTATTACTCGTCTTCCTTTTCCACGTCGATCTAAACATGAATTTTGTGTCGCCCATTGACTTCCCAGAGAATATTGCTATTAATTCAGACCCTGAATCCTCAACTACCCCCTGAGCTCTGGACCTCGGTAGAGCTTCGAACTAACCAGCAGAAAAATCATAAACGCTTAGTAGAGATCCTATACTTTCTCTTTTTTTGTGATATACGTGGCCTGTCAGGAAACCTTGCTGGTTTATAATCTTCTTATATGTCTTACAAAAGGTGCAACTTTTTTTTACCCTTCTGTACTTTCGCCTTGTTGACGATGGTGTTCAAGACAAGGTCATCCATCTTGCACTCTGCACGTGTGGTCAATTGACGCTGGAAGGGATAGAACTCGGCTGTCTGGGTAAAATTTCCCTCTGAGTCCTCAGTTTGCAAGAGGACCGACCCGTCTTTCATTTCCACTCTGTACTCCATCGCGAAGATGAGGAAGCTGAGTGTTTTCCATATCTCGGAAAGCTCCTTGTGTTCCTCAAAGGGTTTCGATATGAAGTTTGTGCTGTCCCCTTTACGTGGCTCAAAAACCTTGAGATGGCTATTGTTGCAGATGGTTAGGCTCCCCTCAACCATCTTTGTAGTATTCATCTTATTTTGTCGCACGCCTGACTCTCGTTGAAAGAGCTTCTTCCATGCTGTCTCCCATCGCAGTATGTGCGTGTTGCACTCACTGGTGCCAAGACAGAAGTTCAGCGGTGCTTGGGCTGGCTGTTGCAGCTCGGTTCCTTCTTTGACGTTCGCAAGCGTAAGATTGACATGGTCGTCCTCAGCCTCTTCCTCGCTCTCGTCGGTCTCCAGTTCCTCATCTGAGCAAATATAAGGCTCCAAGCCACCGTAGGAGAAGGCGGCCATATGCATCCACTGCGTGTCCTTGATCAGTATACCAAATAATCGTAATGGATCGAAACAAGAAAAAGATTACCTCCATTGGCACTTCCTCCGCCAACCCCAAAATGTCTCCAACCTAAATGGGAAAATTAGTCTTCTTCACCATACGGAAGAGCTTTCTCCCCTTACAGATCTGGCCGAGAATCCCCTCATGAGTTTATTCTCATCAACGAGAGGCTTAGCTTGTGCTGCTGGATTTTTCTCCGATAAAGACTTGCTCAACAGTACTTGGTGCGCTGGGTGCAAAGTACTGTTAGAAGTGAATTCGTGCGTCAGATGAGCAAGTCTTTCCAATCTGCCGTTGTAATTATGCGTAGCCTTCTCGTATGCTTTGAATATGCCCATTCCAAGTATTGGGAGAAATTCTTCCCTTGATCTCTCAACTTCCTCCAGGAGTGGATAATTGACGTCCGGATAAAGGGTCAAGTATTTGAGGTAATCCTTTTTGCGAATCCATGTCTCGAAAAGACCCAGTGGATTTTCCGAAAGCTGCACATGTGTCTACTTAGCAATTGGAAGAAAGGAAGGACAGTTGAAGAACAGCAGGCGTTCCATACCAGAACATACTCGCTTTTGTCGAGTGGATCTCCGTTTCTTCCTCCATACAGCATGGAATGTACCATGGGGCTAACCTTGTCGACAAGTGCTGAGAATTCTCTTGAATCTATCTGGGAGGTCCGACGCTTGAACCATAGCCGGTATTTAGGATCTTCGGCGCGGGCAAAGAGGATATCGGATATCACTTTGGGATCCTTTTTCTTTTCGATGGATCGGGCATACACTCCAGCCCATGGGAGCCTGAGTCCTAATTTTAAGCCACCTCGTGCTCCTGACCAGGTCTCATAGGAGCGTCCAGCGCGCTTGTCGTAATATGGGAGGCCGTTTCTAGAAATATCCAATGTTAGCCTCGGACCCATTCATCCTCAATGAATGCTTCGATTGGAGCTTTCTTACCCTCCAAGCACAATTGTCATCTTGAAAACTTTGTCGTTTAGATTCTTGTTCTTCTTGGCCAGCCGTTCGAACAGAGTCCTCTCCACAAATAGCTCCGCTTTTTCATTGTCTTGATTCTTCAACAGAAAGGACGGGAAATATAGCAAATCCAGGGATTTCACTCGGACGTATTGGGCAGGTAATCCCTGGTGCGTCCAGAAAAATCCATCTTTGAAGCTGCCCACTTCAATCCACGCAGCGGCTTCCATCGGAAATTCCAGTTATGTAACACCAGATCGATGTATGAAAAAAGAACAAATATAAGAAATCTAATCTCACTGTTCAGCTTATATTTGTCTGCAGTGAAGTTGCGATTGATCAATTTAGGCTGCCGCCTGAGTTCGCCCGGTCAATTATAGATCCATGATTGAGGTGGTCCTCCAAGGTCAAGACTAAATCAACAACCTTGACTTTTAAATGAGCATTCCATTTGAAGATCTAGGTCTAAAATTGTATCCACTCATGAGATTTGGAATATAAATGATATCCAACTTGGCATCCAATCGGTCACTCCGAGACTCGAGAGTGGCCAAATGTGGGTCAAAACGGGGTGGAGCCTCTGACAGGCGAGAGTTCATAGATGTGTAATTCAAGATGACAATATCCTCCCCCAAGTAGTATAATAAGCTTCAGATTGAATGGGCAGAAGGTCACCGGTGTGTAAGAAGTTAAGAAACCCCTAACTTTGAGCATCTTTTATAGGGTAAAACAAAGCGACAGCTGGCAAAAACCATAAGTTGTAAAGCAACATCGTAAGAAATTGAGCTTACTGGCTTTTCTCCACTCTCAATGAACTGAAGAAACTGCCTAGGTCTTCTAGCACAATGCCCAAACTTCAATGTTGTTCCTAGTCCGTAGCTATCAGTGGATGATGACAGAAATGTTATTATCAACTATGGCCTTGAAATGCCTATCACTATTTGAACTCACAGTTCCATCACAGGGACTAACAACGTCAATCATATGTTCAAAATCAAATGTTGATACAGGGGCAAATTGATGGTTTACTCAAATCTTGACTCTCAAGGGTGGGGCCGCCCTCGGCTTAGGTAGCCAGGCTCGGCCCGAAACGCTGCTTTCTTCAATGGCGGTTCCACCCATGTGCAGTCCCCCCTTTGCCCCCCAAAAAAAGTCAATAGTGTTGTGCCACCGGAAAATACTCGGTCAGCCGTAGTATTTTTAACTAACACTTGACAGATTCAATTTGTCAAGTGTTGCTATTTTCACTGATGTTGCAGCGGGGTGCATGAGCGGCTAAGCAAGCCGGCGACCCCGGCTGGAATTTCTTGGCTCCCTTCTGCCAGCTCCTACCTTAAAATCCATCAACCAACGCTTAAACTTACTGTTCAAATCCCGCAGTACGTACTCACTTTCCAAGGAGTCCCGCTGTCTCAGGAATCAAACTGTCCAGGTGGCCATGTTCACTTCGGAGAAGCCGAAAAACAAGAACGTCATTCAGCTCGGGTATAATGCTCCCAGATTCCAGTTGCGAAGGGAGATATGCTCCGCTGCCCCCATTATTAAGGAGCAGTGACTTCAAATGTTGAAGTCAAAGTGCCAGCCCGAAAATTCCCCGGTCATACGCTTTGCTCTCTAGGCCATCTTGCCTAATCGTTTTTGTTCATTGAGGCCTTCAAGATGGGTGAATATACGGATGAGATGGCTCAAAAGGCGCTCAACGCCATGGCCACCGCGTCTTCTATCACCCAGGCGTGAGGCTATTGCTACCTTACCGCTTTGGACTGCCTCATTCCAGTCACGAAACCAGTCTCAGGCTAAATCCCTATGAACCAGGACAAATCCCTGGGCCCCCATCTGGAGGTCATCCGAGACAAATACCAGGACGCAATAAAGTTCCCTAAGCCTGCCGACGAGAAATACCAGACTGAGTCTAACAGACACACTGACGGTATCACGGGCAACGCCACGAAAGAGGAATCAAGCAACCATCTTCCTGCAGAGGCGTGTAGCATACCAGCTTGGAGACGGATATCCAAGATCCCAAATAAATGATACAGGAAAAGATATCCAGAGCATTCTCGGGCCCAAGTGCACTGGATGCCGACGGAAAGACAATCGACGAGCAAGAGCTGCTGCACAACCCCGGCCTTTTTCTTCCCCACAAAGGGCAGCTGCACCAAGCCCTCGCCCTGGACCCGCATCTCAGCTAGGGTCTCGCAGTCGCAGGCCGAGTCGACAAATGCCAGCAAAGAAACAGCCAGCAGCTTCGCAGCGCGGTCCCGAGAGTCTGCACGGGTACCTGGCGAGAACAGGGCGGTTCCGTCGCAGTATGCGGGATCCCCGTCGCACAGCACTGCATTTGTGGTTGCTTGGAATATTGAGCTTGAGTTCAGCGGCGATACGCTGGGTGCAGGAGCTTTTGCCGGAATTACCGAAGCCCAAGGACTGCCGACAGCGAGTAGGCTTGAGGCTGTTAAGGTGCAGACTCAGTTGAATACTTCTATCATCTATGTATGCCGGCTGTTGTACCCAGGGGCCAGGGCCAATGGCAGTGTGGAAGTCTAGAGGAATGGTGGAGACTGAGCGCCGATTTATCTCCTAATTGATCAAACCAGCTGATCAATTGATCTATATCACTGATACGCTTAAATTTTCCACGTTTTGTAGCTGTTCGACATAGCTTAATGTACATACAATAAAAGCAATTAAGTCGGATGGCGGGCGTCAATTGATCCTTCATCCCTGGTATAACTTGAGGGCATCAATTGATGGGACAATATAAACTTCCAAGATTTTAAGATACTAGATTCCTGCACTAATGGGGTTGGCATTTACCCAGGTAGATGCCCAGGTGTTGTGCTTGCATATATCAACATTTGAATCCGTGCAAAGTTTGAGGCTAGACATCTAAGCGAATCATAGTAGATTGAAGAGTTATCTCAATATTGATTTACTTGGATGTAGTCTCACATCGTAATACTTTATTAAAGGTGCAATTACTTGACTCGACTGAAACAGGTATTTTCCAAGTCAACCAGTCGGACAACGCTTAATTCATCCCATGATTTCGCCCCTCCCTAATCACCAACCAACCCGTTCTTGATGACGCCGAAGTAGGTATGGACAATGGCTTCCAAACTGATGGCAGGCCACACGAGGAAAAAGAAACGGAAAAAAGCAAGAAAGATTAAAGTAAAATCACGCCAAATTTGCATAGAAATCCCAAGTGTATGGATCAGGCTTCAAGCCTATGAGAACCCAAGACAGAAAACATAATGAATAGATGAAACAAAGATGAAAACGAGTATCCCCCCTTAATAGTCCCTTATGCGAAAGCCTGCGGTGGTGGCTGCACTCCACCAGCGACGAGGGCCTGACCCGCCTCGGTGTTTTGTTCGATGTTATGGAAATCGAGGATTTCGGAGTACCTGTTTATTAAACCCATCTGTCAGCAAAAATATATACGCATGGAAATTTTGGACGCGCCACCTACATCATGATTTTCCAGGTATCCACGGGCAAGTCCGCATCGTTAAATGACCAATCGAACTTCTCTTGAGCGACCGGCTCATCTGTGGGGTCATGGTAGGGAGCAAGGTATTCGTGCGCCAGCGCTTCTCCAGCTCGGATTCGTGTCTTCGGGTCAAAGACCAACATTCGCTCAAGCAAGTCCACGGCTGTAGAATGATGTTAGTGGTTATTCGACATTTTAAAAGTTGAGCAAAGTGAGGTGGAGACGGACCGTCGGAATCGGCACCCCGGAACTTCAGGGCCAGATTTTGACGCTCGCGTTTCGGGAGGGACTTGACAAAGCGCAAGGTCTACGTTCATTGTAATCGTTAGCCAAAAGAAATCCTCAAATTTTCTGGTCGCAGGGCAAATTTGGATAGACTCACGTTTTCGCTGCAAATGGTTTGAATCACATCATCCGGAGGAGTGCCCAGCAGCTCGGTGATAATGGAAAATTGGTTGACGTGGTCCTTTCCTGGGAAAAGTGGCTTTCCCTCCAGCATTTCGGCGAAAATGCAGCCTGCGCTCCAAATGTCCACCTCAACGTCATACTTCTGCCAGGTGAGCATGATCTCGGGGGCTCGGTAGTACCGTGTGGAGACATAGCCAGTCATCTGCGGGTCCTGAATTCGCGCGAGACCAAAGTCGCAGATCTTCAGATCGCAGTTTTCGTTGATGAGAATGTTGCTAGGCTTGAGGTCTCGGTGAACCACACCGGCGGAGTGGACATATTTCAAGCCACGCTTTTTCCAGTCGTTAGTGGCGTTGCGCACAATTTTTGGGGAAACCAAGAAAAAGTGCAACTTACCAGAATCTGGTAAAGGAAGTACTGGATGAACTGCTTTTCAAGGGGCCGAGAAGTCAGAAGGCGGTGCAGATCAGTTCCCAAGAGCTCGGTGACGAAATAACTGTAATAGTTTAGTATGGAGTAATTTTGTGATATACTGGTGTAACATGATCGAAATTAGGAGACGCACATGTCTTCGAGTGGGGAGATAAAAATATCGCTCAGGCTGATAATCTATGGGGAATTGTCAGTACGCACGCGCGCGCTCCGGGAACCCCGCGAGTCGGGAGGGGTCAGCCTACATTCTCGTGACGGAGATGCTTGAGCAGCTTCAGCTCGCGGTAGGTGCGCTTGGACAGTACGGGAGTACTGAAGGGCTTCATGATTTTCTTGACTGCCACAGGCTGGTCGGTCAATTGGTCTCGCGCAGAGCTATTTGAAGACATTTGAAATTAGCGACGAGATCAGCGCAAAGTGCATGATATAGAAGATGAACGTACCAGACCAGCCCGAAGGCTCCCATGCCCACCGGTTGCAAATCCGTATACCTAAGAAAATTAGCTACCGCGATGGAATTTCTCTTGGCTCTCAGGCCTGGGTGATGCCCACCGGCTAGTGATTTCAAAGGTGGTACCAAAGATCTGGGACCGCACGAATTCCGCCATGTTGTCGGGTGGAGGGGATTCAAACAGTAAACAGAGAGATTTTGAAGTTTAAGAGAGACAGAAACAGCACAAAAGCAAAAAAGATGATCGAGAAGAGAAAGGGGCGGTAGTGGGCTGGTAGAAAGTGGTGTGGGGAAAGGGCCCTTCAGCGAAGCAGAAAACAAGGCCGATGACGTTCGCGATGGTGGCAGGCAGGTTTCTTGGTGGCTGACTCAGCTGGGGAACACCGATCTTTGAGAAAACACGCTTTTTTGATTTTTTTCCCCTCGAACTTATCATCTACTGATGGATAATAGTTCTAAGTATAGCTTTATTCCTTTTAATCTACTTATACCTATTTTACCCGATTTTATCCTGTCCCTGAATACGAAGTGCTCTATGGACCTTGGGTTTTTCAACGGAGGGTTGTGTGCCCTGTTTCCCTGTTTCCAGATTTGTTCCTCCACCAACCACGCGGCCAGGGCCAGACCGGTCCAATGATCCGTGATTTCAATTCCCTTTGATAAGTGACTGCTTGGTTATAGGCTATATATACAATCCGTGGAGATGTAGATCTATGGGGGTTGATGAGATGAGAAGGTGAGGAACAAGAAAAAAAAAATTAATAAAAATAAATAAAAATAAAAATAAAAATAACATTTGAAAATAAAAGACCGTTAAAGATTCAAGATCTTCATTCTTTAATAATCTTTGGAAACCCGAATTTAGCGGCTTACGGTTCTTAAGAAATGCCGCGTTTAGCCTTGTCCTTTAGCACCTGCTGCGTTGTGCGGCTGCCATTCGTTTGGTATCTTTGTTGAGGCTTGGGCCCCCTTTCCAAGGTTGGCTTTCCCCTCATTAGATATGCTTAGTACACTTCAGTACTGCCAATCTTCACATAGTAGCTTCAGTCTCTATTGAAATGTTGCATATGTTGCAGATTGACGAGCACCTAATCCAATCTAGACAGATTCCATACTTGAAGCACTTGAGAATGATCAGGAACAATGTGTTCAAGATCCTGGACAATATTGTTGACACTTTCACTCTTGGAGGGCTCAAGAGAATCACTTTTGTTGTCTCAGATAAATGACCCGACATCTGGGCACCTGGGGTGGACTTCGGGTAGTTCGTCCACGGGTAACGGGTACAAATGCACAGTGAGTATATGTAGTGGGCATTTTCATGTATGTTCATTTGAATCAATCTATTTGATTGATACATTCTAAAAGCAATTTTTTTGACAAAAGATAGCGCCCAGGTGCCATATATATCTTGGTGGCCACCTATATATATTTAAGTACCCGACATCTGGAGCGTTAATCTCGATAAAAAGTTGAATTTTAAAGTTATAACCTTAGGTGAAAAGAAAGTCAATAATCAAAACTTGAAAACAGGAAAGCAGCGTTTAAAATGATCAAAGAATTCAAATGTGTTTCCGAGAATAAATTTTGGAAACATTTGAATCGAGAAAATCAACGGTGATTTCAAGCAGTCGAGGTGACATGTGAAACCAAGAACACACTACTGCACGAAACAAAGGCATTTCTTATGGGGCTGTACTTGAGAAATGTTTCATGCCCAAAAAGAGGGGGCATCTCGCGAGCTTAGGGCGAGTGAGATCTCGGACATAAATATCGACGATCGTCTGCTACTGTAGGTACCACGCCTACACCGCAACCTAGAGACCGTTTAATTCGGTATTGAAATGTTGACTATGTACTAGTAGTATATGGATCGACTTGAATGATTCAGATGTTCAGATGCTTCTTGACTCTCTCAATGTTATCCTTTGTAAATGTCTCATCTTTTGAGCTCTTTGCTTTTTTTTTTAATTCTTTCTTTTCTTGTCATTGTTCCATGTATGCTTGTCATGTCAGAACGTGCCAAGTGCAACGTGCGCCAGTGCACGTGATATCCACCTGAGGCCATAATTACTCAACGTAACTGGAGCGATACCTTAATACCGATTTGCTTTCCCCCCATGTGCGTCACGACTCTCCACTCCAAGCTCCGGTGGGTTTTCGATACGAGCTGTCCACGAGGCATAGTACATTACCGAGTACGGAGTACAACGGAGCCTCAACATCCCATCAGTTTTGGTTCAATTTTCTTTTTACATATTTTGATTTTTTTATAATTGAATTGCCTGTATACAAGAATCAAGTCTAGCTTATTCTGAGATGCATCATGCATGAAAATCAGTCAGCCTCAAATCTGTAAAATATTTGGTTCATAGCTCGCCCCTCGTCCAGTATGTGAAGTGACCCTGACACGGCCCCCAGTGAAAGAATAAAGCCGCTTTTTCTTTCCCTTTTTTTTTCAATCAAATTTTCACTAAGAAAAGGAGAAAACGTTTGAAAATTACATTGGCCCCAAGTAAACTCTATGCGTACAAGTTACAACGAATTAGCGGGAAAAAAAGGAATTAGAAGTAATCTTAGTGGTAAGAAAACTCAAAAAAGAGGGCGTAATTACGGGCAAAACGGCGTAAGACTCACGTTTCTTACCCCCATAATTCCCTCCTGGCATCTCCACTCACCCCAGCATGACGATGGTCGCACTGACTTGACATCTTTCCCTATAACCTCCTCTCACTTACCCTTGACCTACTGACAATATACACCAACGCCACCAGACAATAACCATCGACAATTCCGATCCCCTCTCCCCCCACCACTCACCCAAACCATATACCGACATCTCGGACTCGCTGGCTCACCGCGAAACTTTCGTCTGTCGCAAGTCCACCGAAACCCTTTCAACGTTCAAAACCCCCGCCTTACCTACCTTCACCAAATTTCACTGCCGAAGAAACCCCCTTTATCGCCACTGAGCCTTCTCCTACCAGTTTTAGGACTGCGCTGCATCTCTCCCTTTCCGTTTGTGGCGGGACTCTCCTCCAACCAACCCAAGGCTTCGGCCATCCCGGCTGACACCGATCGCTCCCGCGCGCGGTGTACGTGGTCTTTCTCATCCCTGCTGGTCTGGGATTGTGAGAACCACTCGTAACCATGGGTGCATGCTTTAGCGGCGAAGTCGCGGGGGACGCGGAACAGAAGAAGAAAAGCCAGTTGATCGACCGGAAGCTCGAGGAAGACTCCAGGCGGTTACGCAGGGAATGCAAGATCCTTTTGCTTGGTAGGTGATCACTCGTTGGCCAGCTATGTAATCAATCGGATTGACTGACGTTCGAATCACAGGCTCTGGCGAGAGTGGAAAATCCACCATTGTCAAGCAGATGAAAATTATTCACCAGAATGGCTACACTGTGGAGGAGCTGGCTCTGTATCGCTTGACCGTCTACAAGAATCTCCTCGATTGCGCCAAGGCTCTCATCGAGGGATACCGTCTCTTTAACCTCGAACCGTCTAGCCAAAAGGTTCAGGATTACCTCACCTTCCTGGACGAATATCATGTCGACGCAGATCCCAATATGCCGTTGGATTCTAAAGTGGGAGACGCCGTGGCTTACCTATGGAATGATCCGTGCACGTCAACGGTTTTGGAACGCCAGAATGAGTTTTATCTCATGGATTCGGCGCCATAGTATGCTCTCACCTTGGCCTTTTGCGTTCAAATTTCAAACGCTAACCCAGATCTAGCTTTTTCGACGAAGCGAAGCGGATAACATCACCGGACTACATCCCCGACGTATCAGATGTCCTTCGAGCAAGAACCAAGACCACAGGTATCTACGAGACAAGATTTACCATGGGTCAATTAAGCATACAGTATGTGAATGCTAGATATCGCTCCCCCCTCCCCCTTTCACAATCGCTAACGGCCCGTGCAGCATGTTCGATGTGGGTGGCCAGCGCAGCGAACGCAAGAAGTGGATTCACTGCTTCGAGAATGTCACATCTATCATTTTCTGTGTCGCTTTGAGTGAATACGATCAGATGTTGCTAGAAGAAAGCAATCAAGTAAGACAACTGAATTCAATATTTATACGCGATGGTACTGACACTATATTTAGAATCGCATGATGGAGAGCTTAGTTCTCTTCGACTCTGTGGTCAACTCTCGATGGTTCATGCGAACAAGTATCATTTTGTTCCTGAACAAAGTCGATCTATTCCGGCAAAAACTTCCCCGGTCTCCCCTGAGTAATTATTTCCCTGACTATTCTGGTGGAAATGATGTGAATCGTGCGGCGAAGTATCTTCTTTGGCGATTCAACCAAGTGAATCGAGCACACCTCAACCTATATCCACAGTGAGTTTACCAGCCAACTTGTCCCAATCGGAGACCATTTTCTAATGCCAGTCTCAATTCCAGCCTTACCCAAGCAACCGACACCACCAATATCCGACTGGTTTTCGCGGCTGTCAAGGAAACAATTCTACAGAATGCCCTGAAGGATTCAGGTATTCTATAATTGACATGCAACCTACATTCATCCCGGCCTTTCATATCTCCCCCCAAGTTCTCCCACAACTGGAAGAACATTTCTACTCAACCGGCCTTCTCATCTTATCTTCTATACTTACGATCAACCATACCCCCGACATTCGACCCTTCATTTTCTCGCTTTTGGCTTCGATTCAGTTACAGGCGTTTACGGTGCAACTTCATCCTAGGATATTATTCCAGGCGCTGATTAATGATACCCCCATTTTGGTATCTACGAGGAGGTTCTCGGTTTTCTTCCTCGAGACAGATCTGTGGGTTATAGGATCTCAGGCGTCGCTGGGAATAGGCTATTTTTAACCTCTCTCCTGTTACTTATTATTCTTTTGTGATTTGGATCTTTCTTTTTTTTTTTTACAAGTTCAACCCCGAACAAGGGTCTTTTTTGCCTCCAAAAGTCAATGGCGTACCCCCTCTCGGTAGTGCCACTGCCATACTTCTGACCCTTGATTCAATTCTTTTTTTAACCGTTCCTGGGGATCGAAATGAGTATTTGACATACTGTGATCCACTATCTTGATATTGCCACATCTGTTTTTTTTCCAGCCTACCTGATGCATAGTATGGCGGATTGGCTTTTTCATATCTTTGTTTTTTTTTTATCTCCTGGCTGTGTCTGCTGAGCTCAAATTTCCAATGCGTTGCAGCAATCAACGCCTTCGAGCGATTTGATGCATGATGTTTTATCTACCTGAACTATATGTACCCTTTGGTCGCTTCAGCGGTAAGCGGATTGAACCTACTATTCAAGGACCGTTTCATATCTTTCGAAATAAACATGGGGATCTTCGTTCTCTTGGATACATTGTGGTTGCCTTATATAACATGACTGTTCAACCCTTGCGATTGATAGTAGCCCCATCCTCCTGAAAATTTGCATGAAAACTATATGGATGCAAACCAAGTTGTAAGAAGAAAGGGAGATTGTCAAATGGAGACCTTTGGAAAATGGTACTTTTGGAGATTTGTCAACCTAGTATAACCGAAGGATCAGGAAACAGGAAGTAAAATGCAGCCCTATCAAATAGTACCACATCGCGGAAAAGGAAGCTAGCACGTCAACGGGTCATAGATTCTTTCATATCCAGGACCCGAAAATACGCCAAACCTCAAACCTGCTGATTTTAGCATCCAATGCACACGAGTGGCATGATGTGAGACGGGATGCATACTAACTAAAGTGCATACTGTGAAAGCAAGGCAAAAGTAGCAGCACGGACCGCGAGGAAAGAGCGATGTACTCGAGCCTGATAGGATCCAGACTCAAGTGGTTCCCCACCAGAGCTATACATCTGACGTATAAACTCCCACGATTTACAGCGGGGAAAGAACTTACGACTGCGGAGTGCATGTTCCTTCCAAGCCAAGAAAGAAGAGTTACTATAGTGACCCTGGTAAAATCCGCATTGAGCGATGTTCGCTCGGACGACTTTTCGTATCCTGCACTTCCGAAACCCAACCCCTCTCAAAACCCAAGGTGTGACCATGCACTCCCCTCTTTCCTCTCTTTTTCTTCTCTCTTTTTTTTCTCTTACCTTCAACTTGATCGGGGCCTTTACCTGAATCTTGCCTGATTTTGGAATTTCCTCTTCTTTTTTTCATCTTGTTCATCATGTCGGAAGCTCGTCGTGAACGTCGCCCTTCCGTTGGTGCGCCCATTGCAGACCTCCAAGGTCCTGTTGGACCGGGATTTAGTCGCCCGAAGCACAAGCGTACTCCTACCGGCTTTGGTGCCGCCGATATTAAGAGTGTGGAAGCCAGTATTCCTGAGCCGCTACGAGAGGCGTGAGTCGTTTCTCCTTCTAGTGGTGATTAGCTTGCCCTGATGCTGACTTGAGAGCTCTCTCGCGTGAAGATGGCTCGAAAATGTAAGTTCACACAGTTACAGCTTGTGGTGAGGTCATTGAATATAAGCTCACATACCTTAACAGTCCGTTTCTGAGTTCACGACCAAAGAGGAATTCCAGGTGGGTCCCCCCGAAGAAGGAGCTGGTTGCTGGATGCATTCCAAACTGACCATACATATCTTATAGAAAGAACTCGTGCGCCATATTGAGACAACGCTGGCTCGCTCCATGTACAATTGCGATGAACAGTACGTATCTTTGTAATTCGTGGGGTCCACTTTCGGGATTTGGATTGCTTACTGGGGTCTGGTTGGCAGTGCCGCGTACTCGGGAACGGCCCTTGCATTTCGGGATCGACTCATTATTGAGTGGAACCGAACTCAGCAGCGTCAGACGCTGGCTGATCAGAAGAGAGTTTACTGTAAGCTTCCAAGCATTGTACTCATATCGGGGTTTGTGATGATGACTGACCTTTGCGGTAGATCTCTCTCTGGAGTTTTTGATGGGCCGTGCCTTGGACAATGCTATGCTTAATGTAGGCCAGAAAGAGGCCGCCCAAGGTTCGTGATGCTGAAACCTTGCTATGGAGAAAGCCACTGACTCTTTGACAGAGGGGTTGAAGGATCTTGGTTTCCGGGTCGAAGACGTCATCAGTCAGGAACATGATGCGGCTCTGGGAAATGGTGGTCTTGGGCGCTTGGCGGCTTGCTTCCTGGATAGTATGGCCACACTCAACTATCCGGCTTGGGGATATGGACTGCGCTACCGTTACGGAATTTTCAAACAGGAAATTGTTGATGGATACCAAGTGGAGATTCCTGACTATTGGCTTGACAACAACCCCTGGGAATTCCCACGACACGAAATCACTGTTGACATCCAATTTTACGGAACCGTCCGCAAGTACCAAGGTGAAAGTGGAAAGTTAGAGCACTCCTGGGAAGATGGAGAGATCGTCCGAGCAGTTGCGTACGACGTACCAATTCCCGGCTATGGCACCAAGACAACGAACAATCTTCGACTGTGGTCCAGCAAGGCCAGCTCTGGAGAGTTTGATTTCCAGAAATTCAATGCCGGTGACTATGAAAGCGCCGTGGCGGATCAACAGCGTGCCGAGACTATCTCCGCTGTTCTCTACCCCAATGATAATCTGGAGCGAGGCAAAGAGCTTCGTCTGAAGCAGCAGTACTTCTGGTGCGCTGCATCTCTGCATGATATTGTCCGTCGATTCAAAAAGACCAAGCGAGCTTGGAGCGAATTCCCCGATCAGGTGGCCATCCAGCTCAATGACACTCACCCTACACTTGCTATTGTTGAGTTGCAACGCATCTTGATTGATATCGAGGGTCTGAGCTGGGATGAAGGCTGGAGTATTGTAACCAATACCTTTGGCTACACCAACCACACTGTTCTGCCAGAAGCTTTGGAGAAGTGGTCTGTTCCCTTACTTCAAAATTTGCTCCCAAGACATCTGCAGATTATCTACGATGTGAACCTTTACTTCTTGCAGACAGTCGAGAAGAAATTCCCCAATGATCGTGAGCTACTATCAAGAGTCTCCATCATTGAGGAATCTCACCCGCAGATGGTGCGGATGGCATACCTGGCCATCATTGGATCCCACAAGGTCAATGGTGTTGCTGAATTGCATTCCGACCTCCTCAAGTCGACTCTTTTCAAAGATTTTGTGGATATTTACGGACCTGATCGTTTCACAAATGTCACGAATGGCGTCACTCCTCGACGTTGGTTGCACCAGGCTAACCCGGCCCTGTCTGCCCTGATCGCAAAGAAGCTTGGTGGTCATGAGTTCTTGACAGACTTGACCCTTTTGGACAAGTTGGAAGCTTTTGTCGATGACAAGGAGTTCCGAGCTGAGTGGTCCCAAATCAAATCTCAGAACAAGCTGCGACTAGCCAGGTTCATCCAGGAGACCACTGGATATAAGGTGAATCCCAACTCTCTATTTGACGTTCAAGTTAAGCGAATCCACGAGTACAAGCGCCAGCAGCTCAACATTTTTGGAATCATTCACCGATACTTGAGCATCAAAGCGATGTCGCCTGAAGAGAAGAAGAAAGTGGTTCCTCGTGTTTCCATTATCGGTGGTAAGGCTGCTCCAGGTTACTGGATGGCCAAGACAATTATTCACCTTGTGAACAAGGTTTCGTCTGTGGTCAATCGTGATCCGGACATTGGAGACCTGTTGAAGGTCATCTTTATTGAGGACTACAATGTCAGCAAGGCGGAGATTATCTGCCCGGCCTCCGATATCAGCGAACATATCTCCACTGCCGGAACGGAAGGTAGTGGTACAAGCAACATGAAGTTCGTGATGAATGGAGGTTTGATCATCGGCACTTGCGATGGAGCCAATGTGAGTCGTTGTTCAACCTATCAAGCTAATCGAAGAAAAGCAAACTAATCTTTAAATCCCTTTCTAGATCGAAATCACCCGTGAGATTGGCGAGCAGAACATTTTCCTCTTTGGAAACCTTGCCGAAGACGTGGAAGAACTCCGCCATCGCCACGTCTACGGCGACTTCCAGGTTGACCCTCAGCTTGCAAAGGTCTTCGACGCCATCAAGGGCGGCATGTTCGGTGATGCAAAGGACTTCTCAGCCCTGTCTTCATCCATCGAAGAACACGGTGACTACTATCTTGTCTCTGACGACTTCAACTCCTACATCACCACCCACGAGATGGTTGATGAGGCGTTCCAGAAGCAGGATGAGTGGCTTGCCAAGTCCATCACTAGCGTCGCGCGCATGGGATTCTTCTCGACGGATCGCGTTATCAACGAGTACGCAGATAGTATCTGGAACGTTGAGCCTCTCGTTGTCGAGAAATAGTCCCATCTGCGCTTCTTTTCGTGTTCATTTTTAATTAATAGTCTGTGCCTGTCATACGTGCTATGTGCTTTCATCGTTGTCGCGTTCATTGCATTTTCAATCGAGAACATTCTTAAACCAGCAATTGATTTTCAAGGTTCAAATTTCAAAGCTTTCTTCTCGGCCCTGGAGGGCTTCCGTTGATAGGTATAGACTGCACATATTTTTTGGTATGTATTGACTTTGTAGAGTGAATTTATTATAACCAAACTATGTGTGTAATATTTGAA